ATTCCACATTCATTTCCTCCTTAAGTCCTCATTCACTATATAACGTGGTCTATAAACTCTAACGCAAACCTCGCGAGCCACTAACTTTCTTTTCCTTGGAGCTGGCTGAGTTGTCGCTGCGTATCGTGATTTTGCGGCAAGTCATTTTCAATCGGTGAGCGGAAGCCAACATAACCTAGTAAGGCGAACGGGCTCAGGGTGGGATGTTCGCGCAGACACACAGGGTTTTCGGGTGCTTGATGGCATGGTTATAGTACTTAATAGTACTGAGGTGAGCTGCTCAACGAGTGGGCTCAGCAAGTTCTCAGAATGCCTCGGTCTATAAACAGACTAACTGTGCTCCTCAAATTCGTTCAAATCCAACAGGCACGAATTTCACTGGAAGTTGTATTCTGAAGCACAACCTTGGAGGCGTAATGCCTTTTAGAGATACAAGGTGCATACATGCCAAAGGTTCTTTGTATCAAGATCAGCAATGTGACGCTACTTGAGTTGGCCGGCTTTACGGACGATCTGTCGGTACTGTATAAGCGAATGGGCGATGACATTGATAAGACGCCTGTGATGGATATCTGCATGAGATTTGATACGTTCTTCTACTTCACCATTGTAGTAGATATCCCAGGAATGAACTTGAGTAATTCATACTTTCACCTGGGTTACCTGCATGGGGGATAGAGCGATCAGGTAATCGCGCTGCCTACCCAAAGGCGATGGCGTCTACAACAACATACACAAGTGCCCGCTCATTCAATTCCGTCATCAGGTGTCTTTTGCTTGCTATACTTGCTCCCCCTGCCAATTCGCCAGCGTTCGTTGGCCACATCGACGTGATCAAGTCTCTTCCTCTCCAACAAAGGTACATACTTCGCGCTGCGCTTGTACGTCCCTGCGCCGAGTGGGACACCAAGGACCGGTTCTCGGCCCAAATTCGAACGAGGGAGTGTGTGAGGTGTCAGTCCTGTCTGACTGAAAGGGAAATATTGAGGTGGTGGAGAATGATATTGGGTGGCAGCTGTGAGGAAGTGCTCGTCTAGAACTGTGTGGATGAGGGAGCGTTGATGGATAGAATGAAGTTGGTGATAGAGGTCTGAGCCAGTACCGCTCTCTGTACCGTCGTCGTCTGTTTGCCATGTGACATCTGAATCTGCGTATGCACAATCCCAGAGCATGAGAGGGAGGGCGTCTGCCATCTGATACTCGGGTTTGCGATCCACCAGTGGCAACTGAGACTCGGGTAATGAATTAGATTCCGCATGACAGACGTTCATGAGAGCTGATATGATGGACGGTTGTTCAAGTCCTGTTCCGACGAGGAAAAGGATAGCCATGATATGTCGAACCTGATGGTATAGGAAAGCTGATCCTACGAGATCGAATACGTATACTCGGTTATCGCCATCAGACTCTGGGGAGACTGGATTGATCTGTGCGCGTATGACACAGCGGTGAAAGTTGGTGATTTGTTTTCCTGGATCAAGCTTGCACAAATTGCGAAAGTCATGTTCGCCGACGAGACGGTTTGCAGCTGATTGCATGAGGGATACGTCGAGTCCGTGAGAGGTGAAGAAGTATTTGTAGTGTCTGTGTTTGCAGTTGAAGCGGGCGGAAAAATCGGGGGAGATGGGAGACCATGCCAGGACGCGGATTGTTGGGGGGAGCACGCGGTTTAGGATGGATACGTAGCGAAGCTCGTGTCTCGTAGAAGGATGGAGTGAGGTGTTTTGGGGAGTGTCCTCGGTGGGTAGGTCCTCCTCGGACGACGGTAATGATGTTACTTTGGAAGAAGTTTCGGTGGGGAGAGCACTTCGAACCCATAACGAAACTACCTGACCAGCAGCGCTCACCCCTCGATCTGTCCTTCCACATTTCTCCCATCCACAACCGTCCAAGCCGCCAGTTTCATCGACGAGCCTTGCCTTTACAAAAGCTTTAAACAAGACATCCTCGACCGTCGGAAGAGGCGTAGGACCGTTTTGATACGCCAGCCCATTATACTCCCACCCCGAGTAACAAAACTTGATAGCGATCTTGCGCTTCGGGTGGGATAAGAAATGGAATGGTTTTTTAGATGTTGGTGAGTGAGTTGACTTGGCGTGCTTTTTTGTCTCCAGCTCTCTGAGTCGTGCGATCAGCTCATCCTTTGACCAGGATTCGTAGTTTGGTGTCATGATGCGGAAATGTGTTTTGGATGGTAGAAAACGGTATGTAAATCCGAATCTTCCAAAACGCATGAGACTGGAACTTGAAGAGGCAGCAAGCCGCAGAGGTCAATTCTTATGTCCGTCTGGGCCGGGCCGTAGTAACCCAAGGGTTCTCTTTACTTTCAACTGCGACGCCAAAGCCTTATTTTCGACTAACTCTATCAGTGTTTACGCATGATCATAGGGCCAAATCATGCGGCGTGGTGCCCCCAATAATATTGAGTCTGTATTTGACCTTTTTTCCGCCGAACATCGTGAAGCAGCCAAATCCTCTGACTTGATCGTGTACTTGAGTACTTCATAACGTTCCCGCAAATATCTGGGACCAATGACTTGCCGCAGGGCCAGATGGAGCGTCAAGCCAGGACATTGGCTTTTCATACAGCTAATAGTCAATAATTAGTTTTGCTGGACCAGCGAACTAATAAGTCGACGTTCGATGCTAAATAGACTCGAGCATGACAACATTTCTGTCCAATACAACTCATGCATACCTACAGTGCGAGATCGATACCACAGGACAGAACAACAGTAATAAATGCGCAACATGTCGCGGTAGACGCAATCTGAGCCACAGAAAGGCCTCGAGGTGGCAGTGGATTCAGCAAGTTTTACAAGTCGTGCTCCTCGAATCCATGTTAATTCAATAAGTGCGAATGACACTGGAAGAAGTTGTGTAACCACAAATTTGGAGTGCATCAAAGATTCAAAATATGTATGAACCACCGACCCATCGCTTCTCGAGAAAAGTCGGACGACGCGATAATGGGTGCTAAGACGTCCAATTATTCAGGACACAGCCTGACACTCAAACAGCCGCGTGGATTATGGGCAGCTATGAGCAACATGGGGAAGGTCTGGCCGTGTCGCCGCACAAAGGAGAAAAAAAAACGCAAGGCGGTATTTATATTTGGACCGTGGAAATATTTAGGGCAGGTGCCTCGAGCCCATCAACTATACTTGAAGCTTAAAGTAACAAGTTCTATATAATAACTAGCGAGCAGACAGAGACTTATGTCCTACCTAAAAATGCTAGCCCTACCGCTCCTACAGCCGCAGCGTCGTCAACAAATTCCACATATTTAAAGACATGCCCCTTCTTCGCCAATGCCTCACGTACCAACGCCCTATAGTCCTCAATACCAACCAAGCTCCCTCCAAAACACAACATGGCCTCATTTGCTTCCACTGCTCTTGGTTTCAAACTCGGATCCTCTCCAGGCTCACGGCAGAGCATTGCGATCTGGTCCGCAAGTCCCTCAGCACAGGCCTTTAACACATTCAGCGCGAAGGGGTCTTTGTCCTTGAATGCAGCCTCAAAAACGAGTGGAGCAAGCTCGCTTAACCGTTTCTCGCGCGCAACAAGGAGGTACGATGGAACAGAGGCAGCCGCCTCCGCTGTACTCGGCTCGGGCAAGTGTACCACCGGCAACACCTCCGGGGCATTCTCTACCCCCACGATCCCAAATCTTTCAAGCACCTTCGCTTTGAGGCTACTTGGGGGTAATGTTTCCATCCCCAGCGACAAGCGTGCAGCATCGTACATCATTTGACGCATGGTCTCGCGGCCTACATGAAATCCTCCGCCTTCGTCTCCTAGAATCCATCCCCACCCGCCGGTCCGTGCAAGCTCACTCAGCATGCCTGAGGGCTCATGTTGAAATGAAACGACACAAGATCCCGTACCAGCTATCGCAGCTACAGCATGTTTGATATCATTATGAAGCCGAAGCGGGGCAGCAAGAAGATGAGTATCGTTGGCCACGACTAACCGTGGACCCAGGGGTATCCCGAGGAGAGCAGAGAGCGCTGCTGAGGCATTTGCGACTGCAGCCAGGGAATCAACGCCGGAGATACCGAACCATGCGGATGCAAATATCTCAGTGTTGGGAGGGAGGGAAACAGGGTTGATAGATGGTGGAGAGACGCAGGTCCTCAATGCATTAGATACCGCTACACGAACAGCATCTGTAAACGCAGCCGCAGACATGTACGCAAAGTTAGATGGACCTCCTAGGGCGCGCCCGAGGATCGTGCCAGATCTGTCTGCGATGACAGCAGACGTCTTGGAACCACCACAGTCAACACAGAGGAAAAGCGACATGATGCTCTTTGAACACGTCAGTCAGCAAACGTATGCATAGTTGCCAGAAGTACTGAGCGCCCACCAATATCAATCACTTGGTAATGAAGCGATTGAAGATAACGAACAAAGATGGCCACCTGTAGTGCCTACACTTATATATGAGCGGTGATTGAGCCAAGCTGGAGGCTTTGGCAATGACCCAGCTGGCAATGGGCTTTGGGCGGGAGCAGACAGACACCCAAATTTGCACATAGTAGGCGAGCACATGGATCTCAAGCACGTTATCTGGATATCCCGGTTTCGGTCCCCAAGCTCAAGCTAAGGCCCAAGGGCCCAAATGTCCGTGACACTGCCATACTTAATGCTCACCTCGGTAATTGCTACGTGATCTTAATTAAGTGGGGAAATTTACGTTTAGTTAATGTAAATTCTGTAAATGACCACGGGCACAGAGGTACCAGTGCACAACGTGCAACTTCACATACAACGAACAAACTCTATCTTGCCTTCAGTACAACAAACCATTCGGACTCCAGTACGGTGGGTATATGTAGTAATGTACACAAGTATGTACGTAGCATCTTTGCATTTTCCAGATTACTTCCTCCATTTCCGTACATCATTACGAGCTCTAACAGACAATCACAACGCTCGAGAAGAACAAACGCGAAGCAAGAAATCACGCTCAAACCAAATGACTAGAGAATCGATCATCGCCTCCCAATATGCGTCCCCGCAAGCTCCTTCTCGAGCGCATCGCTAGGGTCATCCATGATGGGCGACGGCGGGCGCTGGGACGGCGCAGTGTAACCAGATGTTGCGCCATGTATCGGGCCGTACTCCTGCACCGGAGAGCTGATAATCTCGTCCCGGGAGGGGATAGGTAGACTAAATGATTTAACGATCAGGTTCGTAATGAAGGTGGGGAAAGAGCGAAGATGATGCTGACCTGTCTTGTCTCTTGATCTGGCCCGTGGCCCTCGCCTGAGCGCGCACCTCGGCACGGAACGATTGGACCTCCTCGACGATGAGCTTTTTCATTCCCTCGATAGAGTCTTCCTCCTCGAACGAAAAGTCAAATTTCTGAGTGCGTCAACCTAGTTTGAGCACCCTGGTTCTTCAAACAGGAAATCAAACTTACGGTATCGCAGACCGGCTCATCGGCAGGATCGTGCCACACCTGCAGATACGGGTGGTTGAGCGCAGCCTCACAGCTGATGCGCTTGGCGGGGTCGAAGCAGAGCATCTGCTGCAGGAGGTCGATGGCGAGTGGGTTGGCGTGCGGATAGAGTGTCTGGAAAGGCACGCGTGGCTTGATGGGGAGAGAGCGGATGTAGTCTTGAGCCTGTGTGACTCGAGTGAGTGAGTACATTGGCGAGTTTGACAGAAGACATACCCTTGGAGATCCGACACGGCGCAGGGTGTCCTCGGAGGGTGTACCGAGGTAGTGAAGGATTTGGTTCAGTTGGTCGACATAGCTATTGTCAATAATCAGTATCAATTCATCGATCCAATGCATGCGCAAGTTGCCCATAATGAAGTGGGAATGGACCTACTCTCGTCCTTTGAAAATCGGCTTGCCGCCCAAGAGCTCGGCAAGAATGCAGCCGACAGACCAGACGTCAATGGCCGTTGTCTATGAGCATCGTGGTCAGCTACCAGTGTAAAACAACGCTTAAACGGCTACAATAAATAAATAATGCCGAGGACAACGATGTGATGGACAAAAAAGGAAAGTAGCACACGCACATAATTCGCGAAGCTAAGCATGATTTCTGGCGCACGGTACCATCGTGTTGCGACGTACTCCGTCATGAACCCCTGGTTTCCGGCGCTCTTGCTCGTACCGCCACCAGGGGTAAAGCTGAATATGACGTGAATTTGGTCTTTGGAGTGCAAAGATATTATTGAGAGACGTGCGCACCCTCTAGCCAGGCCAAAGTCACATATTTTGAGCTCGCAGTCGGCGTTGACGAGAAGATTTCCGGGCTTGAGATCGCGGTGGAGTACGTTGGCACTGTGAATGTATTTAAGCCCGCAGAGGGTCTGGTAAAGGAAGGACTGGAAGTGTGCATCGGTGAGCGGTTGTCCAGACCGGATCTGTATGCAAGTACCGTCGGTTTTTGAGTGTCAGACCAGTCAGGAGAGGGAAAGGACGCACGATAGCATGAAGATCAGCTTCCATCAATTCTTCCTAATGTAATGATCAGTGAGACCAAAGGCGAGTAAAGAGGTGAACCGACATAGAGATAGACTTCGTCAAAATTCCCATTGGGTTGGAAGACGATATCCATGTCGTATAGGCATGTTATCTGTAGAGGGATGTGTAAAATGCAGGCTTAAAGCACACATGGTTGGCGTACGTTCTTGTGTCCCCTGAAATGATGTAACAATCTGATTCGTGCTATGATCAGTACTATACTCGGAGTGTAGTTGATTGTGAAACGCACCTAATCTCTCTCAAGCATCGCTTGGTGAGGATCCGCTATGGTACAGCGTTTGTTTAGCCCTGCTCGAAGTGAATAAGTAGAGATAGGCACCTTGGTATTAATGTTCGTGATCTTCTTAATCGCACATCCCTCGCCTGATCGGCGGTGACGGGCAGCAACGACACAACCGTATGCGCCCTGACCAAGCTCCTTGACGAACTGGTACTCGCCGTCGACGATGAAAGTGCTATTAAGCGCGGTGAAGGTGTGTCGCGAGATCGGCTGGCGGCTCATTGCTAGATCGATTATTCAAGCTTGAAATTCAATTTGAAGGGTCTGATGGAGTTCAGTTGAGCCCTGCGAAAGAAGGATAAGAGAGAGAAGAAAATTCTGCGCTTGGTGCTTACAAGGGAGGGTCACGGTGTACAGCCTGTATATCGATTCAGATCACACCAAACATGTCCATACATAAAGATCCCGTAGCCCGGTCACTGCCAGTTGTTCTCTGCACTGCATGTATGACGCCTGATTCACCGCCCGGCGCTCGATGCCACGTCAACGGTCTTGAATATTGGTCTGTTGGGAGGATGAAAGTTTACTGCTGCACGTATTATATGGTTGATCATGACGGAACAAGCCCAACATTACATCCATACGCAATCGATTGGATCAGTACCAGTGTGTTCACCTTTGACTCCTTGGTATCGGCCTCAGCGCCAACTCAGCGTAGCGCTATCAATTATCAGAAGGCTCAGGCAGTTCGGCGTTCATATTTGTTTCGGGAATTACCGGTCGGCTCAGGGCTGATAACTCCAGTGCTCGGCTTGTAGTTTACTTATACAGGCAACTTGGAGCCATCGATGGTGCACAGAACAATCTTGCTGCATCACTTTAGCTCACTCTTGAAAAGCAATAATTTTCCAACGAACGTCATGCTCGACGTTACCCTAAGTACTCGCAAAGCTCTCATCGACCTTGAATAACCATCTATAACTATAAAACATACGTACACACGTGCGTATAAGCATCAATTCAGCAAATAGTTATTTTAGTTGCTCGTATTATCAGTGTATGGGGTGGTTGCGAAGCCGACTTTGTTGTTGGTGGCGTCGAAGACAGAGTAGTGGCGTTGACTATATGATAGGTTGTCAGTCTCATACCAATCAAAGTTACTTAAACACCAACAGGAATGTGTAACCGTTGATGAAGTCCAATCCAGAACCAGAGTCGCTGCCGATATCAGAAACGATAAGGTAGATGCTGTCACTACTGCCGCCTATGTCAGCGTTGAGGGAACGCGGCCAAATTTGGGCGTTGGGGATCAGATCGTAGGTTTTGCTACCAATCTTGAAGGTCAGGGTTTGCAGCTTAGCATACTGACTAGAAGTGATCATCAGGAGACCAGTGGTCTCGTCTACCACAGCACCAGTGGCAGTCTGGTACGTGCTGAACGCATCTAACATTCTCCAAGTCAGTATGGGACGACCCGTTTACGAGTGACTTATCCTACCGGAGGCAATGAGAACGAGAGTCGTGCCGGTGTCGACAATGCCAGCAGTCTCAGACAAAATGGTGGAACGTCCATAGGAAATAGACTGGTCGATACCCCAGTAATAGCTAGCAGGTGACGTAGTCGTGAGAGGGACGTAAGTCACTGGGCTCGTTGTCTTTGAACTATCGTGCCCACCAAAGGTGAGCTCGCCGGCACTGTCAGAGGCAGCGGTAGGAACAAAGTAAATTCCAAGCGCTTCAGTGCCGATAAAACCTTGGCTGTAGAGGCTGTCTGTGACAGTGGGGGCTGTCTCAACGTTGGAAATGGTGCCTTCCGTCAGGTCAGTCGGTCCGACTCCGAGGATTCCATCCACGTCTTGGAAGCCTTCTGTGTTGCTCGCAACTCCGATAGATTGTCCGGCAATGACCAGACTAGCGCTCAAAGTAACGGTGTCCGTGTATTCCTCTCCGGAGAAACTACCGGAACCATAAGACACGGCCTACAAGGTTGTCATGAGCACCTTTTTATGTACAGATTATGAGAAACGGCATACAACAGTGTTGCCAGTATCCACACTAGTAATAGTAGGATTGTATGGGGTGTTTGCACCTAACCAGGTGTTGGAGCTGCCCGTATCAATGAGGAGTGTATCTGATAAACCGTGAAATCAGAAATCATCTGAGCCAGTTGACAGTCAATCTTACACTCAGTGGCGGGGCTGCCGACACCAACTTGAGCAGTGTAAGTAACGACAGCGTTGGTTATGCTGAAAGAGGATCTGCCAGCACGCTTGCCCATGGAACCAGCCTGCTTCATCGCCTGAGCGCGAGCCCTGTCGGCGGCAGCGATATTAACAGCACCTCTGGCGTTCACCCTAGCGGTAAAGCTGAGGGTTGCCTTGCCTGCGACAGGGCGCAAAGGAGATGCGTCCGCAGAAGACAACACGACAAAGAAGATTGACAGAAAAATCTTGGAAGGGAACACCATTTGGGCAAGCTGTTCAAAGGCCGAGTGAGAGATAAGATCAGCTCGAATTCAAGCTTCAATCACCAGAAGGCTTTATATGATTTGGCTAGCCATATGATATTCGCAACCTGGATTTCTACATCCCGAATGTTCTATCCTGGGTTGTTGTGATATCCATATTGCTGCACGTCATCAGAGGACGATTTATCACTATCAAAATCGCCGAGCCAAGATCCAAGAACCTCGCGCTGATAGCCGCATGGTGGTCGTTCAAATGATTTACCTGGACTGTCACGAGGTCATGTTAGACGGTATCGCGATCGAGTAGGTTGCCTACCGTATTGAGTTCTGGCAGAAACTGGTATAAACAGCATCTTTTGAAACATGATTCTAAGCGCTAACTAAGGAAACATTTCACCCCATGAAATGGAGATAGCAGATAATGTACATACTTGAACGCTTCTGGCGTGGCGATCTTTTGCCTGTATCTAGCCTGAAGAAATACGCAGCTCATCAGATCAGTGTAAGCGAAACACACCATAAACCAAAACCGTATCAAGGACTCTCATAGTCAAAATCATTCATTCCCGGGCCACGATCCTAAAGTGTTGCGACTCGAAGACCCCTAGCGCATTTACGTCTGACAAAGCTGGACAAGCAGACGATGGAAGGTGAGAATGGTGGAGTATAGAATCCGGCACGTTTGATTCCACCCAAGTTATGGTTATGCTCCGGTTGTCATACATAGGTTGTCAAGCTTGGTGTGGCACGATCATGACCTGGAAAATCTTGGGATCGTATGGACTTCTATCCTGACTAGCTAAGAGGGAAATTCGGAAATTGGCAACGCACTTACTACAAACAAAGATCTATGAGACAGCTTGATTCGACCAGTGTCCCTCCAAGCAGACTATAAGATAGACAAGAAGACAGCACATGACTAGTAGATGTTCGTCGGCACTGGCACACATTTGGGCGCAATGAACGGTTGATGGAAGGTTGGACTTGGGTTGGGGACCTAGGTGCAATTCATGCTGTAGTGCCGCCAGAACAACTTGACATGAGCCAAATCGAGTTTTAGTCAACTGACTATGATGATCAAGTTAAGAACTTCAGTGGATGACTTCTCTTAGAAAGTCCGGAAAGTCCTCATGCCGACGTGCCGTCATTGTTTTGCAAGTCCGCATGACCCAGTCCTAAAGTCAGGTAGCCCCCCCTTTAAGATTCAAACGGTTCTATCTCTGATATGACTGCAATATGACTTATACTAATCCAGTCGAGACTGATAATCATGAGTGCAGCTAGGGCAACTATTTTCCATCATAGGGAAACTTGGGTGGTTGACCCCAAGCTTCGAGGCTTGAAGTAAGCCTCCATTTGTGTTGATTGTCACTAATACAAAGTTAACTATGTTTATTCACCAGTTCACTGATGGCAACTACGCGCGCATCAGTCCAAGATGTCCTTTTCGCAACTTCACCACAAATCCATTCACATCTTCTGCCTCGAGATTATTGATAGAGTACTCTTGATGCACGACTCTTCGGCCATTGATTTGGTCCAGAGCGAGTTTCAGGTCTTCCTCAGGTCCACAGAAGTCCTGGTCACCCTTTGCATTCGTATGCTTGAATGTCTTCGAGATAATGCTTTCAATAGCGTGCGGATCCATCAGTGGGGCTGTAACATCGAACATATCCTTTGGAAGAGCTTCTTTCGAAGCAGGTGCAAGGTGCTCAGGTGCCGTGGGGTTAAAGCACTTGCCGCAGAACTCCAGTGCACTCTGAAGCTCTTTCCCACTCAACCGGGTCCCCATCTCTGATGCACCCTGGATTACTGTGTCACGATGACAGTCAGCATCTTCGACATTGCTCATACTATACAACGATGGTAATACCTGGTCGAATGGCAGCGAATGCCCGGTCATAATTATCCTCATCAACGTCGTTCAGGATATCAAGATCCGTCGATCGTATCTGTTGATATGCGCTCATCACCACTATCTGGAATCTATGCAGTTTACGTTGCACATGGCACTCTGATCAGCAAGAGCAAATCCATCTACTTATGGACGAACCTCGTGTAACTCAACGAAAACCTCTTCGTGTGCCATGCAACTGCTTCGACTTCTGAGCAATCTCCTCGGACTGCGGCGCATATAGATACTGCTGCAGATAGTCCAGAGGTCATTGCGAGGTGTATCCCGGAGGAGAAGAATGGATCTATGAACGCTGAAGGTTCGGGCATCAGCTTCATCATATAGACAAGGGAGATGTTCAGGTTCGTACCACCAGCGTCTCCGACCAAACGAAAGCCAGGTCCCCCGTAGCTCGAGGCGGAGTAGCTGAAGTCAGACGCTGACCGTATCAATGGGTCAAGCTGCCCAGGTTGTCCTCCGGAAGCCTCCTTTTGTACTACCCTTCCAGTTCCAATGAGCTTGACTAGTGCTGGGGCGAGGGATATTGAAAGCCGATAGCGATCTTCCAGAGAACTGCCTTCCAAGGCACGGACCCTCTCGTTATACACGTCTTGATTCATAACGACGCCAATGGAAGTTGTTCCATCGTGCAGAGGAATGAACCAAGCCCAACCGGATTCGTCTGGTGCATATTGGCTTAATTAACGCATTCTCACCGTTAACAACACGACGCGTACCTCTCAGTGCCTCAAACCAAGGGGCACCCTCTCTTGAAGTATTCGTGCCATATGTACCAACTCCCGTCCAGTAACCCCATAGCGCAATGTTCTTCAATGATGCGTTAAAATGACGATTGCGTAAGTATTTGGTCGACATCAGTCCTGAACGTCCGGACGCATCAACAAGATAGTCGAATGAAATTACTCCGGTTTCTCCATCTGCAGCACGTAGCCATTCGGCGGTCACAGGCCTGGAAGATTCGGTTGCGGAAAAGCCAAAGGATTTCACACTCGTTTGTTCAAACACCTTTGCTCCGCAGGATGTCGCATGGTCAAGCAACATCTTGTCGAATACTGAGCGCACCTGACTGGAGCATTGACATTCAAGAAAAGAGAAGATGTCAAGTACATACTACGTTCCAAGAACTGTTGGTATGCCCAAGCGCAACGAAGTCCGTGTCTGGATGCAGGTGAGTGTCTCTTGGGCCCATTGATATTCTCACTCACATCCCTCCCTTTTGAATTGGTTGAACTTCATTGCAGCTCCGGGCTATTAATGACAATGTATCATTGGACCCTATTATCCGAGAACACTTTAGCCGCACCTTGTGTTTGAAACCCATCTCGACCAATTTTTGTTCCGCATCGATGAACCTCAGGTAGTGACGGACTGAAGGAATTAGGCTCTCTCCAATGTGATACCTACGTGATAATCATCAAGGGGGACACTTGAATACTTTGGACAAGTATATTACCGAGGAAACTGGGCAGCCTCCAATAACACGACATCGAGCCCTTCCCTGGCAAGGGCCGAGGCAGTATAACTGCCAGAGGGACCTCCACCGACGACAAGGATTTGAGCATGCTGGCATGGATGTCAGTCCTGCTAGCGAGTCTACTCAACGACCAACCTTTGGTATCTGCGGGGTCATCGAACGCTACTGGGTGGGTATGAGAAACCAACAATGTTCACTGAGGCTGTGAGCTTTGTACTAGGCGCGTCTGAACACATCAGGTTAAACCTCGATATTGCAAATCTATGAAAGAATACTTCTCGAACCAATCCAGAATACGTTACCAAGCTTCTGCTAGAGTACCGGTGAATTTGTATCGATACGTCAGTGTCTTCACCTCCGGCCACTGCATATACGGGTTCTGCGTGCACCTTGTCATCAAAAGTACTGGCAAGGACCTTAGCTACTAGACATACGTATCCACGAGTTATTCGGTGGCAGCAGCCGTAGAAACACGTACATGGCATGGGCACAACAACACAAAGTTAAAGAGGAATTTCCTCTTCATTTGAAGTTCTCATACGAAGATTGCGAAGCACCGGTGAAGGGATCGTCAAAAACAGAGGTACTTGAGATATTTATGTAACATCAAATATCAATACGGGTAAAACCCTCATCTTTCGAGAGTCCGCAGTAAATCGAACGTGAGATTGGTGAACAGTCTTGGCAAACCCGACTCTGGAATTCATCGTGTCGAACACTGAGTAAAAGCGCCCCCTGGGAAGGCACGATTCAACAACTTCTTGCTTAGTAAAATGGAGTAGCATACAGGAAATAATAACCTTTGACAAAATCGAAGCCAGAACCAGAGTTGCTCCGGATGTCACTAACAATCAGGTATCTGCCGTCGTGGGTACCGCTAAGGTTGCTGCTTGATGATCGGGGCCACATTTGCGCATTGGGGATGATATTGAAATACATAGATGAGAGCTTGTTATATTGCTCTGATGAGATCTTTAGCAAGCTAGTAGCTGGATCGAGCGTTGCACCCGTCTCCGACTGATATTTGTTGAAAGCATCTAAACTGCGCATTAGCATGATTTCAATGTCGCAAAGGACACCCACCAGTGGCAATGAGAATAAAAGTGGTTCCTGTGCCAACGACACCAGCTGTCCTGGTCAAGATCGATGTGGTCCCGTAGTTGGTATGTTGATCGACACCCAAATATCTGCTCGCTGGAGATGTTGATGTGATAGGCACATAGCCGACCAGATAGCCTACCACACTTCATGACTGCATGTGTGCGCTGAGTACGACAGGAATGAACAATAGAGGGATGTGACAGCGCACCAATTACAACTTCAGGCACTTTACTCTCCAGCACTACCTGGAGTCACGCTTGCGCACCAAGGATCTGTCTGAGCGCATTGTGAGACGACAGTTCAAGTGCCGTGCGAGACTTCGTGGCTATGATGCATGTCAGTATGATGAATACTCATCAACGCAAGAGGAACGCGCCATCGATGTTTGAAACATCAGTTCATCCGGTCCATGATGCGCCTATGCTGGCTATCGAAGTAGGGCCATATCGGGCCTGCAGGCACATTTAGTTCCAGGAGAAGCCTGGTCAGTGCTGGTCAAGAACAAGACATGCAATAATAACGAGTAAACGTACTCAATCCCTCTCTCCATTTCTTCGACGCTCCTTCCTGGTTCTTGCAATCGTACCAAAAGTACTGCCTGCATCTGTCCCATCACCTTCTCAACGTTTGCCCACTTGTCTAATATCCTCTTCTGTTGTGCCGTAGAGCCTGCGTTGGCATCTGCCTCGACGGGGAGGACTCAGAGCTGCCCAGGGCAAGAGTCAAGGAGCAACTTCCCCTTTTTGTCGCAGTGCAGCTTCATACCTTCCAACCTCAATGGAAATCCCGGGGGGCTGAAAAACTTGGAACGCTGAAAAAACGCAGAGCGTCACAGTGCGCAACTTTGGCGCTTTGATGCAGTTCTTGAGGATATGGAGGAAGACTTCACAACCGAGCCTAGGGCAAAGCGCATCAAAAAATGGACTGGAAGGAATGAACTGGGACAAACGTTTTAAGTAGTCTACAAGCGGTCTACTAGCAAAGCTCGTTTCGTCACTCAGTAATCCCTCACGCATCTCCGCATATAACGCTACGAACATGCACCAGTTATTTCGGAGTACCCACAGACAAGTGACACAACGCACCACCAGTAGAAGCCCTGACGGTAACGAACCGATCAAAGTTATCCTCTACGAGAATGCCGTGACGGACGGCCTCTGAACGGGCATCTGCCATCAATGGACGACTGGAGATGGCTAATGCCTGCTGCAAGATCATGGTATGTGTATGTTGCGTTTGGGTGGACAGTAGATAGAAAGGCTTGGGGATCAAATGGAAGAGATGAGGACAGACATCTCTGGAACCATATGAACGACCAAAATCCCAGCTGAAGTCACACAATCACACACTCGATTCCGCATCCAAAGTTCAAACTCGTCAGACTGCGAACGTTGTTGACGCCGAATGGCGGGCTCAAATGACGACACATACTCAATGATGCCGCCAAGGTCCACGGGGTAACCGTCTCCATCGTTGGATTGGGAGGTGAGGAGGTCAGAAAGAGGATCTTCCAGGTCATGATCTATCTCTTCTCATTTCCTATGCAACGCCAGTACTAGTTGTATATTTAGAGTCTAGACAAGAGTTACATAAAGAAGATAGAATTCCCACGAAACAGTTCGGGGAGGACAAACTTTGTGGCTGGCCATGGGCCTATAGCCTACGCGGCATTTTGAGATGCAGTTGAGGATTTCTGCCGTACCAAGCACCATAAGGTCCAAGCTTGGCACGGGACACATACGTGGTAACTGGTAGCTTTGAAACTGATGCAGAGCAGCTTGACGCATGATTGAATGATGCATAAGTTGCAGATGAAAGCACACCCTTGAGAAGTCCCTCCAGAAGTGTAAATACAACCATAAAATAGCTTTTATGATCGCACTCGATGCATTGTCAGGTCATTTTATAGAATTGAAGCTACGAACAAACAGGGGCAAATTCGGGCGAGAACACATACGCTATGTTGAAGACTGGAAATGCTTGAGCGGTTGCTGCAATCCAAGATCGAGATTCATTGACGCTCCGTTTTCCCGACATCCTTTAAATGATGAATAGCAAAGTGTTGACGTCGACCCTGTAGTGGGATGGACTCTTGGTAGCAGAAAAGGCCTGTGAATCTTGCCAGATATTGGCAGATCTGAGGGGTAGGGGCGACTATCTCCGTCCGCCCGCAGTCTGTCTAGGGGATACTGGGTAAATGTATCACCAAACGTACATGGCCGTCGTTCATGTAACACATATGAGGTTTATTGGAGAGGCGAATTGAAAATCGACTCTGAAAATACTCCGTCGGTATCTCGAAAGCCTCCGCCATGAAAAACCCATGTTTCATTATGCGTTGAAATAAACTTGTGAGAAAAACGTGAAAATATGTGCAAAAATAAGCTACAAAACACTCAGTGGTCAATCCCACCGCACTCGCCGAGCAAACTCCCTAATGCGAGAGACAAAGCGATCCTCGATCTCATGACCAGCACCAGTGGCAACTTTCAGTATGAGCTCATTCAAACCTGTCGACCCAAGGATGTCAACGTGATCTGAAGTATTTGCTCCACCCCGAGGGATGTTAGGGGCGGGTTGATGAGGGAGCTGTATTTGAGGGTATGAGGGATATCACAGGATCGCAGAGAACGTTGCCGACGTACCTCAACAGTGGTAACTTTGATCCTCCCGGATTCCATCTTGGTCTCTTCCAGCCTTCTGCACACATCGCTCCCAGGCTCAATAGGCTGACAGTGCCATCCCCTTCACCCATCTTCACGCCATTACGCACCTATAATCAACATACATATGACGTGAGGTATGATTAAGGTCGTCAACTTACCTTGGGCGTTGTGGTCTCTTGCGTGTAATCAGCATCTATCCAGTTCGCCCTGGAAAATGACATATCTAATGGCGGGCGTGATACATAATTGCATTTGTCGGTAGGGTCGGTGCAAGTCGAATCCTCAACCTCTACAAACGATTCTTCGTATTCGTGTGGTCCGTGAGCATACCAGTATGACCTCTGTTACTGAATTCAGTATTGTAAAATGCAACAGAAAAACCTTGGGGAGTACTTCAGTTTCTTTTCCATGACCGTAAACACAAATGATCCTCATAGAAGGCGCATTTGGTAGCCTATGAAAATTCATCAGTTTGCTTTAAGAGGCTTATTAAGAACGACATACTGCACTTCCAAAGGGTTTGTCCATTTCCTCGGATCTAGGGCGTTCTTCTTGAGCACCTGTTCATTCCGCTCAATACCGAACGAGTAGTTGGTCCATAACATTTTCTGTCTCTTTGTGAGCGTTATTTTACAGAAAAGACACGGCAGTCATCAACCTGGAATGTTGAAGGAGTACGCTCCAAAATCCATGTGCTTGCGTCATCAGCTGTCATGTTCTTTGTTGGCTCCACACTTGGGGTAATGTTATGCGCAGAAAGTGGCACGGCTGCTTGTCTGAACGCAATCAGTTCGCCATGAGTATGTGATGATTCGGGCTCGTCATCAGGTGCCCAGTTGGCATCGCCCCAAACATCTGTTCCTCCCTGTAAATTGTTGCAGAGGCGCTCAACCGAAGATGATAGTCTCACTCACCTTGATCCACATGCTGGCACTGCCAGCCCAACTACAGAATAGCTTCTGCCGCTCCTTTCGCGAGAAAAAGCGTTCGAGCACTTCAGGGCATCATAAGATTATTACAACCGAGAAACCTGAAAGGTCCTGACCGTATGCGCCAGCAGGATTCATCTGCACTGTGTCCTTCATTTCACCAGATAAGAAAGCAGCCATAGCTTTTGCCTTTCACAATAAAAACAGTAAATCCATGAGTGGTAAACAATAATAAGGCAATGAAACAGGATCTACCACGCCCTGGGAATGCAATTAGTGATCGTCATTCGAGGAAAGGAATGACTCACAAGATGTGTCCCTGCGATGGTAATATAGGACTCGATATGATTCTAAACAGAGTTTGTTAAGGGTCTCGTGTTATGAGGGGGTCAGGGGCTGACCTCTACCCAATCTGGTCCACCGCCTCCGTGTTCGGGAGACTCGACCCATTTGAAGCTACAAGCAAGAGGTCAAAAAGAAATCGCCAACCGAGCAGATCTGAGACCTACAAGTACTTTCATCGAATGATCAGTTTCACAGGAGGAACTATCTGAGAAACTCGACTTACCAGCATGACCTAAAAGTACTGCAATCGACAAGGTGACAGCGACAAAGGAAACTAGGACATACTGTACTACCCATTGAGTGCGCAGCAATAACGGTCTTCTTGCCTTGTCGTGCCCTGTCATGGAATATGAACTTGTCTGGTGCGATATTCAAATTTGTGGCACCATACTTGAACCCTTCTATTGTAGTTTTCAATTTCGAGAAGTACCCATCTCGTTCTTCCAGATTGCACATGGAGAGCCTCCAATCATATGGAGCTAAGTGAAGATTGTTCGTGTCATAGTTTACTACAGCAAGATTCTCCACGATCTTGGACCTGAATATATGCCGTCATTTTCAACGCTCAAAAGAACTTACAAAACACACCAAAGCCAATACCCGGTCATAAAGCTACTTGCAGCACCTATCCCTTCTGCAGCTCGAATTTTGACACCTGGAGGATCGAGACCGGTGACGGGATCGAGCATCATGGCTGAAATCCACTTTTCACGATTGAAAATCACTTGTGAGACCATATTAAAGCCTCCCCAAAGTTTTTCGCGGAAGAAAGCTCGATACTCGGGTGAAGTAGACCAAGACTCCAAACCCTAGTTGCGGTTTAGATGGTGATCGACATCGATTAAACGCAGATTAACAGTGTGACTTACGGTGGATACGATGCCAGGCACGAGTACGATGGGATAGTGTGCCGTCAAGCCTCGGGCCTTCATCGCCTCCCCGACTTGAAACTCGCGTCCGTCATTGTTCAGCTTCCAAACCTCTGGGATATTGTTCCGAAACCGTTTCCATTCCAATTCGACGCGTGATAGATCAATGTCTGGTATTTTGAGCGAGATGTCATATTCTTCCATGATGAGAAGCAGGTTGCTATGAATGTCTTGCAAGTCTGAAGGCTGGATGAGGATGAAGCCTAATAATATTCCAACTGTGCGACAATGTCATCAAATCTCAGGAGATAGCATATAAATGACATACGTAGGATTCCAAGAGGGAACAGGAAACGAGCTTTGACGAAGAACCGACGTTCTTTCTGGGGCGGGCCAACATGAGGCATTGAAAGAACCACATCATGCCGAACATACCTTCATCTTGTGTATCTGAGCATCGAACAACTTTGCTTGCTGTGTAGCTTCCATCTGCACATCATGCAATTGCTGCGGTTGGTCCTGTTCCTTTCCAACGTCACTCTCGAATGGGGGCTTGGCTGCTTCTGAATGGTTCGCTGACCGTCGAGTTCTTATCCGTTGCGACAAGGTAGACATGGCTGTGAAAGTCCATAGTAAACACGCTTGCTCGTCATAAAAAATAATGTGCATGTATCTACCTCCTGTCAAGGACTATATCTGCAGTCAGCGTCTAAGTTATGCAATTTGAAAGTAGCAGAACAAGCAAACCTAAGCAAACGCAAAGCCACATATTTGATAGCCGAAATGAGTTATGTTCCGTTGATAAGATAATTTGATTGTGTTGATAAGCCATATATGCATAAGTACTACCGCGTAGCCTACAGCGTCTTGCAACGTGATACCAACTCATCATAGGCCACACCAATAGCAAGATGCCACTAGATCTTGCATCCGTTGAACCCTCCAACTCTGCCATACTCGTCATCGACGTACAGAACGACTTCGTCAGCGGTAGTCTTGCCGTCCGCGATGCAGAGCAGATCATCAACACTATCAATGCACTCCTGACGCTTCCATTCGCTCTGAAAGTAGCCACTCAAGACTATCACCCCGCCAACCACATATCCTTTGCGCGCAATCATACGGGCAAGAAGGAGTTTGACAAGATCACCATCTTTCCTCCCGCAGAGTTAGTAGCAAAGAGGACGCCTGAGGATGAAAGGCCACTTGAAGCGCTGGAACAGGTGCTATGGCCTGTTCATTGCGTTCAGGACACGACTGGGGTGGCATTTGTGGACGGCCTGAAGCACGAGGGCCTCGAGGTCATCCGTAAAGGCTGTGACGTCGGGATCGAGTGTTATTCTGCATTCGAAGACCCATGGGGGCTCACGAACACTGGGCTCAAGGACAAGCTGAGGAACAAGGAGATATCAAATGTTTTCGTGGTCGGCATAGCGGGAGACTACTGCGTCAAGTCTACTGCACTTGATGCAAAGAAACATGGGTTCAGGACATTTGTGATTAGGGATGCGGTGAAGAGCGTGTCTGACGAGGGCACAGAATGGACTGAGATGACCAAGGCGGGAGTGGAAATCATTGACACGGCTGAAGAACTTTTGACGTCAAAAATATTCTCTCAGTAGCTTTCATTCACAGCTGTACATCGAAATGCCTCATTGAACAGCTCGTCCTGAGTACCTTCAAAGCATTCTACAATCATACGAGCGTCCACCACCATCTCCATCTGTTGCAAAATGCGACCCAGCACCGCAATCACTGTGTCCTTAGGAAGCATCGCCAAGTCTTTTTCGTTCACATCCCTAAGACTCGACAGCATCTTGTTCGTGAACGCGATCAGAACAAGCTTGTTTGACGAGCAACATCTGGTTGTCCAACCACCACCAATACAATGTGAAGGGCTCAAAGAGGCCGCATAGCTGAACAATTCTCACAGGACTTTGGTTAAACGGCATCGATCATCCACAACACTCCACCTCGGTCCTCCTTGAAGAAGCATCGCTGAGCGTCTCACTATGTCACCTCAAGCGTCATTCACATACATAAATCGATAACTAAGGTAAACTCTCACGGTGAGTCAATCGTTCATGTACATAATACCTCATAAACAATCTAAAGCTCGCCTTCGGCGGGTCCGGCGGTCACGACAACGAGCTCGTGGATCACGGACACCCCCCCCCAGCAGTTCCGAGGCCTGATGGCCCGCTCTCGTTCCAACTCTCCTTCAATCGCCCATCCTTTGTGATCTCGCTGGAACAAGTCGAATTCTGAACGCGCACCACGTGCATTCAAATTGACAACTGGTACGGCCTTCTGCTCTTATTGCCTGTCGTTCTTCATCCAGCTAAGTCATCTCATCTCAGAAATTTCAATCTCATCCCGAAATCTTTCGAACGCTGACACCATCGACCCCTTCACTTCATCCGGGGGGGATGCCGATTTTCCGAGACTCATAACAATCTCATTGAATGATTAAATAGGAAACATCGATCATGAGCGTTCTACCTCGCTATTTTGTGGTTCTTCCCAAAATTTCTCATCGCTTGAATGACGGAAAACTTCTCCACGAGGTTGAGACGCTTGGCTTCTTGTAGCATATCGTTCAAACGTTCATCATCCATAGTCAGGACAGCGAACATTGTCTCGTCATCTTCAATCCCAATGTCCTCGAGGATGGAATGGACCTTTTCCCCGTGAACAAGTGTTGCTTCGTCTCGGAACATCCTGAATATGCCAGACGCCGTATCCGAATTTGGCTGACAGGTTGGGTATACATCAAGCTGCAACGGCATAATTGAACAAGCGAACTTACCTCTACTTCCATAGGAACTGGCGCAGGAGGGGAAGCGACAGGACGCTCCCTGCGATGAACGAGAGACGCTTCTCGTGGAGATCTTTTAGTAAACAATTTGTCCTAGGAAGTTGATGAAAAAAGATAGGTAAAAATGCAATGACATCGCGGCTGATTACTACCTGTTTCTTTCGTCCCCTCTTTTTCTCCCGGGTGCGCGTAGATGACGGTCGCTGCGAATGTAATACATGAGTTCGAGAGAAACCGTACAATTTCGAAGACTCACTTCCATGATCACTTTCTCAAACTCACTCTCCTTGTAGTAATTTGCATCTTCCGATACTATGTCAATCACGGCGACGTACCCATTGGTTATGGTTTTTTGAATGATGGCAAGTGATACACGGAAGACGGCGGCGATCTCCTTCGGGTCCCACTTGGCACGCTCTGCGAGTGCACGAATCAATGCTCGCTGATGTCGGTTAAGTTTCATTTTATCTTCTCCGCTTCACGAACGTTTAGCTCGAAATCTCCATGGGAAGAAAATCACTACTCGCGGGTGGTATTTCCTTGGTTTCTTTACCGTGACAACTGAGTGATTGTCGTCGCAGGAGTTCGGGTCGTATTCAGACCCGTCGTCACAAGAAGATTCATCCCTCTGATCGCCTCTGACGACGCCGTCATGATGCTGTGAATTCGTTATGCCGACTTGCAAATTACTGGTAGGCCGTTCCATTTGGGGGTGGTGGTGCAGACACTTTAGTCTCATTAGCTTCTGGCACGAGTGCGCAATTATCATCAACATTTACAGTTAGACTTATGAACGTACCGCTGACTGAGACAATGCCCTTGAATGCACTAAGATCAACCATATTGGAAGATGATGTTGAGAGGTATAGGGGCTTGCAGTCACTGGGCTTGTTGATGTTGTGTTATATAACCAAATCAAACCAAATACAAGATTCTTCACTAATTCGAATTCGATGATCCCCGATTCCCAACGTCAGTGGCCATGGGGGAGGGCTCTTGTCGAACACTATCGGTTTCTCGTCTCTGCCAGCTACACCCGTGTTCAAAAGCCTTTTCGGTTACAATCATTTGACCTTATTTGCTAGAGTTGTCTTTGGATCTGTCATTCAGTTCTCGCTGAACCCCTCGAACTTTTTTCCGTTATGCATACCTCGGTGGGCCGCTCCTGCACAATGCCTTGAGCTTTCCGTCATCCTCCACAATGTTCATGCGCGCGGCTCATAGCGGTTCGGATCTATCATATCTGGAGATCTGGAGTGTGATTGAATGTTGAACGGACCTATAATATTTTTGGGCCGTTCTGTCACAGCCACCAGAAGGAGCGAAGTTTTGACAGCCACCTTTGAACGCAAGCTATTTCTGTAGTGTTTCGTAAGCATGGCAAGCACCGCGAGCTTATGTCTGGCTTCCGGGATTCCCCCAGATTCTCCCTCAGTATTTCCTCAGGATACATCCAGCTGAACATTTACCCATCTTAAACCCATCTATCTGCTTATTATAAGCACAGCGCGTTTGATCCCGCGGAAACATTTCGCGTCGACGTCATGTGCACACTCGGGTTCTACCGTTCGAGTCCCAGGCTTTGCTGACACGTCCTCGAACAATTTCGAATGCTTGGCGCTGCGGTCTCAGGTGATTGAGCGACTATCAATGTACGCGCTCTAGTTGAGCCGCTTTGCTGATGCGTTCTCGAACGATCTGGAGCACCTATTGAGCGGACCTAAACAGTTTTTTTGGAGCCTGTATCGCGCTGTGAGCTCTCTCTCATAATTCAACATCATTATAGCATTCTTTTGCTCTTTCCACGGCATTGTTTCATTCGTGGACAATAGTCTGGTTTTGATGCATTAATATGACAGTCTAGACTGTAGCTAAACAAGAGAAAAGACAGTCAAGTTACCCCTTTATCACAGTGATGGCTAGACTGGGGGGACATACAAATGTTCATTTCCGCTGGGAACGAAGAACTCACGAATCTCAGCTTGAATGGCTTCAGGGCCTGGACTCAGGACGGTCACAAGCAGGTTAAGCATTACGTACAATTCAAACGCTGAACACTTCGAACCCCTGATCTGAGTGAACGGAGCCTACGAGCATCCACACCCGACTGAGATTCATCAGTTCCCTGGAATCCCATTACTTTTCACAGGTACGAGCAATCACAAGTCGTCCGTGACCGGACATATCCTTACAACACTATCAACGAGGGATCAGCAAGGTCAAGAGGTGCAAAGCATGCGCAACCATTTGTCGAAGGCGTTTGATCGATTGAGTAGTATGTTGACTCCAAAATAACCTTCAAGCCTTGAGCCATTAGCAATAAGACTAAAATACCTCGATGAACCGAACCTAATCCCGAAGTTGGATACCTGTCATGTTAATGTTATGGTCAAATTCAGAGGTCAGATTCAGAAATGCCAGTGCTTGGTATTAATTTGAAACACCTCGTCCGTCTCGTCAGGGCGGAGATTCATCCTCAATATATTTTCCTGCTCGAGGGGTACTCAATAGGGAGACGGGATTTGGTGGTGTAGTTAAATGGTTTACACGCAGGCAGTGGGTTCAACTTACCGCTAGCAGCTTCTCTGAAATTCTGTTCGGCAGGACAGGGGTTGAATAGATGAAGCTCAGCAGCATGCCCCTCTCTTAGCGTCTGATAGCGCTATTGATCCGAAGAAAGGAGTTAAGTTAAAAGATCTGGTGACTAGGTAGTCGTCAGTTATGACATGATTCCTGCTGTTGCGCCTCGGAGATGGAATATATGTCATACCGATGAATGGAAGCAAGCCAGACATGCGCCCGGGCCTACGATCATGAGATCACAACACTTGACATCACACCTGTCAGCCTGGGTTGGACCAACAGCTTGTCCAGAGCCAGGCCTAGGACTAATACCAAGCAGTGCTCGTTGTATAAAGGGCCTGTAATGTGCACTGTTCTCTCCAGATCATCCTCTTTACAACCAGGTTAGAGATCAGCATTGCATTTTATCGTTGTCTGACATTACCATACAGACCCAACATGTCTTACTCAATCTCAGTCAGAACCGTCGATACTACCTCCCTCAACCCCGGTTTCACGCTTGTCGAGAAAACCGTGTGGCACTATGCCAATGGCGGGACGTGGACCAACACAGAATCAATCCAGACGCTCGTCATGGGCGGTAGCGGTACGTCTGGTACGCTCCGCTTCAGAAGTGGTTCCGGGGAGGAGTTCCTCGTGGCACTGGGCGTCCACAACTACAAGAGGTGGTGCGACATCGTCCCTGACCTCGCGCCTGGGGACACGTGCATGAAGATCCATCCCGAGTACTACGTGGATGGCAACCCTAGGAACGAGATGCTGTGGAAGCAGCTGGCTGAGATCCAGAAGAAGAGCAAAAAGGGAACTAATGTGGATGTTAAGTACGTCGAGGAGTTTGCCGGGGGAAAGTCCTTCATCGTTCACATCACTATTTCTTGAATCTCTCGTGCACTATACACTCTCGTACCAAAGCAGTTGTCGAAAGATGCAGAACGAATGTGCTACTAGTATGTCAAAATGAAGTTGATATTATGATGAGTGTTGTAATTGCGGAACACTTGACAAGCACTCACGCAAGAAGTATAATGGATTTGATCACGTTCACATGGAAAGTGACACTGTCACACTAAATGAATGTCGTTGACCGTGTCAGATTGGCTACCGGTGATGCATTGATGTTCAAGACAACTTTGATCATAACGACGCCTACGCGCCTAATTCTCGACTCCATTTTTCTAGGATCCCCACATTTAGATCCTAGCCAATTTTACACCGTCAGGCACCCGCGATTTTTCATCCATTGTCGAAAGCCAGAATCTTGCAAACATATTGTATTTTAATCCATTCAGGTAACGAAGTAGCATCAGGTGTTAGTTGGATAAGTTAAATGCACACACAACATAGATGAGGAGGCTCACAACCAACAGCTTCGCTGTCCAGCGTAGATCCTAGGGAATAAAACATCCACCCGTGAAAGACTAAGTCGGAATCGATCATGAGCACAATATGCATTCTACTTCGCTATTTTGTGGTTCTTCCCGAAATCTTTCATCGCTTGAATAACGGCATTGTCTCGTCATCTTCAATCCCAATTTCCTCAAGGATGGAATGGACCTTTTCCCCGTGAACAAGTGTCGCTTCGTCTTGGAACATCTTGAATATACTGCACATTGTATTTGAATCCGGCTGACAGGTTGAGTACAGATGAGATTGCAACAGCATGATTGAACAAGCGAACTTACTTCTACCTCCATAGAAATTGATGCAGAAGGGGAAGCGACGACACGCTGCCTGCAAAGAACTTCTTGCACAGATTTGTTGGAGGTTTTCGCATATGTTTTGTCCTAGTGTTCATATAATAAGGTCATACCAATAAGGATAAACGTGCGATGATATCACGACTGATAATTACTTGTGTCTTTCGTTTGCTCTTTTTCTCTGGGGCGGGCGGCAGCTGCTGCGAATGTTATACATGAGTTCGGGAGGCACGCTGTGCAATTTTCAAGACTAACCCCTAAAATCAACTCTTCAAGGTCACTCTGCTTATAAAAATTTGTGTCTTCCGATACTTTGTCGGTTACCGTGATATAGCTGTTGGCCACGATCCTTTTAATGAGAGGAAGCGATACATGGAAGGTGGCGGCGATCTCCTTGTGGTCCCACTTGCCACATTTTACGAGTGCACGAACCAATGCTCGTTTATTTCGGTCGAGTTTGATTTTATTTTGACCCCTTCACCGTGAAATGATTAAGACAGAATTTTCCATGAGGTATGACTATACGTACACACTGAATTTGTTTGATTTCTTTACAGCCAGATGGTTATTAACACAAGATTTCGGATTGTATTCAGACCCGTCTGACAATTCGTCCCGCTCGACCACACCGTCATCATGCTGTGAGATAAATTGCCGGTTAGGTCGTCCCGATTGGGGGGGCATTTTAGGCTCCTGAGCTTTTGATTACTAGGTGTTTAAATCATCAACATGCACATTTTTTTTAAATTGTGAAATGTACGACTAATTCTCTCAAAGTTTCTGAACATACTGTTGCTAATGGAAGACATGGTGCGAGAGGTCGAGAAATATAGGGGCTTGTGAGAATCATGTCATGCTGTCAAATAAAACCAAATAAATTATAATAGCTCCTGTTCGAATTTGATATTTAATCAGATCCTCTAGAGTCTGAGATCTGCTTGAGAGTTAATCATTCACAACATTCTGGGAATCATTTCATTCGGGAGTAAGTTGCACTTACCAACGTTTTGAGGTCATACTCATATAGTGTATCGAGGATAGCCAATACATTATCCACGCAGATGTAGTACAGCAATGATAGGTTCGCAAGGATCACAAAGACCCTGCCTGAATTGTCATATGCGCGGCTGAAAGGATCGAAACCATGTAGTTCGGCGTGCTGGCCGCCGCGTTGCAATGGACACTCTCAGAGTCTCATGAAGTCCTTGCCGTAGGTATTCCAGATTCGTACGAGGAACCCTTTTAAAGGGGACCAATCTAACGAGCGATGAGAAACAACTATCTCAATACGAGTATAGTCACCTACCAGTCTGTTCCACATATCTGTGAGGTATCTAATATTCATGCGTATCCAGAAGAATGGGAATATGGCAGAAATTCCGCAAGGCAGTGTCTCATCGACATTTCTTATTGCTCACTGCCGATACTATCAAGAATGGTTCCGAATTCGGAGTAACACCAATCATACCAAGGCTGTTGCATGATCCGCACAGACGGAGTTACCAAATTTTTCTCATCATTGTCGAGATATTTGAAAAATGGAGAGTACTTGGTCTTGAGTACATTCCTCGTGGCAGCATAAAATCATGGAAAACCCCACAAAAGATAAAAGCTCTCGAATTCATCTAGGCTGAAAGTCAATCGATACAAGATAGTGATGTAGTAACTGACGGAAGTACACCAGCTATGCACGCATTAAAGGAGCTACGGCTCTTACCAACGGCAAAAACCACTCTGGTCGCAGATTTTTGTAGCTGTGGGAATGATCTGATATGAAACTGCCTGCTTGGTCTATCATCGATGTGTATTACCGACTCGAAAATCCACAAAACCGGCCTTGAAAAGTGAGCAGGCTAATCAAATGGCACCCGCTCGAATCGTCACGATTTGATGGGCGTTTCTCTAGATGTTCGAGGTTGCTTCTCCTGCACCAGCCATCGACGTATAAATTGTGGGGAGCCTGATCAAATTTACCGCCAGCTATACAGGTCTTCCAGAGTTGACACTACACATGTCCCAGAAGACTCTGAGAAGGCACTCCTCTTCGGACCTGATGTAACGATAAGGTTTTCACTGAAAAGTTGAGTCGTGTTGACCCAATGACCACCATGATGCTTTAGCCAAGGCAGGAGCCGACTTGGAGGAAGGGTGACATATCTGTCGTCAAGAGTGCAACAGGCTCGGAGATAGCTCAAGGCACCTCCGAGTCGATAGCACATTGCCAGAAACACCTGGTATCGGCTCAAGTACAATCGCTGCATTCGATAGCGATGACTCTAGAGCGTCGCTTTCAATGTTTTATGCCAAGGAACAATTCTCAGTTTGGACTAGTCTCCCCTAGTAGTGGCTAGAGTCCAGGAAGACAGTCGTTCCAATAAATAGTACTTCAAGGATCTGGGTCCTCTTGCACTGTACTGCCATCTGGGACTGATCCGTAGAGTACGCCTCTCCCTTGAGCCATAGAACAAAGTGCTGTAGCACATACTATGTTTGGTTGAGGCTCTGTCACGATGGGCATGGAGGCTGTGAGCGCTTGAGCCTGTGGTCATGAGTCAATGTTGAAAAAGAGACCAAACCAGAAGTCCGTTCGTAACTTAATCAACACAGGACACTGGTGGCAGTGGCAGAATAGAAAAGCTACAGGATATGAGTGTTTTCAGATTCAACGAAGAGAGTTCTCTTTGCAGTCGATTTACGAATAAGTCACCGGGTGAGAACATTTCGCAAGGTTGTGGCAAGAAGAAAGATGTCATCGGTCACGGTGCATGCAACTTGAAATCGCACCGTCTAGTTATGTAAGTCAAGCTTACTTGCTGGCAGCCATGTTGACTGCTATGGCCAGCCATGCGCAACGAGCTCTTCTTTTCTTTCCTTTTCGACGTTATCTCCACACTCGAATACGAAATCGGCCGTTGCTACCTTTGACTTCGCGCGCGAATTCATTCATCCCACAACTACCGCACTCACGTCTTTCTCGTACCTTATCATCCCAAGCGTTTGTCTGCTGTTTCCCTATTGACAATCATGGACCGCTAACGCTCGACAAGACAGCCTACATGAAGCATCATACCCTCCACGATCCATCCTAATTGTGAACAAGCTCCGAACTGATCCTGTGATTGGGGCAATTGACGAACTACTGAAGTGCGTAATAGTCTTCCTGCGCTCTTTTAGCCGATTAACAGGTGGTACCCAACACGCAACAGTCATGTAGCGAAGACGTATCCGGGTGTGAAGGTGTTCTCTGAAGACCGTCCAGACATTCCATTCGGCACACAGGTGTGGCGTCCCGGTGAGTAGGTTGCACACGCTGAAACAACCTGTTTGAATGGGTTCATTCCAGGGCCTCATGCTGAGAAAATTGATCTTGTCGTGACTCTTGGAGGTGACGGTACCATTCTGCATGCTGCATCACTCTTTAGTCTTGGAGCAGTCCCTCCTGTGCTAAGTTTCTCAATGGGCACTCTTGGATTTCTACTTCCATTCCGTAAGTGCACACGCCCTAATGCTGAGACGCCACTGAACATGCGATAGATATCGATGACTTTGTGAAAGGGCTCGAAGCAGTGTTTCAGGGCAAGGCAACCATCCTCGATCGCATGCGTTTGTCGTGCACTTTTTATGACAAGGACCGCAAGAAAATAGGATTCGGTGATGATGGTCTGGATAAAAACAGTGCAAGTATGTACCCATGATGCTGATTTAATTCCAGAATGGCAGGTTATGAATGAGATTGCGCTACACCGTGGGTCAAGCCCACACCTTAATACCATTGATATTTATGTAGACGGGCAACACCTCACGGAGGCCGTCGTGCGTACTAAATCTCCCAAGCACCGCGCGTAACTGATTTCTGTAGTCTGATGGGGTGATTGTGTCAACGCCAACGGGATCAACGGCATACTCTCTTTCAGCTGGAGGGCCTATCGTACATCCCTCCTTGAGTGCTGTAGTACTCGTGCCAATATGTCCACGAAGCTTATCGTTTAGACCACTCGTCTTCCCCTCATCTTCATCTGTAACACTGCGTGTGAGTCATGCGTCCCGCGTATTATGACAGCACGTGGAAGCTATTACTCAAATGTTTGATTGACACTATTAGATCGGTGATCGTTCCCGTGCTGCGGCCGGCGTTTCGATGGACGGGCGTGTATCGCATGTTCTTAATCCAGGGGAGTCCGTTACTGTACAGGCTTCACCATACCCAGTGCCTTGCATTAACCGCTCCTCCATATCCGATTATGGAGACGAACAACCAGGCGAGGAAGGCGTTGGTCCCGGAAAAGAGGACGATTGGGTCCGGGATATCAATAATTTGTTGCAGTACAATGCAACGTTTAGGAGCAAGGCGCTTCTTCGTTATAGCGGCAAAACCTAGGTTCGAGGTAAGCGCCCGAAGATGTTGTTCTTCCGTTACATGCTGTATTTGACGCCGGCTACGAAGGAAAATGAGCGCTTGGATTGGCGCTTGATCTTGGCTGGCGCTTGGTCGAACGCTTTCAGTACCTAGTCGTGTAGTTCTACACTGTTTTTTGCAGTGCAATGCCAGCGGCAAACTATCAAAGATTTTACTATGACCAAAGATTCCTTGAGTGGCTAGACTCGTCAGCGTTTATGCGCTGCCGATTACTCGATCTCGTCAGGACGCAGCTTGTCGATTAAGTCCCGAGAACGAGTCAACTTATTAAAAACCCATTCATTGAGAAGCATGCGTATTGGGTACTGTGTGATATGATGGGAGCATAGTAATACACATCTTTGTTCATGTCCATTTGTGAATTGATACAGCAGTAATATATGAAACATTAAAAAATAATAATATCCGTCCCACCGAACTGTTCAACACTAACTGGATATTTACTTCGCTCGGGTATCATATATCATATGTGAGCTGAAACACAAATACTCCGTATGTGAAGGTAGCTATGTATACATAGTGAGATAGGACCCGAAGCCCAAAGATGCTCAGTATTATGCTGCGATCAGGCACCCAGCCGCTGAAACAGACGTCTGGGAATGAGACTGTGGAGAGCTGATGATGAATGCGATGACGAATGCTGCTCCTTCTCGTTGCCCTCGGTCGAGCTACAAGGCCGATAGCTTGGAGGGGGTCCAAATACTTTGATCTCCGGCTGGACATGCACGTCTATGATTTCATATCGTGCCAAATGCGACATGATTTTCGACCATGCCACACTGCTGATGCCCACAGAGCTCTGCTTCCCATTCGCCAGCACATTTAGTGAGAAGGATATCCGGCTTTTGTCAATGCCAGTGAGATCGCTCTCAAATGCTGATCTAGCAAACGTGACTGCTTGCTGCAATGATCGCGCTCAATTTAGTAGTGGTCGAGTGGCTAGGGCTGAAATACTCACATCGAAGTTCTCCGCCGGCGGGACATACATCATTTGGTTGTTAAACCGATATGTGATAACATCTGCGGGGGCTGGGGACTGGCGTCTTGCAAATGTTCGCATAGCGAGTGATGATCAGCGCGCGGAAGATTTGTTATGCAGAATTGAAGGAACATGTTGACCTTTTATAACATGTGCGGCGAAGGCCACGGTGCAGTACCGCTACCCGAATATCCTTTGTTAGCGTCTGTTGGTGCTGTGGTATCTTGTGTTGCTATGCTTCATTGCGGTGCAGTTTATACATTTCTGCCATCCAAGACGCCGACCTCTAGAAGACACAGCTTAACGTTATGTAAGCTGTATCGCACAGCAGCCCAGTCTGAGGAACCCACTGCATGCCACCGCCAACTGCCAACTACTCTCTTAGTCTACAGAACTCTCAGCTCATCTCAGTTCTTTTTAGTATAAAAAAACAATACAGGAAGTCAGCAAGTACGTTAAACTTGAAGATCAACCAACAATCCAAACTGGCTACCCGCCGCCCCAACACGCATCGCTTTCCGTGCTGACGTTCGCTCAATGGACTTTCCATTGATCTTCGATTTTTTGACTCTGACTAGGCACTCTTCCGCAAAGGCATCACCTAAGCCCTCCGTACATGCATCCCAAAGCCCGACCGGTAGAGTGTCTCGACAGTTCGAGCCCTTTTGGGCAAGGAACATATGAAACGTCTGGCCTGATAGTGTATGGACATGGACCGGAACTCGTTCTGATACTGAGAGAACTTGGGACAAATGATGTATGCTCTCGATTGCCATAAGCACCTGGGCCATAAGCTGGATGCTACGACTACTGATCGGCGTAGTTTCAGATCCAGCGTTAGGCCCTGAGCCGGCAGATGCAGGCATGGTACGGAAATCGAGGCTATGACCATCTGACGTGTAAAATGCAAGGAAGGCGCATGCCTCTGATTTAGTCCATTTTTCTTTCTCCCGTTCCTTACTTGAGGATTCTATTGCCCGCAGGTGCATCACCCGCACGACCCATCGCAAAACGAGGGCGCACATGAGTTGCTCGCTCGGTAGTTCTTCCAGAGCAACAGTACTGCTATGAAGGATATGCAGAAAAACTGACATTCGCTCCGATGCGGACCTGAGTGGCAGGGGGGCCCAATTTTCTTGACTATTGCCATGAAACGCGGATGACACCAACAGCCTGGAAATATCTGGCACCGTCACACTTTCCGGGGCAACGCGCGTTCCTCGCCTAACGTATTCCGTGACACATTTTGGTCGCAGTGGAAGGTGAGACCGGGATTGGGATATGGCCGACGCCGGAGTCTCTGATTCTTCATCTGGCGCGTGGAGTTTTTGGAGCTCACCGCGCAATGGGGCGAGGAGATCAGCTTCATCGTCTTCATCGTCTTCTTCCACGACATCAATGAGCTCATCCTCGTCATCCTCGTCCATCTGAGATGTGTCAGATTGCCTCACTTCAGGGTCCCTAGTCGCCTCTGGCGCTTCCGGCAGCCCTACGGCATCTTCCAAAATGGCAAAAATCCACTCCCGGATAGGTCTGCCGATGCTCCGCGCTACATTCTCCGCATCGGGGTTTTCCAAAAACAACCTTGGCCAAAAAGTCCCAGTATTCAAGATATCCATGAGCTTTGGTTGCAAGTGACCCGATCGGTATGCAGTGATGTAGAGAGAGTGGAGCTGGAGTAGTTGAGTATCATGCTCCACTGTGTTGTCATCGGCTGCTTCATTGTCGGTAGATAGTAATAGCGCATGGGAGAACAGTCCCGGCAGGCGGCAAGTTTCTGCACGATGCAGTGCACAAATTTTACTAGGCCAAAGACCATCCGGCCCAAATGTATCTCCGTCATACTTGTCAATTGCGTACTGCAATGCTGCGTTAACAATCCGGTCAACGATGGCATCTATTTCTCCGGAAGCCATGGTGCTTGGCGGTCTGATTAAAAGTGCGTGCACAGATCTGTCAATCAAATCCATGACTGAACCGACCTGATGCCTGGCTTTTCGTTTCTGAGTGGCGGCGGAGAGTATAGTGTTTAGAGTGGACCCAACACGGGAAATGCGTTGCGATAACGTTAGCTGTCGCTCGAAAAATAAACTTTGCACGTTCCGTTGTGTAGAAGACTGGTTGGAAAAATCGTTTCCGACCAGGGCGCCGAGCAAGGGTAACAGGGTGACTGGAATCTTGAAATGGGACGCCAAGACAGCCGGCGTGTAGACCGAAACTGACAGAGTGAGATCCGTGCTATGCTCGGGAGGTATTAGGCCCCTGTGAATCCCTTGTTGAGCAGCGCTTTTCTTTTTTGTCTTTGCTTTCTTCACTATGCGGAACTCGCCGTCCTCGTCACCAGAGCCTGCGCCCACAGATTTGGGTGCGGCCCACAGCATGTCATCGAGCTGAATATATCCTGCATATTTCCCGGAATTGAGAATGACAAAATCCGAGTCATTACCGACAACAAATGCCCCGAGCCTGCCGGCGAGTTCGACAGCATAAGGATCGCCTTCTTCATCTGCAAAATGCACTTCCAGAGTATCTGCTGATGAGGCAACTTCACGAAGTGCATGCAGACATGCATGATACGCAAGTGGTGGTATCATCCGCGTTTCATGCAAAAAGCGAGGAGTTGAGCGTGATGTCTCAGAAGTTCTGAAGAAAAGAAGGCTCCTTTCAACGATCGAGTGATTGAGGCGGCTGATGAGGGTTGGAATCTTCAGCTCTGGGGCAGAACCTTTTCAGAAGATCGCTTAGATGCGCCACAAAGAAGAGGCAAAGGGACATACCGTCAAAGACAAAGTATACCCTGAGACCCACAGCCATCCATGCTTTCACGACACCTTCAACACATGCAGAGAACGCTTTGTACTCGCCACCATACACCCAAGGTAATTTAGACTCTTCATAAAGCTCATAGATGAACCTGAAGGCCGCAGCATAATCAATGTTATCACCAAGCAATGGACGACATCTTCATATACTCACGACCAACCATCGACCACGATTGAAGTCACGTCGGTCGAGCTCGAGGGAAATTCGATGGCTTTGGCGAGAATTCGCTGATTCTCTCGCAGATAGGTGGTAAGGCCATGAACGCCCATAACAAGTCCATGGTGTGGCACTGCGGAATGTGGGTGACGAAAAAGGCAACTTAGGATACGTTACTAGCTAGGCTTGCAATAACTCTGGCAAAATATAAGTTCGAAGTTTTCGACGAACCAATCCCATTAATATTGATAGGTTCTAGTCTACTACCATTGAATCGTACTCTTGACACTGTCAATAAATTCCTATGCGTGCAAAAGCACCGCGATTGCAGTCTTGGTTCACCAGGGCCACAGGTTGCAAGCAAGAATTATGAACTATGTGGCTTGATATTTAGATTTACTGTTGATAAGATACTTTCAGCCAAGTTTCAATAGGAGCGTCCCACACCAAGTAGGTTTAATCGCTGGTCCAAGCACTCTGAAGAAGCACAGTTAATCAGTGACCAGTCGCATTAAGGGGTGATGCAAACGGGGATTGATTTGTTTTGGTGGATGGATGGCATTGATTAGCCCCCAAAAGAGCATCAGAATATCCAGCCAAGGCTATAAGAAACGCCGCTGTGAGAGAGGTTGGCGCTGCTTTGCACTGGAGATTTCCATGTCTGCCCAGTTTTGGCCAGGACAAGCGACAAATCATGCTGCGTAGCAGTGACTGTCAGGGTGCGATAAGGGTGTGAAATACAAGTAAGGGGCGATCTGGGTTGATAACTGGTGATGAGGTTGGCTACAGCATCGACGCAAATAGAAGCTAGTAATGATGCGGAAGAGCGAATGAGTCTGAGAGGGCAGAGTCTGGTAGAGTTCTTGCATCGCAACCAGGTACGGTGCAGAGAAGCCTTATCAGCGACAACAATGGGAGCTCGTTTACATTGATCAACTCCCCTGATAGCGCTGGGATGATAATTCCAAACGAGTCTATCGTAGTGACAGTTTCCCTGTTAAGTCATCATGCATTTGTAAGCGGGCCATAGTGGCCATGCCTGCGTGCAGTGCATACCTCATCTCACTATGGGCCACAATGTATACAATAAGCCCATTGAGATTGAGGTATGCGACAATCAAATGGAAGTTCAGATTCGCTGAAAATGGATTTGCGACGGGGGACTGACGCATCATGCTATACCTGAGATGCAAGCGATTAATCAATCGGTGGGCGCAGGTTAAAACAGTCATAAATAACTTACCCAGACAGGACCGTACTTGGGTCCACAAGCGACTTACAAAGTGATTTGTGAACGGTTTATTGGCGTTGATATTTATGGCAGTTTCCGACACTGAAGAATTTTTGTGCAGATGTAGTTCGATTCTGCCAAGCAGGCAGATCGAGATGATGATCAGAAGGCGCCATAGCAGTGGTACTCGTGAATCAACATCTGATAGAAATGGTTTATAGGAGATACTGACTTGGGTAAACATATTCTTGGCTCATATGCTGTATAGACAGTGCAGGCAGATCGACATATGTCAATGACAAATTGATATATCACTGGCGGAGTAGTAGGGGTCAACATAACACCACAAGAAGCCATAAAAATCTTCTCGGCGCATGGGGTAAAAACATCCAGTAATCGGGAAGGCAGCGACTGAAAGAGCTGTGTAATACGAGAACCACGTCACCTATAATGATTAAATAGATTAAACTATATTGCAGTGGTTCGAATTGAGTTCGTGCACTGCAGTACGGACCACATGCGCAGTTTTCCATTCTGAAATGACTAGTCTGGTGCAGGTAGTTTAGGATGGGCGCACACAACTTACCAGCCAGGGTTGAGTATGACCACATCTCGCTGCGCATGGCGCAAGCTCCAATCATCACGTGTGCATGAAGCGATGAGGCCCGGGGCCTGAGGACTCGTCTCTGCAAGTCATCAATCCACAGCATAATTTGCGCGTGTATTCTGGGAAGTATGATAGGTTGAAGCTGTCCAGCTCTAGTGGATACTATTAGTAAGGCTCGATGGTTTGACATGATCATGACGGCAGGCCCCAACATTATCGAGGAGGGGTAGCGAGTGGCCACATTTCTGGGATCGACTTGGACATCAAACAGCCAGACTGGACAATTGCAACTTGACATGGACATGTGGACTGTGGCTTTTGGGAAGCCATGAGCCATAGTCCATCCCGGGCCACCGTGCGGCGTGGACCTTGTCACGTGCCTCAACACGTTACCCGTCAGTATGAACTTCAAACGTTTAACTCAGCAACGGACAATCATCCGTGACGCGGCACTGACGCCTACAGCGCTTCAGCTCACCGCATTAGACAGTGAGCACACGACTTCGCTCTGCAGTGACACGTACATGTCTGTCGAAATCTCCAAGAGAACGCGATCCCAACTAGCCGTACCTGATCATGTCCTGAGGCTACCCCTTGCGCGTTCTCCTCTCAAGCACGCCAGAGTCAGGTCGAGGAACCAGTTACATTTAGAATCAAATGAAAACAAGGAGGGCAAGGAAGATATGGATGTTAAAGAAGAGGAGGAAGACGAGAATGAGAATGACGAGATACTCTTGTCGCCGAAGAAGAACAAACGGTCGTCCGATACATGTCCTGAAGATCTGCCCAGTGCCGCCAGTTATCGTGAAGCAAAGCGTATCAAAATTGATCCATTACCAGCGTTGAGCTTGGTGTCAATGGGTTACTCTGCAGAAAACCGTGAATTAACATCACAATCTCGCAGGAAAATGACGGAATCGTTTGTCCGCGCTGCCACTGAATCGGCATGCCATGCTACGAACGGCAAGGTCAAATCATGCGCCGTTTTTTCTGGGCGTGCACGCTCTGTTCCGCTTCCTACAGATCATGTTCCAGAACTTGACCTTCGAACCCTTTCTCCGATGCGCTCGCCTCGGAAGGTGCCCAATCAACTGAAAATCACGCCTGTCCCTCCATCCACAGAGGCGGTCCAGACCTCTCCGCTCACACCACTCTCCGCCACCAATGAGGGTGCTCTCAGCACAGAGCATGCAATGGATGTTGACACTGCGTCCGCTATGTCCCACTTCACAAACATACCGAAATTTGACCTCAAGCTTCCTGATACAACCAACCTGATTGTTCATGTCGAGTCTGCAACACCACGAAACCTGACCGGATATCCTTCACATATGTCTCTTTCCCCTCTTACGCCTCCGCCGCCTACTTCATTCATAGGTCACTGTCCCGCTGTACCAAGTCTACTTGCTGTTGCTGTCGAGGTGCGCTTATCATTGGGCATCAAATGCTTTATCAAAATTAACACCCCCGTTTAATAGAAGAAATCCAAGCAATCTCCAGATATTGTGGATAACATTTCGTCATTGAATGTTGCAGGATCTTCAACCTCTTCGGCCGCTCCCTCTCGTCTTCCGCGTCCATCCACGTCCGCTTCGTCTCTTATTTTTCCCCCGCCCGTACCAGTGAAACGGGGGCGCTCAGCAACTGTTGGAAGTTCCCATGCAGTGCGCTTAAAGCCTATCGGAAATTTATCCAAAGGCAAGAAGGCCATGCTGCCACCTTCTGGCCCTCGCCGCGTGACACGCAGCGTATCAATGAAAGAGAAGAGGCCTGTGAGCCCCGACGAAAGCGACGCGCCACCCGAAGCCAGCACTATAAATACCTCGTTGAATACAGACGATGAGCCTGCCAGTGTGGCGTCATCATCTCAAACCTCGACTTTCAAGGGTAAACTCGAGCGCATTATTATCGTATCTTTTCTGACAATTTCATATCTAGTCTCGAACTTTGACAGCTCATCGGTCAAAGGTTTCCCAGACCCTGCCAAGTTTAAACAAACATCACTCGCCTCTTTCATGAAGGCCAAACCTACACCTTCGTCGTCTACAACTGGACCATCGTCATCTAGCTGTGTGCAACGATCACCTCTATCTCCCTCTAGGATTCCGCTTCCAGTGTCTCCGATTAAGCAACGCGCGGGACCCTCCCCAGTAAAAAGGCCATCTATCGGTGCTTCCAGCATTTTCGTTCCATCGAAACCCAAGTCTTCGCTATTCACACTGTCAACAGCTCTGGAGAAGCTTGCCATGCCTCCACCGAGTCGGCCGAATACGAGTTTGGGCTTCAATATCACTTCAGACAAGAATCAACACACAGGAGCAGTCCACTCAGTGGTCAAGGGCAATAATGCTCTTACCGGCTCATCAGGAACCTTTGCGAGACCGACGGCATCTTCGTTAAATCGTCATGCTACTATTTCTGGTCCTAGCCGAATCACTATGGTGGGGCGGATGAAAGATAAGAGCGGAGCACTTGGGCGTACCGCAACTGGTATCTTTGGTCCGGGTCTAGCGAAGCCATCTCTGAAGGCCAGTCGAAAGACAAGCCTACCAAGTGTTATGGCAAGTCCAGTGAAAGGTGGAGGTGGAAGTACCGTCGACGATAATCATATTACCAATACGACCGTCGATGTTTGGGGTGCGGAAGAGAATCTCGGGCAGGGGAAGCAACCCGATGTGGCAACCCCATCTGTACCGTCTGGCAGCCCCGAAGAACAGAATAAGGAGGCCGACCTCGTGATCGAAGAACTAGTAGGCCCAGCCGATAAAGGCAAGCAACCCGAGAGGTGGGACTCACGCCGTGCATCAAGCGCGTTGCATGCTTTATCGCGATCACTCTCTGCTCTCCCGAAAACTCCGCCAAAGCTAGTTGCAGTAGGCACGCGTACAGGGCTTCGATCATCGAGTAGTACGTACTATGGCGCATCAAGTGCGGGTTCAGGGTCCAAATCTGCGCAGGATATCAAGGATAGAGACAAGCCTAACGAAGGTACAGATAACGCAGCTTCGCAGCGGAATGCACCTTCAAAGAACGATGCCGCTGCTAGTCCCATGGAAGGTGGAAGCGCAGGTAATTTTGTTTTGAAAGTGTTAAAAAAATGTGCAATATTTGTGGATGTGCGGACGGATGACGGTGATGACGCGGGGAGTCTGTTCGTCGACATGTTGAGAGGGCTGGGTGCCAGAGTAAGTTAAAATATGGTGCCACTCGCTTGATTTTAAACGATTGCCTCCTTCTAGATACTTGCTCGTGTTGGGCAGAGCTGCACCCACATTGTATACAAGAGTGGTTCAGCGAGCACGCTGACGCGATATAGGTCAGCTATTTCTTATCAACATCATCTACAATCTCGTTAATTATGCGTTAGGCTTCTGAATGACCCCAAACCACTCGTCGTTGGCATCGCATGGGTGGTGGAGTGCGTTGAGCAAAGATCCAGGGTAGATGAGGCGAAGTTCAAAGTTGATCTAGAAATGGTCAACGTTGCGGGTACCAACAAGGTGTGCAGCGTCCGAGGTCGGGTTTCATACTCTCACGTCGCTCTATTTCACAGAAGCGACGTTCTATGCTTCCGAGGCATATGTCACCCGGTGCTGGGTCAAATTTCATTTCAGCCAACCCCTCATCGGAAGCTGATGATAATGAGGGACAACGACAGTCAGATGATGGCAGTGGCTCGCCAGGTACATTCCTCCTATATTTCCTTTGTTCCTGATCACTTACCCGCGGCACCTTTCAGCACAAGACGCAGATACAAGTATCAGGTCTGTCAAAGATGGAGATGACTTGCCACCGCTTGAACGTGCACGAAGGCGACGCAGCTTCCTCCCTGGCGGACAGACACGGCTAATTTAGAAGTCTAAATACAGAGTGTACAATCATTCTTGCTTGCACCCTCTTGCTCAACAATAGGACCTATTAATTTCATCTCCCATACTTTTTATTTGCCGATGTTATCGATGCTTGTCAGAGTTGAGGAAACAACTACTCTTCGTACTACGTTACTAGCCTAGGTCTGAGTTTGAAATGGACTTTTTGCACTCCCTGCACGCTTCAAGTTTAGCTTTTATTATTATTATATTCACTTTTGCAGATGCCTAAACGAAAACGCGCACAACGCCCAGCATCTGAATCGGAGGAAGATTATGCTGTCAACTCTGACAGTTCCTACGGTGAAACATCGCGTGCTAATGTGACACAGAAGGTTAGGAAGGCGCGTAAGAAGGGTCACGAGAATGATGGCTCTACTGTGGTCAACAGTATTCTAGGTCATCCAGCGTCCATGCATGTCATAAAAGCTGTTGAGCCGATGCGAATCGCCCTCCTGGAGTGGTACGACAGAGTCCGTGATGCTCGAAAAATGCCCTGGCGCAAGAAGTTTGATCCTTCGCTCGATGTCGAGGGACGTGCGCAAAGAGCATACGAGGTAATTATTTTTCTTTGAACTTTAAAAGCTGCTCAGAGTTGACTCAGGCAGATTCTTAGGTCTGGATCTCGGAAATTATGCTACAGCAGACTCAAGTCGTGACAGTAATACCGTATTATAACAAGTGGATGGCGAAGTACGTCACCGCACTTAGTTTTCTGGGTCATCTGGCCTAATTCATCTAGATTCCCTACCATCAGGGACCTTGCAGCATCTGATATTGAGACCGTCAACTCATTGTGGAAGGGGCTGGGCTACTACTCGCGTGCGGCGCGCCTGCTGAGCGGCGCCCAGAAAGCCGTCAAAGAATTACATGGTCGTTTACCTGACAACTGCAAAAGATATGGAGGCAAAGATACCGGGCATAGGTAGGTACAGCGCTGGCGCAATATCTTCTATTGCGTATAATCACTGTGTACCTGTGGTAGGTTACTTTTGCCAGAACAACCGCACTGCAGTGTCTCAATGGGTTTTAGCTTGATGGCAATGTACATCGACTCCTGAGTCGTTTCACAGCGTTACATGCACAGCCCAAGTCTAAACGAACCCTAGATGTCCTATGGGCAGGCGCCGAATCGTTCATAACACAGTCAAAGCGCCCAGGTGACATAAATCAAGCTCTGATAGAACTAGGAAGTACCGTCTGTGCAGTCCGAGATCCTGTGTGTTCGGAATGCCCCCTGCGTCTATGGTGTAAGGCATATCAGAGGACGCAATCCACAGTTAGCGTTCTAGTTCATGGAGTCCGGCTCACCTCCTAATGAATTCATTTCACAGGCATCACATACAGGTGCTATAGAAGTTGATATTGAGGAACTTTGCCTCGTTTGCGATCCTATACCATCCGATGAAGACAATGGATCTGTGACTATATATCCAATGAAAACCGTGCGCAAAAAGCCCAGAGAAGAACTTGATTCTGTGAATGTTATTGAGTGGCGATGCAGGAACAGTCGAGATCGCTGGTTTCTGCTGGTCCGCCGACCCCAAGGGGGTGAGTAAACGCTTAGCCGACATATACTTCCTGACTCTGTATGGACACAGGACTTTTAGCCGGTTTACACGAATTTCCTACACTACCTAATTTACCAGGAGCAAAGGCTTCTGCATCCAATATGGCCGAGATACCATACACACTCCTCCAGGAACTTCTCATGCATCCACCGTCCCCGCACAACAACAAGGAGCCCTTGAAGAAGTTAGCGAGCTCTAACCCATCACTGTATAATGTTCCAAAAGTAATACAAGTGACGTCCGCGGGTGATGTTGTTCACGTGTTTTCGCACATCAAGAAGACCTATCGTGTTCAGTGGGTATTACTGGAGGGAAACGAGCTTCCACAACTTCGTCCAGCTGTTTCCCCAGATCAATACGCCAGGGAAAACGGTAGTCGCGCCAAGAGCCCCAAGGGAAAGCAAAAAGTATCCGAGGTATCCGAGGTGAAACTGAATACAATTCCGCAGACATTGAGTGCTCAGTGGGTACCGCTCTCCCAAGTAGAGGATGCAAAGTAGGTATTCTCACGTCTTGTACTTATCATTGCTAATGATGCTGTGATTTCCTTCAGCATCGGTACTGGTGTTCTTAAAGCGTGGAAGCTCGTTGAGAAGCTGTGGACTGCCACACGGTGATTATATCACATCGAGCCTATCCCGGAAGCGCAAAAGTTTGTTCTATTTGATACACATCTCAACAATTAGATTCCACGCTCATCGCACAACCCACAAATCTCAAGACGGATACTGCTTACGTGGATGAACACATAACCCGAAGGGTTTGAAACATTGTGAAGCGGTAAGCTCCAAGATGCGTGCTTCAGCAAGGTCCCCGACCGTCCCCATGCTTACGTGGATGAACACATCAGCCAAAAACTAATCAGCTCGTGGAATATTATGCGGCAGAATATTCCAAGACGCATGCTTCGGCAAGGTCCCAGACCTTCTCCAGTTTCAGACCAGCGGCAGTGCTATTCCGAACCAATCAGGGTAAACCAAGGCAGTAATCGAACCTTACTCACGCAAGTCCCAGGCAGTCTTGCAATGTTCGCTCCTTTGCGTTGTGTACCAACCACATGGTCATGTCTTGCTGGTACGCACGCATATTTCCAACACCAAAGTTTGCAAGCAGAGGTTCAGGAGCCTACACGTGGGAATAAACAAAGATGGATGTAGATTAGCGGACATGACATACCACAACAACTCCCAGCTTTGAAGCTTCTGCTGCTGCCTGCTTGCGGCTGAGTTGGCCGAGTACATAGTCATCTAAAATGTGTCAGACTGCGGGAAGAATACACTATAATTTGACATACGGATGAGGACGCGGCTGTTCGGACCGAGCGCCTTGCGAAGGTTTGAAAGAATGAGCGCAGATTCATGGTCAGGCCAGTCGTGGATGATATTTCTGAGCTGCGATCACTATTAACTTTGCAGGTTGCCATCTACAGAGTTTAGCACTTACATAGTAGATGTCCTTACCCTTCACGGGCACTTGTTCGAAGAAGTTCAACTCCTCGAACTGGACTCTGTTTTCTGCCAGGGCTTCAGGGCATTCTCTCGCCCAGATCTAGATTCCATCAATTTGGTGACAAGCATATTGTCCTTCTGACTTACGCCTCTCGCCTGGACCAATGCTTCCGGAAGATCGTGGATTGTGATTTTAACGTTTTTGTGCGTTTTAGCCAACGGCAGAGAAAATGCTCCGATACCTCCTCCAACATCAACAACTGTTGAGTACTTTTCGAATGGGAAATCTATTATGAGGTTGGCACAAAATTCTCCTGTTTTTGCGTGCTCAAACACTTACGAGTCAGGACAGCGAGGGAGCCCATGATGACGTTCAGAGCTCTCATCGAGGTATGATAGGACTACTAAAGATGTCAGAATGATCATGCGAAGGAACTAAAATCCCTACCTCGCGTTGGCCGTCCTACGTGTAAATTATATGAGCAAGGCTTTATGATGAGCAATATTTAAAAACATACATGCCGCGCCATCCAGTCGAAGAACGTTCCTTCAGTTCCATTTTTGTTAATGGCGTACATCACAGGGGCAATCACTGGGTCATACGAGTACGCAATCTTCGGATCTTTGAGCGTCTCATACAAAACTGATGCTCCCATGGAAGTTGACTCCACGTGAAGCAAGATCATGTGTCTGACAGGGTTCTCGTTGAGCAGGATTAGAGACACTCGGTTGTTGGCAAAAACGTCCATGTCAACTGGCAGAGTCTGAGAAGAAATCGGACCAGGCAACAAATGGCTCCTTACCTTCATTGTAGCAACCCCTTGTGGCTAAGAGACGCATTATCCTGGCCAGTTTCTTTGGCTCGATGTTGATTTTTTTGGAGAGTTCGTTGACGTGAAGACCCTTCGGGTAGCTCAACAGAATATTTGAAATATTTTCCCGAGCAGCTACTCGCATGCAAGCATAATCATACACTTGGACAAGCTGCATGCAGTTTGGTAAGGGAAAGTAAAGTGCGGTATCATCCAGGTTCTCACGTTGATTGCAGTATGGGCAGGTGGAGCAAGTGTTGTGCATATCTGAGCACAAGCGCCTTCAAGAGTACGAATGGCACTCTTCAAAGCTACTTGGTCGACCGCATCGTCCAACGGGTGGGGTTCCGTCTGGTCGATGGCAGGTACATCACCGTACTGCTCATACAACGCGATGGCATCTCGTGCAGATGTATTGATCAGAGTCAGGAGTGCCTCGAGTTTTGCCTTGTTGGCCATCGTCGTAGTATTTGTGGGGGGCTTGCGGAAGGGTAAAAAAAAGGTGATGGAGGGGCTAAGCAAACAATTCACGAGCCTTTATATTACTTCCACAGGAGAGCGACCGAAAGCTTTAATTCTTGAAGCCTCCCCTTTTGTGACATTTGGTGCTAGCAAGAAGATAGCTGAGGGCCTAAATGCTCCCAGAAAACTGCCGGTCATCTAATTGGATAAGTTCCACACGGCTGAGTTATTACAGGGTTAACGGTGCAGATCTTCGCACAGTGTCTATCCCCATAAGGCCGCCAGACATGAGACTCACAAATTTGCTTAGCGTACGCCAGAGAAATCAACGTGCGTGAATTGTCCCTAGTTCTCCTGAGAATTGATAAGATATCGCCGAAACCCTGGAATCACAAGTAGTCTACCACCTTAGTGCCATAGGTTAAATGTTCGATCCGAAATTCCAGCAGTTGATATTATTTTCATGCAAGGCCGCGGCTATGTGTGACATTGTCTGACATGTTTGAACGGTTCTCCACAAAAAGACGCGCAAATGCTATCGAGAATATGTCAACGATAGTTTGTTGCTATCAATACTATCTGTTCTCACTGATTCAACGATAGAGATACTATTGTTGGCATTAACTCTCTGACACACAGTGTGACTGTCCGACTGGCGCAACATCTCGATGAGCGATAGCCGATTGTGTCAGATTGTGGGGCTCGAAGCCTGGCTTGAAACAGTCTGCTGACTCTGGCATTGTTGTGATCTGTTGCAGTTAGTTTTCAGGCTAACTCGGTACAGGATGTCCGACCGGTGCGCCCGCTAGCAGGTCGATGATTAATGATAAGTTTCGAGTGATTTTAGAAATTACGATTTGACACACCAAACCTGTTGAAATGTAGGCCATGGCCAAATACCACTGAAAGGACTATCACTTCCTGCCATGGAGAAAGGTGCATCAATGGTAACTTGCCAGATATCGATAATTTTAAACATGATAAGTTCGATGGCAACTGTGGCATGGGATCATGATGGTGCTGACTCAAGCGGTTAGTAGGCGGTCATTAGTCACATCACTCAGGTGAGAAGAACATGTCTGAGTCAATGAACCTTCCCACCCGATTGTCTTCAAGATCTCGTACTACCTTAGAAGTGAGTGATTATAATTAAAATGAGCTTTGTCAAGCGATCGAGTTATTATCAGTGGACAGTTTGCAGACAGTTGCTGGACAGCTCTCGCTAGGTAGGCCTCAACTTAAACCCCTCAAGCGACAGTGAGTATGTCCGTCAGAATTCAATTCGGTCGAAGTCGACCGTGACGGTGATTTCGCCTTTTCTCAACATTGATACTGGTTTATACACTGACAGAATAGATTACGACACCGCCCCGTATGCAGATTATCTGATGCCAGGTGTGCTCCAAGCTGATCTAAATGTTTAAGGGATATGCTTATGAATCGGAATCGATGGCACCCCTAGTAAACCTGTTGCGCGCGCAAGTATAGGCTTCTTACCATGTAAAGCGTGCTCTATGGACACTCCCCTGCCAGCGGATACCATTTTTTTCTTCCCAAGTTCATTGACTCACACAACTTGACTCAGCCTTGCTCTGACCAGGTAAACCATCACTGCTAAAATTCCTTCTGTATACTGCACTAATCACATTGAAGGAGGCGCTGAACGTCGAGCAATTGTCAGTACTCGCCTGTGAAAAAAAATGCGGGAGGCCTTGGCGTCAACCACTGGAGTCGAAGTCACCTTCCAGAAAGGTAAATAATATTTAGTGAGGGGCAAATCGGTGACCAAGGCAAGATGATTCTCAGCTTTGCAGACGGATCCCGAGTCGGCATTTGTTGTGTCACTGATGACCTCACTTTACTGAGTAATCTGAAGGTTTTCCCCATCATGAATGCACCGCAAAGAGCAAGAACCCTCGATTTACTCGATAAGGCTCGGTGCTTACGGCGTTGGCTCCTGTACGAAACTCTTGTTGACCCGGCATCCGTCACAGTCGGGCGTTACACATCGGTCTATGTACAAGTCATGCGCCAACAGTTGACGTCAACCTTGTGTCCCATCTGGAATAGTATTGCATTAGCTAACATCTGCTGTGGATTCCAGCACTGGCCTCAACATTTAGGACACTGGAAGCATCCAGACGAGCACAGATGTGCTTTCCGCAGACTTTCCCCGCTTCCTAAAACATCTGGTTTCGAGAGTACATACTTCGACGCCGGTTTCCCCGAACTCTGGTCAGCGATGGTCACACTGTCTTTGTAAATCGAGTCCACTTACTCTGGGCGGCGCCGAAATTGCGTTGCAGCTAAGTATGTATACAGCCTTGGGAAATGCAAGGGGTGAGCATGTCACATATTTCACTGACGTAGAAGCCCCTGGAAATTGATTTGGCTTTCTGGGTCTGGTCGTGCTTCTAACTGGTCCACGAAAATATTTCGTGGAGAGTTGCCAATCCATGCTAATCGGATATCGAGACACAGGGTCTCGTTGGATGAGTGTGCTGGATAGCACAATTGCTCTGCATTAGATCAGGGGTACTATTATGATCTCGGTATGTGAATCTCGTACAACAAGAAGCACCTTATGCTGATATCAAAGGTTTTGCAGTGAGTGTGTAGCGCCGGTGGCGGCATTCAGGCCCTATGATATCCTCGCGAGAATGTCGACAATCTGTGTTACGCATGAGGTCGTTACATATAGTACTCATCAGGACGAATCTCACCATGCGGCTAGATGGCCGAGCGGTCTAAGGCGCTGGAATCAGGATCCAGTCCGAAAGGGCGTGAGTTCGAATCTCACTCTAGTCAAATACTTTTTGTTCGTGGGGAACTAACTGTGGCACATCCGGGTAACGCGTCGAAAATACATAGATGTATGACCAAAAAAATTTATAGTGAGTAATCGGAGTAGTATTCTATGGGTGGTATAACACTGTAGGCAAAATTATCAAAGGTCTGAAGTGGTGTCAGAGTCTGGAGGCCCTTCCTTCCATTTCTCCCACATCTTCCTGCATACCGTGCTCGCGAGGACAAAGGGATCGGGCGTCCTTGCCTTTTCCCACATGCGGACAGCCAGTTCAGCATGAGCGCCCGATTCAAAACTACGTTGTAAAGTGGTCAAAACCTTGAAGGATGGTGAAAGAAGGTCGTGGATTGGTTCCAACAGGGGAGTGAGGGGAGGAGGTAGTTTAACTAAAGTAGACTCTTGCCTGGAACACATATGATTAAGCTTGATTTGCGATTAACGCCATAAGTGACTCACCATGGATGCCTGGCCTCCTGCTTAGGGAACATCTGCCCATCGACTGGATATGGCGTGCCCTCGAGCTGGATGTTGTCTCCAGCTGTAGGCGTGCCGTGAAACTGTTCCCCTGACTGTCTCTGATGCTCTGCCCAATAATCCTCCCACTGCTTCTGCACCTCGTCCTTGTGGCGCTGCCAATGATCCTGGTGGTCCAGGTCCCACATCATGAGGTCCAATCTCTCCTGCGTTGCCCATCGACTCCTACTCGTCCAGAGGTACCAGCCCTCCTCCCAATACCGTATGTCATCAGACTTGGACGATGATAAGCTATCTACATTAGGCTGGCCCTCAGGTGGAAGGGGGAAACCGTAATCTTTTTGAGCGGCTTTCTCCTTTAGCGCATCATCATGGGCGATCGCCGTTCTGACTTCATGAGCAAAGACTCTGCGGAAGCACACCGAGCGACACGTCGGTTCACGGCCTTCAGTCCGTCCGCGGGTAGTCTGAGAACAGTACGAAAAGCAGCGCTCGTCGGTCTGTGGTGAAAACTTTCCTGTAAAAGCACGGATGATGTTAAACTTGAATCTGAGGAATAAAGAAGATTGGCAGCTTGCCAGAGGGGTGCCGAGTCACCGAAATAGAGGGAAGTGGCCACATACTTGAGCGGCTTTGCGGTTCCTTGCGCGTGGTGGATTGAGTGGAAGTGTTCTGAGGTAGCTCCTTCCCAGTAGAATCCTTATTTTCCGCGTCTGGAGAGTCCATTTTGTTACTCATAGGAGAACACGGTGGAAGTCGGTTAACAAGGGCTTTGGTGCATGTCTCGCAGCCCCGCACCGGCCGGCATCTCGGTGAAATTAGGTTCGGAGTTTCAATTATGCCCATAACAGTAGTTGTCACGAAATTTTGTCTCTTCAACTGCATCGTCTGAAGATTCGCTGTCGCAGCACACGCACGGAAAGGTTTTACTTTCCTCTTTGGCTGCGGGGAAAGTCCCCGGAGAAACAGGGTTACGCCTTCTCGTTCACAATGGAAATCTCCCAGCTCTAAGAGCGCTGCGGGGAACGAGACTGGTCGGGAAGCTCGATTTACTGGATTTGTTGCCGCATCAGGCTCAGGACCAGTTCCGCTTGCCTACCCTGTTGCTTTCTTGACTCCGAGTGCTCTTTCAACTGCACGGCTATGCGAAGATATGAGCGTGGTCGTGTTTGAGTATCTTGGAAGACGGTTGGCGCTTCGTTGCTCATAGACATAGTTATGCGATTGTCGACACTGCTTCTGGCATGTCATCAACTCAATGGGGCTCACTCTCATTCGATGCGGTTTCTCGCCTTGTGGCGCTATTTTTCGAGCTTCTGAACGTTCGCCGTTCAACCCATCCGATTTTGTGCGCGGATTTTGATTATGGTAAGTAACTGCTTTGGTTTGGTTGATTTATGATGTTGGTTTTTTTCGTTGAATTTCTTCAGGGAGTTGACCTCTTTTGAGGGCGTGCTCCACAACTTGACACTGCTGATATTCTTTATTCTCTTGGAAACTTGTTTCTGATTCGTCCTTTGTCAGATGCATACCATGCGCCTTTCATCGGACAGTGGAGTTGTATAGACAACGTGTTGCAGGTCTGGCTCGTGTATTTTTATTGTCTATGTAAATTCTAGAGTTTCAGTGAAGATGATTCCTTCAAAAATTGTTCCGAATGGAGCAAAAGTTCTGCAGTAAGTACGTAGCGTCATCCAGACTTCCAGTGCAAACGGTGGTTGGTGGCTCTTTGATCGACAATCATAATGACATGAGGCAATGAATATAAATCGATATGAATCAGTCATTTCCCCTTGCTTTATAGATCTCTTGATAACGTATTCAGTGGTGGCAGATAGCAAGTACTGATGTTCAACACAAGCCTCAGAGAGACTCTTGCGCGTTACTCTGATCCATCTCAAAACCCATACGTGCAAGTCCGATCACAAGTGCGCGATTACCCTCTCTGAAGAAATACACTGACACCCTTGATCAACTTTTCAGACGCCCGAGCCGACTTTGTCGCAGCATCTGGCGCAAACGCTACATCCTGCACTTGACGTGTCCTTAGGCACTTCTTCTACCAACCAGTGGGAACCAAGATGGAAGCTAGATATTGAGGTGGTCAGTAACGGATTATTTCCTGTGGTGCCCTGTGTTATAGTGTCACAACGCAGTTTGAGCAACCCTCACAGGTGCTGGACTCTGGAGGATGTTATATCCAGGTCACCGACTTTGAGGTCAATTTATCACAATGAAAGGTTCTTATGAGTTCTGATTACCCCTGCAGGTTCCATTCCCAGTCATGCGTGCAGCAGGTTCCGCCAGAACACGCCGATTTTGTTAAGTCTTCATGCTACACAGATGAGAATTTAGGTGCCGTGCCAGCCCCCATGCACGATGCCACAACTGTGAATCACAATCGATCAATTTCCGATGTTCTACAACTGCTCTCTTCCCAGTAAGTGTTGTCATTCACGTGGAAGTCAATCTGATAGCAGTCCTAGATCCTATGTTCCCCGAAGGTTCTGGTCCAAGTAGGTGCCGCTATTCGTGTGCATACTCAATCTGACATCAGTTCTAGGCATCAATCAGACTCTGGAGCTACCGATGAAACGATCAGTGTCCCGGCTCCTGCCAGTCTTGACGTGCAGTATTCCGCATCTGGCAGTCATGTAGACCCTATCCTTACTGTCGATGAATCAGGCGCATCGTTTATGTCAGAAATATCTAGCCCGGCAATAAGAGACGCGACAACGGAGAAAGAAAAAGGGGGGACAGTTAAAGGAGAGGCAGACTCAAGAAGGGAGGCAAGGAACAGGGAGGCAAAAAAATTGGAGATGGAAAGAATGGAGGTACAGAAGATGGAGTCAGCAACCAAGGAGGTCGAGACAAAGAAAGAGCCACGCGTTTCTCCAGTCACGAATACCTCAAAACTTCTCCGAATAGAGCGCAAGCTTAACAACAAGGATCTCTTCATGGGCTGGTACAAGTCCGGGAGCTCATCAGAGCTTCGGTACCCGCGCGAGTGCATAGCACCCAAGATCGGTGATGTCTATGTCCACTCCTGCAAGAAAGAGGGAGATCCGAAGTTTCAGCTGTGGGTGCGACAGATCAGCCGTGGGATGACTATCTGGGTCAAAGCTCACATTTTCCACATACATCCCAAATTACTCGATCGCAGATTAACACTGGCAACGACAGGAGAACCTTACTGGTCGACGAGACAATCGCTTTCGGCTTTGGGAAGTCGGGAGAGAGCTGGCAAGATTGCAGAAATGATTCTGTATTGACTAGCCAGGTCACCGGCTTGGTCCTGCACACGATACTTTACATTAGTATTGATCCAGACAATAATCCCATACTACAACACTACTATCCTCAGGCTGCGGGGTCCAGTCTAGTAACCTTGTACGATTACCGTTGACTTACTACAATCTTCACTCGGTTTCCTAGGTGTAGCAATGTTGGAATGGTGACTTCATAACTAAGTTCTGAGACGTGCTACTGGCGCACGAGACGACTTGTGAAATATATCGTTTGTTGCACGTTTGTTTCAGGCAATTCGACCCCGGGATGGGTTTTTGACACATTCGAGACGTGTATTTGCCCACATGTTAAGATTGCTGGAAGCACAGCAGGGTTGTAAACCTTCGAAAAGGACGACCCGCCTCCGCCACTCTGGATATCAGTCGGACACTTCCGTTGATAAGAAAAATGCGGCACGCAAAACACTTCTCACTCCATGAGATCTGCCTTCATAACTGGACTCTGGGTCAACTGCATCTTCCAACCATCGTGGAATCATCGCGCATTCCCACAGAGGGGCAATGGTTGCTGCTTCAAAGCTGATGAGGCCAATCACTCGACCTGTATCTGCATCTGCAAGGAGTGGCACTCCGCTGAAGACCGAATCTCTTTGTACCGCTTTGATGAGCCACTCGCCAAGCTATAAAAGCATGTTCTTACTTTTCGTACCAGTATTGAATGACTCCCACTCACTTCTGCCCGTAGATTGCTCGTAAGACAGTCAGATACGGTAGAGAAAGGACATCTGTTGGGACCGATGTGTGGTGAGATGTGTCAGGCACCCAAACAATGCCATCAAGAGTATTACCGCGCTTTCGAATCTAACCTGACCACGGTCTTTTCGATCTCCTCGGAGAGAGATCTCCAGTTCTGACTGGTAGGGGTACCTTTATCTTGAGTGCATGGACAATGAGTGAGACAAGACAAATTGGGTTCTTGGCAACCTACTTTTTCATGTATTCCGCCCCAACATGATTCGACACATCAGAGTCCCATGAATAGATTCGTGGGACAGGTATCATCCTGAATGCAGTAGTGACCTCGCAAGTTGTTACCTTGGCAAAGAACGTGTCGTCTTCAATACCAGAACAGATAAGATATATTTGTAGTTACCTCCCAATCTAGCCTATCCTTTGTGAGGCTGCCCGAACACATTGACATAACATCAAAAGGGGTGCCATCTGTTAACCGCAAGATATGATCGTATACCCATACTAAAATAAGTCGTGGTCAGACGTACCTCGCGATAATCTCTATCAGTCAGCTTCTGCACCTTGCCAAGAAGTAATTTATCAACAATCCTTCAAAACTTGTCGTCGTTCGCGTTCTTTGAAGGCACATGTCTGATATATCCCAACTGATACATGAGAATTCTTTTTTGGAAAATGGGGTTGAAATGAGGTCACATTTCAAGTCGCTTTCAGTATCATGCATGGCGGTACTATTACAGGGCGGTGATACCAGTAATGCATCGAAAATTCAAAGGACGGTGTAAGATGAAGTTGAATAGACTTGGAGACCGTGGGAACACGTCAATGCATGATCTCAGATCCTGTGATATATTAATGATTCCCCGGCGGACCGATGATTTTCATTTTCCATCTCATGGTCGCGGACTATAAACGACTGGGGAAAACTCTTCAGGCGTTCTTCTTCATCCTCCTCGGTCTTGATATATGTGAAAGCATTGACTTCTTTACATTTCACTTCCCACACCAATTTTCGCGGGTCTTTAGTCATGTGGAAAGTGAAGATGTGGCAGCGCTTTGGGTCTGTGTGGATGCACGCTACAGTCATGATGCCAAGTCGTTGCTCTGTATGCTGACTGCGCTTAGCAATGGTTCGGACTCACCCATGGCGACACATGGTACAAGTACTACCAACTCTGCTTGGCTCTCTCAACGATGTACCTGATGATTGCCTGGAATGGTTTTTGGTACTTACCACATCCTCTCCTGCATGGCCTTTGTGAATCTCCACTGCCATGGGATTTGAGGAGGGGGCAATTGCAACATGTCTTCATGTCATGACTGCGACATAGGATAAGTGTACAGAATCATCACCTGGTTCCATTCATTCTAGGCTCCAAATTTACACATTTGTAAGTAAGGTGAAGCAAAGAATTCATGACTCCAAACAATCAGGCCCCACCTACATATAGAACCCCTTGAAACTCCACTCTTTTGCCTCCCCCCATCCCATGTGATCTGCCATCAAGTTCATCTGCCCCATCTAGTTCAGTGCCAGCAAAGTAGCCTTTGGACTGGGCCATATATGGTAGAGAAGTGGATTTTTGTATGGTGATCATCTGGGTGCATTATGGATGATTGGATAAGGGGAAGGAATGAGTTAGGTGGCTATGCATCCTGTGCTATGGCGCTATCTGCTGGTGGGACTGTGAGATGATTCAGAGTGTTTAGCACTGGGGATGTTGACTTGAAGGAGGCACTTGAAATTCAAGTAAGGATGACCATGTGATATCCATGATGCAATTGCCAGATGCATCCTAGAATCATTATAAGTAAGGGTTACTCAGATGCAATCAATACTTACAAGAAGAAGTCAGCTGTGAATCCTTTCTTACTCTACCCTCCAACAGTGTACATTGCCAATGATATCCAGATACATTCTTCCATTTTGCATTCAATCTCTCCTGGAATTGAGAGATCTGTTGTCTACTTATCAACGTGTGTGCAAATCTTGTCCTCATGAGCTGTGAGTGTGTCTGGATATTGTGCAATGAATTGACATGGGCCATTTGGTGCAAAGCTAGGGTCCTTGAGCACTCGAGCCAGGATTGAAAGGACATGTGTTCCTTGTTCCATTGCTGCCCTATTTGGGATCATGGGCATGTTGTCAAGCACCAGTGATGCAAACTTGGCCTCAGTTTTGTCAACATCACTAGTCACTTGAGTGACAGACAGTGGCAGTGGGAGGAACCTTCATGGATGAGTATCTCACAACACTGTCATTGCAAGACCTAATGGAGGCTCAGTGAGAGTAAGCAACTTGTCTTCTTTGCACCAATGTGACTTACCCTTGGAAAGCATGCCTTTCAAACCAAATTCTTCCCCATACTCACAATGAACCAGTGGATGCATGAGTCCATTAGCAAATTGTGACAGCATGTTTGGCTGGCTTGCTGTGTCTCTTCTAGGATTGAAGTTGTATTTGTTGGAAAACACAAATTCCTCTAAGGTTGCAGTGGCACCCTTCTCTTCGATTGCTTTGTCAAAGAAGGTTGTATAAGCCTCATAGAAGTTTTATTTTTCAAACATATCAAATGTTGGTGCTGGACAAGGTTGGGCAAGTTTCTACTTACTTTTCATCACCAAGGTGCTCAACAAAATTCTGCTGTGATAGGCTTAGGCGATGCAAATGCAGGTCTCTGATTTTTACTATCCTGTCAGTAGAATGCTTCAACCACAGGACTGCTCTCTCCCACCACATATATTGCCAGTGCTCAATGGGTTATATGACTAAACATGATCGAGCTCATCAACCAGTTCAGTCAAGGTTTCTGTGCAACTCACCTATTGAACTTCATGTGATTAAAGAAGATGTGGTATTTGGTGTGGTATTTGGTGTGGTTATCAATTAAAACATGCTGCAGAGCTTTCAGTGACTCAAGACCACATCCTGACAATCTCTGGGAACAAAGCACCATTGGTGGAGGGGATGGAGCTGGATAGAGTCTTCCAGCCTTCTTGTCGCTAAGCCTCCCCATCCCTTGTACTGTACCTCTGTGTATGGAGGCAACTGTGCATTGCACATGACACATCACCACAATTGCAAAGTCAGCAACTTTGTCCAATTGCCCATGACATCAAAACAAAATAGCAACCAACATCCCTGTTGTATGTTGGAGTGGCGTCAGGTTCAAACTCCTGTGGAGGGAATTTTGAGTTAGCACAAGTAGACTACCAAGTAAGCTTCATGACAAGATTGAAAATTGCACAGGTATCATTCACAGCCTGGAGGATGGACCACCCAAGTCTCAGCTCGATGCTGAGGCTAGTGGTGATGACACTGACATACCTTGTAGCACTGTCATTCTGGATACTTTTGGGATTGAAGGGGTTGATGTTGCAGCTGCAGACATTGGCACTGCACAACTTTGTGTCCATGATGTACAGCAGGGTGACAGGCATGGACTGGTTGCAGCAGGAGACAATAAGAATATGTATGGGCACTAGTAAACAAGCAGGAAGTTAGCATAGCAGCAAAAAAGTAGTTTTAGTGATTTTTGTGGCAGATTTTTTTGATTTCTACAATGCACCTACAGTTAGCAACCAACCCCCTGTGATACATTACACTAAGGCCTATAAAATGCATCAAGGATGCACACATCATGCACGATAGGTCCTAGGGAGAGCAATTCAATGGTGGATTGGAAATGGCATGGCTTCTGAATCTGGACTACGACAGATGGGGGCTGAGTGCACTTTCAGTGGCGTAGTATGTAAGTTGGTGCCGGTGATCGGTGAGGACAAGCTTGTCGGCGGGATGAGAATTTGATGAGGATGTCCTTGTAATTTCCTGCGTTGGTCCATATTGATGACGTCATCATTGAACGAGCCGAATTGGTAGCAGAATAAGTTGGTACTACTGCCAAGCTACTAGCACGCCCGCGTTTGCCAATCTTCGGTTTCAACATAAAATTAAACGCGTTTGTGCGTCTCTGGTGTCGCTGATAATCCAGAATCGCATATCGATATATATCTTGTCCTTTCACGCAAAGGGCTGCCACTACTAATGCTAACATGATCATGATAACGGGTGTGGTTTATAGGTACTATTATACATACTCTTGAGTATGTAACTTATTAACGTTCAGGTTGGGCTACATTTTAAGCTTAAGTTGATCTGCATGTGAAGAGACTAACCACTGCAGGGAGGCTTCAAGTTGCCAGAACTCGACTGTCTCGGAACCTCATCGCCTCCCATATTGGTAAATGAGTACCAAGTATGGGCCGGCATCAGTATGAATCTACCAGTAGGGCTGACTGAGTTTGGCTATTTTAGCCCATCTTCTAGGTTTCAGGTTACCCAACATCGAGGAGATTAAGCCCGAGCACTCAGGCTGTATAAATTGACACGACGTTATGGCTGAAACTTTCGAAACACTGAACTAGTGCGTAACCACTGATCATGCCATCGGACATCCACCTCGCTTTGTATGGCGCTGTCTTGTTCGTTCCTCTCGTCCTAGCATGGAGGTCGGCGAGCAAGAACTCAAGTCTACTGCCACTTCCACCGGGCCCCCGTTTACTTCCATTCGTGGGCAACGCTTTTGACATAGACGTTTCTCATCCTTGGCTTACATATACTAACTGGAAAGCACAACATGGTAGGCCGTCTGACCCTCCTTGCCAATGCCAAAGTTTAACATCGATGGCATGTCAGGTGATATCGTGTACTCTCGCGTACTAGGACAACATATCATTATCATCAACTCCATAGAAGTCGCCCGGCAGCTTTTGGACAAGCGTTCTGCCAAATATTCTGACCGCCCTTTCCTCCAAACAAATGAAGAGTACGTGTAGTGAACAAATACCTGCAATTTACTGAAGTGACAGGAAAGATTTGGAACCTCCTTCAATACTGCGTATCTGCCATATGGGGAGACACTCCGGATTCACCGCAAGCTTTTCCATCAGGCTTTCGGGGCAGAAGCGTCTGCGGAGTATCATGACTTATACTTTCGCAAAGCGTATGAGCTCGTCACCGATATCATTAGCGCTCCTCATATGCTCGAGAAGCACCTCGAAATGTTTGTTGATGCTCCTCAATCCGACTTTCTACATCCTCTTATGCCGGATACGTTAGGTATTCTGGTTCGCTCATCGCCACTGCGATATATGGATATGAAACCCTGCCTGGCACAGAGAGCGATCTTCTGATCCACCGCTCTCGAGAGGTTATTGATATAGTCAAGAGAGTGTTGGCCCCCTGAAAGAGCTGCGCTGCTGATGGCTTTTCCTTTCCGTACGTGTTAGACGTCGGCCATTGCAATTCGATCATTTAGCACCATGACAGTGGGCCATCTTCCTTCGTGGTTTCCAGGGGCGACAGATCGGCGTTTGGCTCCTCATTGTAGGAAACTTGTTCGTCAGATGTTGGATGAACCTTTCGAATTAGGAAAGGAGAAGATGGTATGTACCTCGGATTTTTCTGTCGATGTATTGACTGGACGCAAATATAGACGGATGACGGACGACCCTCTCTCGTGGCCAAATTCCTGAATGGGGGTGACACCTCTCCAGCACAAGAAGAGTTCATGAAAGGTGTGGCTATCAGTGGATTTGCTGGTGAGTCAACGCACGATCAAATCTACAATCAAAAATAATTTCATACCTTATATAACTTAGGTGGAATAGAGACAGTGAGATTATATAGTTGGTATCTTGACATTCACTTAACGTTTGACTTCCAAGACTGCATCATCTTTGCACTCATTCTTGCTGGCTATGCTACTCCATCCAGACGTGCAATCCCGCGCACTTACTGAAATCAATGCCGTCTGCGGAGATAACGTTCCAACCTTTGAGCACAAACCATCACTGCCTTACATTGAAGCAATTTGTCGAGAAGTTCTCAGATGGCAGCCCACCCTACCGCTAGGTCGACCACCTTGTTCTGGTTATTTGATTGATTTACTTATACTGAGCAAAGGGCTGCCACATATGACGTCTCAAGATGATGTTTACGAAGGATACTTGATTTTGAAAGGTCCGTGTTTTATTCATTGATGCACACGACTTACTCAAAGGGCATCGCAGGATCATTGGTCCTGGTAAATGAATGGTATGTGTTTTGCCTGAATACTGTCTGTTTGCAACCTGAAAAAACACTCAGGGCTATATCTCGAGACGAGAGCCTCTATCCCAATGCATCTCGATTCGATCCTCAAAGACATCTAACTGCTGAGGGTAAGTTGAAAGATGATCCTTTTGCGGGACATTTTGCCTTTGGCTATGGAAGGTGATTGTCACTTCCAAAAGTTCATTTATCCTTGCTCAATTCGATAACCCGCAGGCGTATCTGTCCAGGACGCCATTTCGCCGAGCTCTCTATGGGCTGCTATGGTTTCCATTTTGTCCACTGTTCGGATCACGAAAGCCAAAGACTCGGAAGGCAATGATATTCCAGTGGTTCCGGAGTATACTACTGGTCTCGCTATGTTAGTTGTATTTCACTGATATCTGGGTAGTGCTGATTTTTTTTGTCTGACAGTCAACCGAAACCGTTTGCTTGTGCCATCACGAGTATTAATTCGCGAAGGGAAGAACACATGAAAGCCGCGTCTCGGGTGGATTGAGACTCTTGTGGCATGCTTTGTTTATCTGATTCCGAGTCATGAGGATGCAGCACTGTTACATAGTGTGCTACTAGCCCATGTGACTTGGTGAGGTGCAAGGAGCTATGTATCAAGCTTATTTTCACAGCAAAACAAATCCTGAATCAAATATAAATGTACTTTACACATATTGCAGAGGCGGAAACTGCTGAAATATGTATAAACAAGGAAGTATGGTTGGGTGATGTGTTCGTGCTCTGAATCGTGCTCGATGTTCGTGGACACTTGCATATCTGTTTCCATTTTGAAGATAAGAAAGTTTATATCCTCTCGAGCCTGAGTGAAGAACGACGTCAGCTTCAAAACTACTACAAAGCGCAAGTACTGCATAGTAAAGTCTGTATGTATCATCTGCGGGGCACATAACTGTATGGGAGCCTTACCAACATGAGAAGAAATCGACACGAAACTCCCTCATTATTCAGACCCCTCTACTCATCTCTATATCTGTCAATGAGATATTACTCCTCTCACACATTCCGCGGAAAAGTCCGCCCTCCATTTTAAAGAGATTGGATGGTGTGTCAAATTCCTTCGAGAGGGTGTGAGCTGACAACCGCTGAAAGACGTTCAAACAACAACCCACTGCAACAAGGCCAGCATCGAGGACCAGAATCCGGTCGTACGAAATGATGGTTCGAAGTCGGTCTAAAGCATCATCTCATTACAATATTGTGCCAAGAGCAAACGTGATAGAACGCACGAGCAATGCAAAGTAGCGTGCGATTCTGGAATTCCGTTTGGATTGTGTGCTGGATCTTGTTATCAGTATCGAGATCGACAGAGGCTCTGAAATAAATCAAAATCAATATCACGCATCCAGGAGAAGAGCACACGTAACGTGGCCTCGTCAAGCACAACAACTTTGCAGTCTTTCACCAGCGCACGTGCCAGACTGAGTAGAGATCTCTCCCCAACACTGAGGTTCGCTCCCTCAATTTCAATGATGCTGTCAAGGCCGTGGCGGCTGGTGGAAGCTTGCTCGATTCTGACGTCATCAATGGAAGATGACTGATTCGAAGTGATGCTAGGGTCGAGCAGACAAGATCGTTGTAGCGCATCCCACAGCTCCGCGTCACTGTGTTGGGAGAATGGATCCAGGTTGGAGCGCATGGTCCCTGAGAATATTTAAGCACTTCAAACAAGAGCATGTAGATTTACGGCACTAACCACTAAACAGAAGAGGCTATCAAGTCCGTACATCAGTCCTTCCTGTGTTGGCTGGTGCATGGAAACTTTACGAACGTCTTGCGGGATAATAGAAATCTTGGAGCGGAGATCTTTAAGACCAATTGTAGATATATCGACACTGGAAGGGGTGAAATCCAATATTCGTCACGAGGAATGATCGACATACCCATCGACAGTGATTGAACCGCCAGACAACTCAACGATTCGAAACAGTGCGAGCATTAACGAAGATTTACCAGCACCAGTCCTGAAGGGACACCACATTAGCACATGTATGTAGCTCCGACAAACCAGCTGACCTTCCCACAACACCTATCTTTTCGCCTCCCCTGACCTTGATCGAGATTCCCCTCAATACATTGGGAAGGCCCGGCCGATATGCCATTTTAACATCATTGAATTCGACCGCGCCATGTTCGGGCCATTGCGCTGGGGCTTTCGTTCTTCAATCTCATGCGGAGCCTCTTGAGGTATCGTGTCGCCTGCGACGTACTGTACCACTGCAAGGTGTAAGTGAGATATCATAAAATTAGCGGCTCACATCGTTCCACTGCATTCATGTGATTCTGAGGTAAACGACGATTGAATAGTCTGTATTATAAGATAAGGAAAGCCTCACCTCGACGTCTGCTGTTTGTCTGGTTAACTGAGTACACGTCTGTGTCAGCAAGGCTTTGATGCAAAATTCATCATGTATACTTTGGTGGCGACATCGGGAGACTCACTGGTATACGTCAGTACCAAGCCTATCTGGGCTGCATTTATCCCGGAGACGTCGATGACCGCGAGGAGAGCAACCTAGCATTGGTTGAACATGAGATCACGGTTTGTGTCATCGAATGGACGCCTACAATGAAGACTAATATGCCTCCCATGAAGTCCAACCTTACTGCAAGCCATCTGAGGGAAGCTGATGAACCAACGACCGCCAATATATGTACAAGGTTACTTGCCTCTGGTTTGTAACCACGAGGTATAAAGCCCTGTCCTCCAGATCAACGTAGTGTCTATTGGCGATAATGAACCGCTTCATTTCTCCGTAGCTTCGGATGGTAGGAAGTCCTGTCAGAGTCTCCGAAAAGTGGGCATACAGAAGAGAGCGGAGCACAGAGTCTGATAACCAATATCAGCAGTGGCTTTCTAGGTCAGAAATACAACGACAAACCCAGGCGTTTAACCTCACGAGCACCGGCTCGATAAAACGCAGCGAAGTAGCCATAACCAAGAGCGATGAAGAACACAGCAATAACTAAACAAGCATGAGCCATATCCTTGCAAATGAGGTCTGTCCACTGACCAAAGTATGGTTCGAGGATAGAAACGATGGTGATAGAACCCATCAGGCTGGACAGCATATAGACAACTGGATCTCCATAGTCAGTCTCCGTAAGCAAAGTGTGCGGCTAACGTACGCAATCTCATTGAATCTGGATCATGCATAAGCAGCATCTCACCATGCAATGACAGGTGACTCACGTGGTAATTGATTGTCAACACCTGAACGAAAGGTTTCAGCAAAACATAACACAGCACAGATCAGTGAGACGCTGACTGTCGATATCTTTGCCAAACACGCTCAAGATTCGGCCCATAGGCTACAGAAACATAATATACATCTGTTTAGAAGCTCTCATACACAACCACTCACTGTAGTGTCGAAAAAGGACATTGACGCATGAAAGACGTTACGAACGGACCTGTGGTGCAGGTTTTGAGATGCACAAGAAGACACGATATCCATTCCGACACAACTGTATTGAGTGAGCGTACCGCCATCTGCGATGGGAACTGGCTCACAGGAAAAAAGTGAAGATCGCTTGAGCAAGTCCTAGACAGCCGTACAGCGTCTGATAGAATGAGTTTGGTCGCTCGAATTTGCTGTGCCACGATTTTAGAAAGGAAATCAAGAAGTCGATAAAAGACACTGACTTGCTCTCCCACCAAACTAGCACGTACGAGTTCAAGATCAGGCTTCCCTGCATCGCAAGGACGAAGAAAAGAAGTAGAGGACCTGTTATTGAAACGCGTCCCGCAACCAAATAGGTCCAGTACACTGTGAAACTGCCAGTTCAATCCAGGGAAAGCTTTCAGATGAGCTTGATCGTGCCTCCCCAATGTACAGATCCCGTCGTTCGCCTCTCTTTGACGATCAAGCGACCTTCGAGTTTGCCACTGCCAGTAGCCCCTTTTCTGGCATGTCCTGACTTCAACTTCACATCCTCGATGGTAATACCTGTTTGCGGAGTGACTTCCTTTGCCTGGCCTTCATTCTCCCCTGACACATGTCCACCGAACTCCAGGTCCAAACGCGCAAAGTCTCCGCTGCGGGAGATTAGTTCCTCGTAGGTCCCGCTCTCCGTAACGACGCCGTTGTTCAAGGTATAGATGTAATCTACTTGAGAGAGGAAGTGGATCGCATGCGTGACCAGAATGACGGTAATGCCATGATTTCGCAGGGCACCAACGATGACATCTTGAAATATGGATTTTCCAACGTGAGCATCCACTGAAGGCATTTGTCAGCATGATAGACATACAGACATAAGATAAACCACATTGCTCACCTGCTGAGAGCGGGTCATCAAGGATGGCAACTTCAGGGTCAAAGTACAGGGCACGAGCAAGATTGACCTGTGTGAAAGATCGAAATCGAGTCCTATCACGGAAAAATGCCACGAACTCTCTGCTTCTGGCCACCACTGAGGTTGATCCCCTTTTCTCCGATCTGAAATAGAGCATAAACAGTGTTGTCGAATTGGATCCATCCCACCATACCTCGGTCAAATCCCCATCTGGGAGCAGTTGGAGATCAGGAAGTAGACAAGTGATCTCAACAACACGCCAGTATCTGTCTTCCTCGAATCGTTGGCCAAAAGTGATATTATCGCGCTGGGGTAAAATGTTAGCTGTATTCGCTCTTCGAGAGCGGCACCATGCTAACCAACGTAGCATTCTGGATCCATGCGGTCTGTGGACAATAACCAATGCGCCCGCCAAACGAGACATGCCCGGAGACCTTCCTCATCTCTCCTATTAGACCTTGCAATAAACTGGACTGTTCATATGTCAGTAGTCGCTTCAAGAATTTCATTCGAGAAGATTACCTTGCCGCTTCCGACAGGCCCAACCACAGCGACGAGCTGACCTCGTTGGATGGTCATGGTCACATTCTTTACCTTAAAGAGGGAGGCTTCCTTTCCAGCAGTGGGCTTTTCCTTCGCCATGTCTTCCTTCTCCTTCGGTAGACTACCATTGCCGTGTGCGCCATTCTTCGAGCTCAAAGCATCACCAGAATGCTTCGCGAACGACTCCCATTCAAACGTCGCGTCCTTCACCAGAAGCGCGGGTTCTTGGTCCTTGTCGACCACAAGTGTATCTCCAGAGATAAGCTCTGCGTGAAACACGTGCGTGAGCCGCTGAATCGCACTGGATGCATCAGGGATACCCGATAGAGCGCGAGGCATGAAGAGCATTGGTTGCCGGAGAAGCTATTTATCTGTAGATTAAGTGCATGTCTATGTATACTGCGGGACATGATCTCACCTGAAACAGACTCAGTGAACTGAATATAACGGCAGCGTCGAAGTGGTGCGCTGTAAGGGTGTACGTGACGAAAGCTAGTGTAGCAGCAAGGACTGGGAGGGAAGCAGCGAGTGCTAAGCTGGGTGGATTGGATCAGCAGGCGTTGCCGTGCTATCACGATCTGGACTTACTTCGCAGAATTCGCGTGAAGAATCCGTCGGATGCCACGCAGTTCCTTCTTTCGAAGCTCGAATATTTCTAAGCAGCGTTCATGAGCGTGTTATTGATATTCTTCGACTCAGGATGCTCACTTCGAAGGAATGGGATCTCGTACGAGAAATACTTGACAACACGTATGGCCACTGTGCATCTCTTCAGCATCCTTACACGTCCCGGAAGCCCTGAGGCTACGTACCGAGTATCTCTAGCAGGACCTTGGCTCGTTGATCAGTCCATTTCATCGACCCTAAGCGAATACGATGCTGCAGTGCCATTAACCGCTGTTGAAACGGAATTATGAGGACAAATAACGAGAAACCCGCAAGCGCAGACGGCCCGAGCTAGTTTTCATGTGCCGTTAGAACAAACCGCAGCCTTCGTACTGTACAACAAACCTGGGTTAAGAGAATGATTAAGCAAACTATGATTTGAATAGGCGCGGTCCAGGCTTGAGAACAATAAGTCATCTCACAATATGAATCTAGTCCTATATACCGACCTATGTGCTAGTAGCGAGGGAGGGGCTACGGTCAGTCGACGACATGCACGTATACTTATCTATGCGACTCACAAACCACTGAGCAGCCGCATCAATCCTGCTCACGTCTGTGGAAATATGGTTGACCAGCACGGCGTTGTCAAGCTTCACACGTGCTTTGCCTGTGAGGTTCACTCCACGTTCGTAAATGCACGTTATCAGTGCGGCTCTAGCCAGTACGCCTACTACCATTGAACGCCAAAAGAACTTGAAATACATCAGCTGAACCAAGCGTGTTTTCAAATCGCAAAGTTTTACAGACCTGGTGGTTGGAGATGCTCGCCGCCAAGGTGAGCACAAAGAGCCCAACAGCCATAGCGATACCACGACCGATATTTGGAACAGGTTCTCCGGCAACAATTGCAGCGGAACGCTTCTCCACAAAATCGATGATTTTCTGCAGGGGAGGAACAAACGTCAGGTTACCACAACCAAACACAGGTTGCTATTTACCCGAAGGATTATGGGACCCATGAGCTGTGCCGTGTCGCCAAAGACCTGAATTGTGTAGTTATTTTATTTTAACAGCTGACGAGTTATGAGATAGACCCATGCCTTGAATGCACCTCCGATCCAGAACATACTGAGAAAGACATCGTTCAAAGCCCAAGTAAGACTGGCCTCTTTCCGCCCTGCGGATTCTCGCCAATGTTTCTGAAACGCTGCACGTCGCTCAGACCAAGTCGTGCCTTGTTTCCTCGAAATTGCACTCAAGGCCCAGCCGGTACGCTTGAAAAGAGATGGCCTGAGTTCTCCACTCTCAAGACGTGCATTCCAGTCGGCTGCTGCCCTAACACGCTGCTGCCATGCAGCTTCAAGTTTAGCGGCAAGGGCGGCTGACTCTCTAGATTTGTCCAGCTTATATAGATCAGACGCTTGCAACGTGCGTTGATATCCAAGAACCTGAATATATGCGTCAGAACAGTACATATTGGGATCGAGGTTCAAACAGACAATTATATCGGTTACCCAGGTGTATGTGAGCTGAGAGAAAATGGAAGCATTGACCAAAGGCGTCAGCTGTAGATCGCTATGTTGTTAGGAGAATCCTTTAGAAAATTAGTTCGCGTACTGCTGCATCCTCCAGAGACGGGAGAGCTGGAGGTGGTGGGTCCTTAGGTAACCTGATCGTGGCTCGATGATGGACCTTACTTGCAAAATAACTTCGCTTACCACAACTGCCACCATTTTTGACGAAATTTGGTATACTCCTCACCAGTATCGAGCTGAAGGTGCAAAGGTCGAAGAAGGTTGACTGCGTTGGCCTCCCCGATGTCTTCCTTTTCGCCCTGCAAAGATTCTTCTGACCGTTGAGAAGTCATACGGAAAGAGACTGGAACAGCAGATACTGGACCAGATAAACGACTGTTTGTTGGAACGGGCTGGGAGATGACCTGCAAAGGCGTCAAGGAGCCTCGTGGTCAGCGGTTGTGGGCTCGATGTATTGGGTTATGGTAGATAATTCACATTCAATATTCAGATCAAGCTATTATACTTAGCTAAGCTTCGGGTCTACTGCACAATCTGGGCTCCATATCGTCAACTGACCAGAAAAAGGTTATTCTCATACGCATACCGTGATGATGCGCAGGGCACAGGCTCGCAGACTGGTCTTGAGTACTTGGGAGTCAGTAATATGAGGCGATACTGAAAACCCATCTAGCGCTGTCCTCTAGGAAAGTTCGAACCGTCGAAGAACAGAGCAAAAGTCTGTGGTTTCAAGTCAAAAGTGCCATATTCCCCTTCATATTCTTTATTGATTCTGCATTTGTTTTGAATTGGGGACGTCATACATCGGGGGGACCACTGAGAACCGAGGGAAGCCTAAATGTTTATGCCGGGTTTGAATTGTCTGCCCTCCCTTGCTGGCAGTCCCCGGAGCCACGAACAATGGAGGGTTTCCGTCATCATCTCTGTCATCTTTCTCTAGATTTTTCTGGAGGACTATATAGGTCATCCTGCGATCAGCGGGTAGCTGATTCCACATTCCCATGCATTCTTTTTGGAGTCCACCCTTGACGTGGCGATGGACAACATGTTGACAGCGAGACATCTTGGAGATTTGAACAATGGAATCAGTGAATGGGGTAACAATAAGATTCATCCGTCGTCTCTGTGATCGGCGATGATCAAGAGTTAATGAACGATGTGCTTCGCCTGAGTTGTCGCCGGGCTGTACAAAATTATACACAAGCAACCTTGCATTATCGTTACCTAAGCGCCAACACGGGGATTAATTTCCGTCCGCTGATATCAAAGTGCCGTTATAGTGTTTGTGCAGAATGGCTGGCTTCAAACGAAACGACACCCTTCCTTCTCGCCATGAGCATCTTGGGCACCATGTGCCTACTCTTGCACACATCTGGAAAATACCTACTACAAGGTTGCACACGTAACTGACGCGACGAAAGCGTGATTCATCGTTGTCAGACCTATGTGCGCAACCTTGTCAGACACATTGCCTGGAATATCTATTACAGTGCTTTGAATCAAAATTGGCTCATCCAATTCAAGTTGCTCATGCGTTTTTCTTATCTCCCTCACAGGCGATTTCTATACACGAAGCGTTCCACCATGGAACATCCTAAATGTTCAAACCGTTCGTCGAGCCTTCGTGCAGAACTTACATGCGTAGCGTCGTGCGTGAACGAATCCACCAAAGTGAGTGCTAGCTTAGGACAGAGCTCAGGAAAGCTTCAAACTGTGAACGTAAAGGTCAAGTGATATCATCGTGTACTGGGATAACACATCATCATCAACCTGCTTTATGGAAGTTCCCCGGGAGCTTTTGGAACGACAAACGTTCCACCTCAGGTCGTAAGCTTTTTCACTCTGTCAGAGCGGATGCATCCTTGAATCGTACCTCTGCAAATTTCAAAATGTGTTAGTTCGTCATAGATCTCATGGGATAGAGAAACACATTAAAACGTTTGTCGGACCTCCATGATCTGGTACATGCTTCACTCATCATGACTCACGGCTTCAACGTATCGATACAAAACTCTGCCAGAGGGTTGCCTTACTTCAGGTCCTAAACGCTTTAACCTTCAAGTTGTTCGGGAAGTACCTTTCGAAATTGGCAAGGAACGATTCGTGTGTAGACCGGATCTTTCTGTTGACATATTGACTGGACGCAGAGACGACTACCCCCTACACATCGTAGCAATGTTCCTGGACGAGGATTCCTTGAATTCGTTCGATGGTGAACCAATGCAAAATCTAAAATCACATCCGAGTCTTGGGTGAAACAGAGACAGCGAGATTTAGTCCACGGCCACACGTCGAAATCCTTACATCCCAAGTCCGCTTCAACTTTGTACTGGTTCCTATTTCCACCCACTCAAACGTGCTCGCTGGAATCGATGCGGTCCCCGGAGTTACCGATACCGTCCCAGGGTTTAGGCACAACATATTACCGCCCTATTCGTTGAGACGGTAGCCTATCGTCTGCGGTGTTGTGTTCGGGCTGTTCTGATCGAAGCAGGATAGGGCTGCCACTATATGTAATGTCTCGGGATGATGGATACGGTGTGTAACTTGCACTTGATCGATATACAGTAAACTTACCTTTCTTTGTCTGCTCAAATCACGAATACCAAGCATAGCATTTTGCTCGTTCTGGAGTATATTTTCTGTTGGTGTCCTCGCTTTGGTTTTCTTTCACTCTGGGCAGTGTATTTTTACCTGAAAGGGATGGTCAACCCAACCATTCCGAGTCGCTTCCAGTGTGTGGGCCACACATGCAAGTAAGCATAAATTCTCAAAGGGAGGGGCGATAGTGGCGTCTTGTCAACACGCAGATTACGGTTACCATTACGATACGAGAACCTTCCACCATATGCTACAGCAAAACACATGCGTTCCATTATCAATTATGCAGCTGTTCTGATCCAACTTGAAACGTCATCACAAGGTGTCACATCCCAGAAGTTGATCAAGGCGCAGTGCCACACAGCAAACAACAACACACAGCTTGTGTTGAGCGAAACAGTACTTTAGTTTTACACCGCGACTCAGAAAGTCTTAGTCTCAGTACTTTCTTACATACCCGCTTCTCCTCCAAGCCATTCAAAGGCACCCAGTACGACAACGCTAAGATGTCCCTCCTAGAACGCCTAAATGTCCCAATAGACAACGGAGCCGGAGCACCTTCCATAGGCCCTGTCCGTACAAAATCAGGCAGTCGCTCATCCCCATACGTGCGTACACCTTTCGTTAACCTACACATCAAAAGAATAATCTCCTCTCTCGCACATACACATTCTTTTTTCGATTATCACACCACACCACACCACTTCAATACAATCATTGTCTTCCCAGACCCGCCCAAACCGCACCCCCAAAGGTGACCCAGACGCTCAATGGAGCCACGACCTCTACGAAGACCCAGAAAAACCAAGCCTATCATCAAGACTCACCCTAAGCGCCGCCCAACCTCGCAAACCCGATTCACGCCTCGCACAGCGCGCGCTTAGGGACGCAGCAGGGGACAGCAAACTAGGACAGGGCTTGAGCATCAAAGGCGCGAGTGCGGTGCCGTTGGGGAATGTGGTGGAGATTAGGGGACTTGTGAGGGGTACGACTGCTGCTGATGTTGAGGTGCGCGGTTTTGTTTTTGTTTTGTGTTATGCTTGTGACTGAGATTGGGGTTGCTATTTATAGGCTATTTTCAAACGATGCGGGACGATAGTTTCGTCTGAAACAGCATCTCCTAAAGCTTCGGAGAACGTCATTGTCCGCATCACGTTCAAACTACCCGCGCATGCAGACGCAGCTGTGAATAAGTTCAACGGGCAGCCTGCAGATGGCAAAATCTTGCAAGTGAGCATTGTGGGGACGAAAGCGGTGGGGTTGACGGGGAGACTTGCGGGTGTGGATGTTGTGGATGATAGTGTGGATGTGCTTATGGAGGGTGGGGATGAGGGCAATTCATCGTGAGTGGTATCGGCTTGGTTTGGGGTTTTATCTTTTATCTTCTGTGCGTTGGTGCAGAAAAATGCGGTCGGATTCGATTATTGCTTCGGATCCGAGAGCAAGTGTGTTGGTTGCGCCACCGGGTGCGGACCCGAAGCAGTATACCCAGCACTCGCACTCGAATCCTCGTCCGGATGGGCAGAAGTGGTATCGTGGGGGTAGGGGTCGTGGACGGGGTCGTGGAAGGAGAGGTGGTGGTGGGGAACGAGCAGGCATGGATATTGACGATTGAAGCCCAAGTTATGGGACGGGTTTTCTTGGTTACGGGTATATTAATATGGATGAAATAGTCTGTGGCCCAGCCCGACTTGACATGCATTAGCTTCACCTTGGGTTGCGAATTATCTTAGCATATGTATTTTCCCCTGTGCTGATTACACATCTCATCTCATCTCAACCAGTATTTCACGCAACGAGGTCAAGAGTCAAAGCACGGGCCAAGTATGTTGTGCCTGGCATGGGCATGAGATAGCGTGAACTGAACATATTAAGAAAGTAGATCGTGATAGCCAACCAAACAACAGCGACCGCCTTGTACGTTACGTGCACGGGATTTACCCGACCGTCCGGAAAGGTATTCGTCATCAAGTCACCACCCGCAATCATTCGCTCTCAGAGATAAGCGCGACAATCATCCTAGAGTTTCGTGAGTTACCGTGGGACACTTGCGAAAGAACCACGCACCGGTAAAGATAGTAGAAGAATGAAAGAAGGTAAAAGCCTAGTTTCATAAAGCTCTCTTTCTTATGACCGCTAAGAGTTCTGAATATCTCTGTGGCGTCGTACATGTGGTTCTTGTTGCGTATCCTGTATGACGCGTCAGCTCCAGTTCCACAAAAAGTGCCCAAGAATGAGGTTTGAACGTACTTATTGACGTTGTACAAGACAAGAGGGAGGTTGAGGAGGAATGCGAACCATTGACCGGAGAGGAGAAAGAGGATTGTTAGGAATGCGTGTGCGATGTTTTCTGGTAGGACGAACTGGGGGTGTGTGAGTGGGTGTATTATAGGTAGGAGTGGAGAGAGGTACTTGGTTCAGTTTGTTGCAGAGATCTATAGGGTTGATATAATCGCATTCAAGGTCTGAGAACATGATGATCTGGGGAGTGAAAGTGAGTGGGTGGATGGGTGGGTATTAGGATAGAAAGGAAGACTGACGAAGAAAACCATCGTGAAGAGTAAACCAGCTGCCATTAGCACAGAGAACAAGAACAACCAGCCTAGAGCAAGCATCAGCCAGGAGACTCAGGTCAGTGAGGAGCCACGTACCAGCACCACCCATTTTGTCAGAGAACGTTAAAGTGAAGCAATATGAAAATTAGAACTTGTTGGCTGTCGCGTGAATCCGGAGCAGCTATCTATCAGATTTTGGTTAGTAGAACAGACGTGAATTTACAAGTAAAGTACCTTGATGGAGTAGAATGACGCCAAAACACCTGCCTGGCAGAACACCCTCAACAATGTCACACGCAGTCACAGGTCACGCCGCTTACTTTCGGTTCACTACATACAACACTTCCTCTGGTGTGTTTCAAGTATGCTGTCGCATTTTCTATGCCTACAATCATATCATTAGTCCAGTCGTTCAAGTACTCGACAAGGTACCTTCCCTGTGGCTCACACTTCTGATGGTGTCCTACAACTCAGTCCATTGCTCTCATTCCAGCCGATTATTAGCTTTCATCAGGACAGTACTCTGGTCCGCGCTCCAGCCCGTGACTCACGTTTAGGCACCTTTATAACTGCGTAATTGAATAATATCACTGACGTCGCCCACGTTTCTGAGTTGGCTCAGGGTGGTTGACAGTGACGAATTCGGGAGTGTGGTTGTGTTACTCAGGTTGCAGCGTCCGGGATGCTGCGGAGATAAACCTTTCATAAAAGTACAACCTTCACTTGTGCAACCATTCTTCCGCGCGCTGATCAGTCGTCATGCGAATCTTTGCAAGACGCCAGTCTCCACCCCTCGTGGATGTTATCACGTATCGTTTGAATAATCGAATGGTGTATGTCCCCCCAGCGCAGAGCTTCGACGTAAGTCTTTCAGTCCTAGTCTAATCAGTTCACTAAACTTGGCACAATCATTGCAGAAAGCAGTCGCATTGGCCAGATCAGCATTTGAGAGCGATCTCACTGAGATTGACAAAAGCCAGATATCCTTCTCGCTGAATGTGCTGGTGAATGGGAAGCGAAGCTCTGCGAGTATCAGCCGTGAGGCATGGTCAACGGTCATGTCGCATCTCGCACGATATGAGATTATAGATGTGCACGTTTCCGGACCCCCTCCGAGCTATCAGTCTTGTAACTCGACTAAGGAACAGCATTCATCATCACATCTATCATCGGCAGGACTTGCTACTTTGGTAGAGACGGAGGAGTAATGTTGCAGACACTCGAGCATTGTATTTGTATCTTGCGCCCTGCACACCTAGTGACTCGTTTGTATTGTATTAATTCTAGGTTGCGCTCGGGGTGATCAAATGCCTGTTCTTGCTAGATCATATCACAATTTATTCTACTCCTTCATTCGTTCGTGTGTTATGCGAGAACGTTTGCTGAGGAGTTCTTTGCAGGTACCCGTCTCTTCCTGAAATTCAATGTCATGAATCGCCTAGGGATCGCCCAGTTACTGTTTTAGCGGTCCATGTCCCACGGAGCCTCATTTCATCCACCAGCCCCTTTAAAAACCCCTCTTGATCCAGACAACGGAATGAACAGACCTTATCTTGGTGGGCAGTACACGACCATATGGAAGGTGCAACTTCGGCCCGGAGCGTTTCTTCGGCTTTGACGGTAGTTTCCTTCCTGAGCTCAATATGACCCTTTCTATGGGCGCCCACGGGGACTCGCCAAGAACTCGCGGTACAGTCTGGTCGAACAATATAGTTGATTGACAACGGTTGATTTCTAATTTAATCGACATGTTAATCACGACCCAATTCATATTCTACAGAGTACTACATAGTGTGAATACAGCAAAACAATCGACATAACATCAATTCGCGATGAACAATCTCAGAAGATGGGACTACGCAGTGCTTCTTGTGCCCTTTCCAGTCCTCGCGCTGGCAGCCCACTGAACAATACCGCACAAGCCTGCATCGGCTGCAAATCAACAACGATCCGGAAGCACCATTTTCCCTTCCACAAGCAGCGCACTCATAACGCATCGCTGTTGCCGACGCAGACGTCGGTGTAATCTTCGTGGCAGCGGCACTTTCCGGATTACCGACCTTTTCCATGTATGACAACGCGAACAGCGGATTGATTGCTGCCCTCGTCACATGCGGCGCAAGCGGGCGAAGCATTGGATATTTTTTCACAAACGCCTCGGCCCCCACCCCGGCGCCGCAAGAGCAAATGGGATTCTCGTCTGGTTTCAACGTCAGGAGGGATAGCGCTTTGCATGCGGTATTCGCAGTTGGTCTTGTGCTCCCAGGTACGGCACCGCTCCGTCGCGGCCACGAGGAGGTGCATCCATGCCTTCCTCTCTTCAACACCCACCCCTACTTGCTTCATATTGCTGCCAGACATCACATGTTTAGAAACCTTGCCGAAAGCCTCGATCTTCGCGGGCACGGGAGAAGATGGCATCACCCAAGCATCAGCGACTATGGCGTGCGAGCCGAGGTCCAAGCGGAGGTCTGTGATGTATAACATAACAAAGACCTTCCGTTCTTCCTGCAAGGCGTAGCATAGAGGGGGTTTGCCATCCGCGGCACCACTTGCGTGCCCAAAGATTATGTGAAGTGTGTGCTTAACATTCAGTAGCGTGGACTCTGTTGTCACACTGTCTGGAATGCGTCTTTCACGCTCAGAGAACATGAGGGAGACGTGCGGGTTGACCCAGCCAAGAGCTTTCTTATTAGCAATGCTGAGGGGCACACATTGGTCAAGGTTGACTCGGTGCATGTTCCACAGAACAAGATCGCCTCCCCGGGGAATAACAGGGAACATGTCCGAGTCGGTTTCTCCAAGAGCAAGTTTCAGGGGCAAGGTGACCTGCGCCGAGTTAGAACCGAGTATTTGGAGAGACAGAAATAGAGGAAACGTACTTCGATGTACAACGACTTTCGTGCAATGCGAAGCTTGACTTTCTTGGCATCGATAGGAAGCGGGAAAGGGAATTGCAAAGACTTGTCTCCAAGAACGATGGCGATTGAATGCATAGAAACTTGGTTCACGGTGGGAGTAGCACCCCTGGTCAAGGAAGCTTTCATCCCCGGTTCAACGATATCCACCCGTGTGGTGAATGATAGAGGTTTCTTGTATTCTTTATCTAATGTCACAAATGTGGCGCCAGGCGTCTTCATGGGACGGTCGCTGATATGAATACTCTTCTCCTTAGGACACTCTGGGACGGCATTAGGACGCTGTCGCAGGATGTGCACGAGTTGCTCATCTCCCAAGTCCGCACGGAATAAGGAAAGGTCAAATCCTAGCTTCATGGTGAGTGAAAAAGTCGCCGGGGTGGATAGAACAGTCAGAACGACCGACAACCGATGCTCGCTCGAAATCACAACGAACGGCGCCCAGAACCAAACCACTAGAGGGGAAGTTCCATACCGTCTAGTGGCGTCCTCCTCAATGGCTGCAGTTTTTCTATCGCCCTTCCCGCTGATCTTGACGGTTCCGAAAACTGTGTTGATGCATGAAAACGTATTCGAGGTTATTGCTCCCCTGACGTCACACTGCAACACAGGTGTTCCAGCCTCGTCAAGAGCTGGTAAGAGTGGCTGGAGGCGAGCCCGAGGTATGACGAGGACGACACAGACAGTTTGCGGGAGCGTCTTCCAATCGCGAAAGATAAGAGGTCTTTCAAGGCGATACACCTCCTGTACCTTTTGTAGAGACATCCATTCCACAGTGAAAACGCCAAGAAGGTGCAGCTGGCAGCAGAGATCTTGGTAATGGTTCATTCCGGTCATAAGGGTCCTATCACCCAGTATCTTGTCATGAAGCATGTTCATGATTGGGGCCCACTCTGTAATCACCCTGCTTTTGACGACACTCAAAATCTCCGCGTACGCACGACGGTGGTAATGTATGTCCCCAGAAATTCTGATTGACGACGGAGATCGTTTGATCATGGTCATCTTTCGTGCCATGTTCTGATAAAAAAACATGTTGAGATAAACGTTGAAGAGGACGCCTGCAAGCTGCTCCGGAGCGATGTCGATAGGGCGGTCGAGATCAGTCACGAGTTTCTCAGCCCCACCGAGCAGCTTCCAAGCGAGGCGCTCGTAATTCTGAGTTACATCCTCTTTCGCGATTTGCATGAGGAGCTCGTGCATATTCGATCGGTTCGTGAACTGCGAAACGAAGGACACGGGAATAAGGCCCAGGAGTAGCCCAATAGTCGCAATATCTCCACAGAGTTGCTGTGGCAACGTATCTTCTGGGCTGCTCCCGGAGAGACCTTCCGTGTACAAGGTAGCAGATGGAGTCCGCTGAAGAATAGGAGAAGTAACAGCAAGGATGTTCAACACGCCGACGTGATCAAGAAGGTTGGATGTATCAATGATGTTGAATGTGGTTGGCGCAAGTGACTGCGTATCAATTCCGTAAGCTTCAGGATCAAATGTGATGCACGCGCTCTTCCAAGGAGCAACGGGGAATGGTGTGGATGTCGATTTCGTGGTGCGGGAATAGCCAAGAGCTTGACACAAGCTCAGAGCGTCTCCCACAAAGCAGCGTATGATGAGCGGGCTCGGAGTAGATGGATCGCGACTGCCCAAGACCTTAGAAACTGAATGGCACCACCGGGAAAATTGTGTCTTGCAGACTTCTACTATCTCTTTCAGAGTAACTTGCTCTGGATGGCGAGCGCTTCCGACAGCTGGCGCAAGCGCTTCCGCCAAATGAAAGCAAGAGAGGGGATCTGTTCCATAGTGGACCGCAAATTTGTCACCGACCATGGAGAATGCTAAGGTTGGATTTGGATGCGATACCTCAGGGGGTCTCTTAGAGTCGGCAGAGCATATGCCTGTCTCCCAGTAAATGTCGTAGTGATCACCCGCCATCTTGAGCGCATACATCGACAGTGGCCCGGCTGCCCGACTTGCTGTAAGCACGAATTTGACTTTCGCCCTGGAAGCCTTGACATCAGCAGCATATGCTGATTTAAATGCTTTTGCCTCGCTAGGAGAGCAAGTTGTCGTCTTGACGTAGAGCTGCCAAAGACGCCGCAACTCGGCGAGAGTATCACTAGTGCACATACGAAGGAAAGGACCGTAAGGACCGTTGTTCCAGCTATCCAGATTGCTGGATAACTCGAGCAATTTCCTGCACTGCGATATGAGCAGGTCGTGAGAAACTTTGTCGAGATAAAAGTGGAAAAAGATGTTCCAGATTTGCGGCACTTTCTGCACCGCACCTTCATCGGCAAGGAGGGTGAATAGGATAACGTTACGGGCTGTTTGGTTCGTCTGTTCAGGAAGACGCATCGAGTATTAGATTTGAGCTCACCGATGACTGCACTCTCAAGGTCGCAGCAAGTGAAGTCCAGTTTTCGTGATGCTGTGTATGAAACATTAGCGTGCCACTCTATTAAAATATGCATGTCGTTTTACCTTGCGATCCTGTGCTGTCTGTATATACGGTGTAAAGGATATGCCTCGGGTCGCCGCATCCAAGAAGCAGCACATCTGCTTTTTCAGATGGGCAGAGATCCTGTGTGAGGCAAACTGCAGATGTATTGCCAATAGGGTAGAAAAACTGTTTTCCTCTCCATATAGCAGGGTGGGCCATGATCTGGGTGTTGATTTCGAGCAGCTAGCTGGTGGAAACGAAGATGATACAGTCAAACGAGCAGGTCAGGAAGGACTTGGTCACTTGAAGGGTACAGGCAACACGTTGACTGAACGAGGCTCTGTTACTGGAAGGTTCGAAAGCCTCATGGACTCGGAGCTTGGTTCTGAACGTTAACTTCTAGGTTAGCTCACAAAGAACAAACGACGATCCTGATTGATTGATAAAAGGGGTAGTGCACCCTGACGCGCGATTCCACATATCACGGCTGGGTTTACACGTGTAAAATGCCGCCGACATGAACAAACGGCGACCTGCACACACGTAGATGTCCAGTCTGGCACGAGATCTAGACTAACAGGTTAAGACGCACAGAAGTGGTTATCTCAGCCTGAAATTACATTGCCACTGGTACCTGAAGTAAGGTTGAACGTTGTGAAGTGCAAAAGCTGCCGCAGCCTGCACTTCAATCAACGAGATTTGTAACTGTTATTAGGACGTTCAAAGTTTGGCGCCGGGCGCCCACGCCTACGACTCCCTCGCCCATATACCATAGACTCGTGGGTCGTGACCAGCTCGTCTATGAGGGTGAAACCTGTCACTAAATCAGTAGTTTGTTGATGTAAACCTTGTGAAGCCTATGATATGGCAATTTTGGTGGAACAAAATCTGTCTACCAATTCACTGCCAGTACAAATATTCGATATCATATATCTACTCATGATGAACAATTCCCTTAGGAAGATGGTGCTACGCAACTCTTTTTGTGCCCTTTCCAGTCCTCGCGCTGACAACCCTGTGAGCAATACCGCACAACCTTGCACCGACTGCAAATCGACAACGACCCAGAAGCACCTCCTTTTCCACAAGCGGCACATATATTATGCACCACTGTTGCTAGTACAGGCGTCAGTGGAGCATTCGAAGCGATAACATCTTCCAGATTGCCAATCTTTTCAATGTATGACAATGCGAATAGCGGACTGATCACTGCCCTTGTCACACACGGCGCAAGCGGTTGAAGTATCGGGTATTTCTTCACAAATGATTCTGTCCCCACCCCGGCACCGCACGAGCAAATAGGACTCTCATCTGACTCCAACGTCAGAGGGATAGCGCTTTGCATGCGGTATTCGCAGTTGGTTTTGTGCTCCCAGGTACGGCACCGCTCCGTCGCAGCCACGAGGAGGGGCATCCATGCCTTCCTCTCCTCAACACCCATCCCAACCATCTTCATATTACCAGGTCTCATGACCAAAAACCTTGCTGAAAGCCTCAACCTTCTCAAATGAGGGAGAAGACGGCATCACCCAAGCATCAGCGACCATGGTGTGCGAGCCGACGTCCAAGCGGAGGTCCGTGATGAAGAACATAACAAAGATCTCCGATTCATCATTCGCTTGCAAGGCGAAGCCTAGAGGGGGTTTGCCTTCTGCGAGACCGCTTGCCTGCCCAAAGATAAAATGAAGCGAACGCTTGATATCAAGTAGCGTTGACCCTGTGGTCAATCCACGGGGGATGCGTCTTTCACGATCGGACATCATGAGGGAAGCGTGAGGGTTTACCCAGCCAAGAGCTTTCTTATTAGCAATGCTGAAAGGTATGCATTGGTCAAGGTTGACACGATACATGTTCCAGAGAGCAAGATCACCTCCATGGGGAATAACAGGGAACATGTCCGAGTCAGTTTCTCCAAGAACAAGTTTCAGGGGCAAGACGATCTGCGCCGAGCCCAACATGAGTACTTGCAGAGACAGTGATAGAAAAAATGTACTTCAATGTATAGCGACTTTCGTGCAATGCGAAGCTTGGCGTTCTTGGCATCGACAGGAAGTGGGAAAGGAAATTTCAAAGACTTGTCTCCGAGAACGATGGCGATTGAATGCATAGACACTTGATTCACAATGGGAGTAGCACCACCGGTTAGGGAAGCTTTCATCTCCGATTCGACAATATCCACACGAATGGTGAATGACAGAGGTGTCTTGCATTCTTCGTCTAACGTGACGAATGTACATGCACCAGACGTCTTCATGGGACGGCTGCCGATGTGCAAATTCTTCTCCTCGGGACTCTCTGGGCTAGCATTAGGACGCTGTCGAAGAATGTGTACAAACTGCTCGTCTCCCAGGTCCGCGCGGAATATGGAAAGGTCGAGCCGTTTTTTGGCCAGTGTGCAAGTCGCTGAGGTGGAGAGAACAGATAATACGACCGATAAACGACGCTCGTTCACCAGCACAATGGACGGTACCCAGAACCACACCACTAGAGGAGAAGTTCCATAACGTCCAGTGGCGTCTTCTTTAATGGCTGCAGTTTTGCTATCACCTTGGCCGCTGGTCGTAATGGTACCGAAAATCGTGTTGATGGCAGAGAACGTATTATGGGTTTCTACGCCCTTCAGGTCGCACTGCAACACAGGTGTTCCAGTCTCGTCAAGATCGGGTAAGAGCGGCTGGAGGCAATCCCGAGGGACAACAAGGACAACGCATAGAGTTTGCGGGAGCGTCTTCCAATCGCGAAAGATAAAGGGCCTCTCGACGCGATGCACCTCCTGCACCTTTTGTAGAGATAGCCAATCCACATCGAAAACACCAAGAAGGTGCAGCTGGCAGCAGAGATCTTGATAAAAGTTCATTCCGACCATGAGGGTCCTGTCATTCTGAATCTTTCCATGAAGCATGTTCATGGTTGAATCCCAGTCTGTGATCACCCTCCTCTTGACAACACCCAAAATCTCCACAAACGAACGACGATGGTAATGTATTATCCCAGACATTTTCTTTGACTGCTTGACCATGGCCAACCTTCGCACCACGTTCTCATGAGAAAACATGTCGAGATAAATATTGAAGAGAATGCCTGCAAGCTGCTCCGGAGCGATATCGATGGGGCAGTCGAGATCAGTTAGGAGTTTCTCAGCACCGCCGATGAGTTTCCAGGCAAGGCGATCGTGCTTCTGGGTTGCATCTTGCGTCAGATACACAATGTGCTCGTGCATGTTCGACCGGTTCGTGAACTGCGACACGAAGCACGCAGGAATCAAGCCAAGGAGAAGACCCATAGTCGCAATATCTCCACAGAGTTGTTCGGCCAACGGGTCTTCTGGACCACCCGAAGCGAGACCTTCAGTGTACAACGTAGCAGATGGAGTTCGCTGACGAATGGAAGTGCGATGATGTTCAACATGCCAACGTAATCAAGAAGGTTAGAAGTATCGATGACGTTGAATGTGGTTGGTGCGGGTGACTGTGTACTAGTCCCGTAAGCATTGGGATCAAAGGTAATGCACGGGATCTTCCAAGGAGCAACGGGGAATGGTGTGGATGTTGATTTTGTGGTGCGGGAGTAGCCAAGAGCTTGACACAAGCTCAGAGCGTCTCCCACAAAGCAGCGTATGATGAGCAGGCTCGGAGAAGATGGATTTTGACTGTCCAAGATGTTGGAAATCGAAGTGCACCACCTGGAAAATTGCGTCTTACAGACATTTACTATCTCTCTCAGAGTAACTTGCTCTGGATGGTGAGTTCCAGCAGCTGGTGCAAGCGCTTCTGCCAAATGAAAGCAAGAGAGAGTATCTGTTCCATAGTGGACCGCAAATTTGTCACCGACCATGGAGTATGCTAAGGTTGGATTTGGATACGACACCTCCAAGGGTCTCTTAGAGACAGCAGAGCACATGCCTGTCTCCCAGTAAATGTCGTAGTGATCGCCCGCCATCTTGAACGCATACATCGACAGTGGCCCGGCTGCCCGACTTGCTGTGAACACGAATTCGATTTTTGCCTTGGAAGCCTTGACATCAGCAGCGTATGCAGATTCAAATACTTTTGCCTCGCTAGGAGAGCAGGTTGCCGTCTTGACGTAGAGCTGCCAAAGACGCTGCAACTCGACGAGAGTACCACTAGTGCACATACGAAGGAAATGGCCGTAAGGACCACTGTTCCAACTATCCAGATCGCCGGATAACTCGAGCAATTTCCTGCACTGCGATATGAGCAGGTCGTGAGAAGCTTTGTCGAGATAAAAGTGGAAAAAGATGTTCCAGATTTGCGGCACTTTCTGCACGGCGCCTTCGTCGGCAAGGAGGGTGAATAAGATAACGTTACGGGCTGTTTGGTTCGTTTGTTCAGGAAGGCGCATCAAGTGTTAGATTTGAGCTCACCGATGACTGCACTCTCAAGGTCGCAGCAAGTGAAGTCCAGTTTCCGTGATGCTGAGCACAGAACATTAACGCGCCACTCTATCAAAATATTCTTACTAGGAGTGTGCTTTTACCTTGAGAGCCAGTGCTGTTTGTATACACGGTGTAAAGGATATGCCTCGGGTCGCCGCACCCAAGAAGCAGCACATCTGCTTTTTCAGATGGACAAAGATCCTGTGTGAGGCAAACTGCAGATGTATTGCCAATAGGATAGAAGAACGTTTTTCCTCTCCACAGGACAGGGTGTGCCATGATCTTAGTGCTGATTCTGGGCTGGCGCCAACGAACACGATCACAGAAAAATGAGCAGGTCAGGAAGGACTTGGAGGGTACGAGCAACAATTTGTCCGAGAGCTCTGAAGAAGGTCCGTGATCCTCATGGAGATTCGGGAATTCTATTATGTAGTTTAACTAGCTAGAACCCGCGAAGCACCTGATTGAATATTGATTGAGTAATACTCATTCCAGCCATTTGCAGATTCATAATACCGTCAAACATAAAACGTATTGAATTATGACAATGTCCGGTCAGATACCACGAATTTCTGGGGTGTGTCACGTCCTTTTGCAAGGTAATTTCGAATCAAAAATAGACTCGAGATATGTTAGTCTAGCGCTGCCGTGGTCCGGTTCAGTCTGGTTCAGCGAGGGGTGAGCAAGAACCATAGACCGAACCTGCGTCCGGTCCAGGGCATATTGTCGAACACAGAACCGGACCAAATGATAGATCATATTTCCAAAAATAAGACACAGAATGAAATTTTGCACATCTGCAAGAATCTCTGACAGTTTAGCCATTGCAGCTAACTTCCTTGACGCCTCTGAACTGCTGCAACATGACCATACTTGTATCCTGCCTTGAGGAGTTGTAATGCAGGAAAGGTGGATGACACGAGTGAGTTGTGATGGATGGTAGATGTGATGCCGCTGCTAGAAAATGCATGCTCAGACGGAACCGTGCTCCCTTGAATTGGAAGATAATCACGCACAATCCGAGCAAGTGTTGGATGCTGCAATGAATGAATCTAGCTAACAATTAGAAAAACTGTTGAGATGACTGTGAACAAAAGACATACCCCCCACCATGCAAAAATGTCTAGAACTTCTTCCAATGGTGATGACAGATATGAGGTGAGCTCATCACAAGGGTCATGCACATGATTAGCATCGGTGATTTTGCCTTTGGCAGGTCAGCTACACTTGATAATGCTTGTTTGTGGGCAGAGAATGACGAAGAGCAGATATTATCGGCATCATGAAGACAAGTAGATGGCTTTGTTGGTCAACCAGAGTGCCTAGTGGCAGCAACGAAATTGGCTGTTTGCCATCCAGAATTCAAGAGGATGGAGAATGCATGAGATGAGGCTGGCTGTGTACCAGATGGAGGTAGTGGGACATCATCATCGGCATCATGGTAGAATGCAATCTCAGATGCATCCTTGAGACTCCTGTCTGCATGATATGCAGATGAGTTGGATTCAGCCATTGTAGAACAGTAGTGGAAATATTACCTAGTTGTAATCGAAACTCGCTGCATTTAGCCTTAGGAAGTAAAGTGAACAGTAGAACATGTCTTTGCATCCGAGGTGAACATTGCACTAAATGAAAGAAAATCTTCAGCCTGAGGAATGGACTCCTCAGAAAAGAATACTGACATCAGTTCGGAACCATTCAGAACAGTCCAAGAACCAATGGAGAACTAACCTAGACAAAGCAAACTGAGAACCATACTTTGGTTTGGTCACATTTGATGGTATCACAGTGTACTGGACTGTTGTAGAACCAGACCATTTGTTGGAATCTGAGAGTTCCGAGACAAGGAAGACTGATGAATCTGGGCAAGGCATGCACAGTGAGTAATGAGAGGTAGAGGTACGAGCACAAGCCAAAAGGGGACAAAGGGCGAGCGATGCAGTGACGTCAGCTTGCGTCCTACTTTATTTTCCTGTTTTGTTTTATATAATACATTATTGTTGTCAACGTACTTACCTTAAAAATGCCAGTAGCAGCGTCCTGGCATCTCAGTTCTTTTCCAAGACACTGAGATGTGAGTAGGAATTCGTCACCTATACAATACAAAGTCTAATGCGATGTAGTGTACTTGTTCAATAGGTAGATGAACCCTTTACAAGAGTTCTTTTCCAAGACACTGAGATTGTACTTGTTCAATAGACTCCTTGTCCCTCCCGCTCTTCTTATCACAGCACCATTGGTCAGGCCTAGGGTTCAAACCACGGTTCAGGACTGGACCACAGCAGCACTAGGTATGTATGTCATGGCTTGCAATGGTTTGCTACCTCTTATACCACATTTTTCTCCTTTTACAATTGTCAATAGCTTTTAAAGATTTCCCTTATCACTTGTGTATCTTTTTCACGTGAAAAAACTTGTCCAACAACCACAACCAGCAAGTAGTACTTCAAGTAGCAGCCTAGGAGCTGCAAGCCTGCAAGTCAAAGTGCCCACAACTGATCAACTCGACTCGACATCCTCATCACTTCTAGTTGATGGTTGAGTCAAGACCTGAAGACATGGTCCTGATGTCCATATAAACTATATCACACCCAGGGAGTGTGCCCTAGTGAGTCATTCTGTGGATCAGGAATCCGACTCATCTGATTCAATCCACCTTGACAAGTTACTGCTGAGACTGTACTCTCCATATGCGAAGATATTTGTTTGCTCATCATGTTGCCATGTTGGAGTTCACTGCATGCTGCCACTGTGGGTGGCATTGTCAGCAAGTGCTCTTGATCTGCAATTTTTGTAGGGATAAATAGATAGGTTCGAGCATGGTACTATGACTGCCTCATGTTTCATGATGTTGTTCAAACTGAAAGCTCCACTTTTCTTTTGAACAGGTGGGAGATATAGAATCCCCGACATCCCTGGCGAATATTTCACCACCTTGAGAGTCCATATCCTTGTTCTCTATTTGCTCTTCACTGTGACACATGAAACAGCTTTGAAGCTGACACTCTGCACTCCACTGGGACATATCCTCCAGTATGTATTCTGATCCCCATTGAATTGCCATTGCAGAAGCCTTGCTGTGTCATGTAACCAAGACTGATATTCTCAGAGCGCTATAAAATCAGTATGGGCTTGGATTTGTCAACTATGTGCAGTTTGTGTTGATGATGGATCATGCGGTCTGTCAGGCGTCATCCTGTGCTGGATGTCCAGGAAGTATACGAGCTGGAAGAGCCCATTTTTATCTTAATGTGCGAACCCAACTTGCTGGGGCTTACTCTGCAGGAAGAGAGATCTACAAAGAGTGAGTTCATGGATAGGGTGAGTATGGGGCAGAATTCTAGAACATGTTGCAACAGGCAGAGGTTTTCATCATTGATTGTGAACATCTACACAGAGTTTGCATAGCATCGGCTCTGCGATATCAAGATTCAAAACAGAAAGGTACTCATCATGCCAAACCACCCATGACCAGTCATTTTGTAGTCCAAATCTCGCTCCATGAACAACAACAAATGAGCTATATGGTCAAACTGTGGTGACTGTACGGTCTGCAGATGCCATGTCAGACATAGAAATAAACATGAGGACCTTGGAGCCATACGCGTTCCAGTCGATATGCCAGAGATAGAGATGCATGCGTGTGGCAAGGATTGCAAGGATAAAGGCCTGCAAACTGTATATGAGCATATGGGTGTTATCAGTAGAAATTCACAATGGAAGTTGGAGACACATACTCTTCGAGGAGGGAGTAATATGTGGGCTGGGTGTGCAGGACGTCAGTGACTCAATCCCACTGACGGATATAAGGACATTTGCACACATTAGAAAACATTACTGGTGCAAGGACATTCACGGCAGAGAGAACTTTTGAGATAACAATCATCACCAATGAGGACAGACCAATATGAAAGTGCTGACTCACACAGACTGCATGCATAGTAGAATATATTATGCTTCACCAGAATGCCATGCATACCACCATTGAACATTCGCCAGGTCTGGAAGACACAAACGAGTGTTAGGGTGACCAGTCCTGGAGAAAGCATTAGTCATTGCGTCACTGTAATGTATGGTTGAAGTTCCCGATGACATACCAAGTTGAAAGACAAACAAGAGAAGAAACAGCATGAGGAATTGGATACTGGTTGAGCTCCAGTAACAGCCTGTGATGCCTGGGACCACGCTAGTCGTAACTGTGAGTGGAATTAATACATGCATATAGTAGTGAGGGAAGGTGAGAGCACAAACCATGAGACGTAGTGATAGCACTAAAACAAATACCGATGAACAATGTGATGATAGCCTGGCTGATTCATCAATCATGGGGTCAGGGTGTGTTAAAGACATGGGACAAACAAAAAAGGTAGACAGCATGGCTACAAGTACAACCCTATTGCTGTTCCAAAGTGCATAAGTCCTAAGCACAAAAAAGCCTGGAGGAATCGGATCAGAAGCATGTGTATGTCGCAGAAGAAGGAGAGACACATTCAGAGCAAGCGAGTGATATTACTCCAAGACCTATAAGAGGAAAGAGTGGTGCTTGGTAAGGATGTGGATGTAGCATGTACCATGCATGTACCTGAGTAAATATTGACCAATATCTTGCATTTCTGGCGATATCATGCAGTCAGTGTCATTCATAAATGGGTAAGAAATTCCACTGCACATTCACATACTTTGGTGTTTTCATTCGGGGAAAAATTCACTGAAACATGACATATCAATTCAATATATGGGGATGTATACAGGATTGAACGCATGATATATGTCCGTGATGATGAATAAAAAGGGAACATATCATGCAATGATATAAAGGACTTTTACCTTAGTCCAGCGCAATTGACACAGGAAGTTCCACTTTGAACAGCATGTTGTCAATATTTGAACTGAGGCGTATCGCAGCACAAGTGCATCACCACTTCGTGAAATGAACAAACATAATCATAGATCTGGATATAAGTGAGTTTAACAGCAGACAGGATAGATCGGAACAAGCTTACCCAGAATGTTCCCATCAACACTGAGCTATCATGTTAAAATGTGGAACAAGCAATTTAAACACCACGCACTGCATATGTACTAGTGGCCCATGATATATCTGTTATTGCCTTGCCATTGTGTTAAGAAAGCGACGCACCGCTAAGTACTGTAGAGTCCTAGCCGCTGCGATCTCGTCAGCTGAATATTCCATCTGCATTCATTCGAGGTAAAAAAAAAGGGGGGGCTTCAAGCGCTCATTATGCGCCTACTTAAGTAGCTCTATTGAATAAGTTTCGAACCTATCAAGATGGGGGTCTAAACCTTACATAATTCAAGGACACCATTTGGCTTAGATCTTGATCGGGGCATACCGCATTTCATTGGTTGATTTAAATCATGGGCTGCACCAGGCGGGGCGCAACTTAATAGTAAAAGTTACAGAAGTGTTCAGTATTTTTGCTAAAATAACCATAAGTACTCTATTCGGAGAGGGATGTAAACACCTACATATTGTGATGATCAGCGCTTGGACTTGAACTCTTCGGACGAAATCAGAGTTTGGCGCTTCACACTTAGCACACTATAGGCTGAAACCTACCCAAGCCTAAGCTTCTCGCATCTGTCACACATATCCAATTAGGATTGAACAACACAGTTCAATTTAAAGCAACTGAGTGACTCGCATGTTGCTCATAAGTTGTGTCCTCTTGTTACAGTCTGATTGGGGAGAAATGAGGGCTGTTAAAACAGAAAGCCAATCTGACAAATTTACTTCTTTAGCATGTCTGCTTTCTGGCAAATGCATAGCGTATCTGACCTGGACGTGTTTGGACGTCCAGTGACACCGTCAGATTATCCTAGTTCACACAGCCCTCCACTGGGTATGCTTTATGCCCTAACACCCAGAAAGTTCTCCAAATTTGAAGGCTTGCATGGTGTGGCTCATTAATCGTGGATATCCACAAAATGGTTACTTGTAACGTCAAATCAGCGATATCAAGATTGAATGGTACACACCAAGTAGAGCCACTAGTCATGATCGAAAAGTTCCTACACGAAAGGGGCTTCTTGATTTGGGATACCTGCATATTCATGTCGGAACGACAACACACTATCCCCCTCAACACACCAATCCAACTGGAGGCTTATGTTAGTCAACTTGCTGATTCTTATTTCAATTATCATACCAATATTGACGATGACAGATGGGTCAGTGTTTGAGGCATGGCTGGCCGCTGCAGGATCATGTTACGTTGCAAGTGGTGAATAGGGCCATGACTTTGCTGATGGGAACCACCAACTATTACGAGCGCATAATGTACGCAAGATATCATCGTGATATCAAATTTTAAGGCCTTACTTTCTTCCACCGTGAGCGCAATACGGAGTTGAATTGCTTATAGGACACCCATGCGATCATATTGCAGAAGCTCTTGGACCCTGGTGTATTGCAGAGTCCCTCGGGGGGCAGAGCCTGGGGACGCCGCATGTCTTCTTGTGGCCATCATCATTACGCCCTGGTGCAGTCCCAAGTTTTGGTCATTACGTAGAACGATGGGAATGAACAGAAGCGCTGCGATCGTAAATGAGAAAGCAGATTCATCCACAAGGATATGAAGGTGGTGCTGTGTTAGCGCACGCTCCCACCACGGTCAGGGCAAGGTAAGGGGTCCTCGTCTTCTTCTCCGAGGCCGAACCGGGGAAAGTGCCGCCCCTAGGGATGAGCCACAATACAATCAGGGACAAAGTTTCTGTTAAACTCATCTCGCCTTTTGTGACAGCATAGGTAGAAGGGGAGCTAACAGGGGGAGATCGTGGTAATACTGCTCACGACACCACCTGTTGAGTCTTTTATGGGAATGAGAGGGGGACAGGGATTATGTTGATCCGTTTGGAATCGATGAGCTGGCAGATCGGGTGAATTAGTGTACAAAAATAGTACTTGGTAAAAGATGACCAACATTATATCTTATGGGTACTGTAGTTGCCATGGATGTCATGAAAGTTGTTGGGTCGTACTGGGTGTGTTTGATGTTTGCACATCGGATCATGAGAGAAACTTGAGGGTTGACCCAGCCAAGAGCTTTCTTATTAGCAATGTTGAAAGGTATGCATCGGTCGCGGTTGATGCGGTGCATGTTCTAGAGAGCAAGATCACCTCCGTACGGAATAACAGGGAACATGTCCAAGTCGGTTTCCCCAAGAATAAGTTTCAGGGGCAAGATGATCTGTGCCGAGTCCGACATGAATATTTATTGAGATAGAGAAGTAGAGAAAACGTACTTCGATATATAGCGACTTTTGTGCAATGCGAAGCTTGGCTTTCTTGGCACCAACAGGAAGCGGGAAAGGGAATTTCAAAAACTTGTCTCCAAGAACGATGGCGATTGAATGCATAGACACTTGGTTTGCAATGGGAGAAGCACCGCTGGTCGGGAAAACCTTCATCCCCGGTTCGACAATATCAACCCGAGTGATGAATGACAGAGGTGTCTTGCGTACTTTGTCTAACGTGACGAATGCACATGCACCAGACGTCTTCATGGGACGGCCGCCGATGTGCAAATTCTTCTCCTCGGGACTCTCTGGGCCATCATTAGGACACTGTCGAAGAATGTGTACAAGCTGCTCGTCTCCCAGGTCCGCGTGGAATATGGAAAGGCCGAGCCACTTTTTGGCCAGTATGCAAGTCGCTGAGGTGGAGAGAACAGATAACACGACCGATAAACGATGCTCGTTCACTAGCACAATGGACAGCACCTAGAACCACACCACTAGAGGAGAAGTTCCATAACGTCTAGTGGGTAAACTGTGACACGAAGCACGCAGGAATCAAGCCAAGAAGCAGACCTATAGTTGCAATTTCTCCACAAAGTTGTTGGGCCAACGTGTCTTCTAGACTACCCCAAGTGAGACCTTCTGTATACTGAAGAATGGGAGAAGTAGGTGTGCAACACGCCGGCGTGATCAAGAAGGTTGTAAGTATCGATGACATTGAATGTGGTCGGCGCGATCGCGCACTAGTTCCATAGACGTTGAGATCAGAGGTGATGTACAGGATCTTCCAAGGAGCAACGGGGAATGGTGTGAGTGTTGATGTCATGGTGCGGGGGTAGCCAAGAGCTTGACACAAGCTCAGAGCGTCTCCCACAAAGCAACGTATGATGAGCGGGCTCGGAAAAGATAAATCCAAAGACCTTGGAAGCCAAAGCGCATCACCTGGAAATTTGCGCCTTCCAGACATTTACTATGTCTTTCGGGGTGAATTGGTCTGAGCAGCAGGAGCTTCCGACAGCTAGCGCAAGCGCTTCTGCCAAATGAAAGCAAGAGAGGATCCGTTTCATAGCGGACCGCAAATTTGTCACCAACCATAGAGTATGCTAAGGTTGGATTTAGATGGGACATCTCCGAGGGTCTCTTAAGGACGGCAGAGCATATGCCTGTCTCCCAGCAAATATTCAAGTAGTGATCGCCCGCCATCTTGAGCGCATACATCGACAATGGCCCGGCTGCCCGACTTGCTGTGAACACGAATTCGAATTTTGCCTTGTAAGCCTTGACATCAGCAGCATATGCGGACTCAAGTGCTTGTGCCTCGCAAGGAGAGCAGGTCGTCGTCTTGACGTAGAGCTGCCAAAGGCGCCGCAACTCGGCGAGAGTGTCCCCAGTGCACATACGAAGGAAATGACCGTGAGGATTGTTGTTTCAGCTATCCAGATCACTCGACAACTCGACTAATTCCCTGCACTGTGATGTGAGCAGGTCATGAGAGGCTTTGTCGAGGAAAAAGTGGAAAAAGATGTTCCAGATTTGCGGCACTTTCTGCACAGCACCTTCATCGGCAAGGAGGGTGAACAGGATAACCTTACGGGCTTTTTGGTTCGTTCGTTCAGGAAGACGCATCGAGTGTTAGATTTGAGCTCACCGATGATTGGACTCTCAAGGTCACAGCAAGTGAAGTCCAGTTTCCCGACGCTGAGCACGGAATATTAGCGCGCCACACTATCAAAATATTCCTACTAGAAGCGTGCTTTTACCTTGAGAGCCAGTGCTGTTTGTATACACGGTGTAAAGGATGTGCCTCGGGTCACCTAAGAGGCAGTACGTCTGCTTTCCATATGGACAAAAATCCTGTGTGAGGCAAGCTCCAGATGTATTGCCAACAGGATAGAAGCACTTTTTCCTCTCCATAGGACAGGGTTTGTCCCAGAGCTCTGAAGAAGGTCCGTAGTCCTCATGGAGATTCGGAGGTTCTATGTGGGTTGTCTCGCGAGGCATAAGCCACTCCTTGATTGAATATTGATTTGAGTAATTATCATTCCAGCCATTTGCAGAACACTGTTGGGCCAGTCGTCGAAAATAAAACAGGACAGCGTTGTTTGAATTATGACGATGTCCGGTCAGATACCACGAATTCCTGGGTGTAACGTCCTGTAACGTCCCATGGTATCATGGTAGGAGCACGATTGATTCAATTTGATTATCGGAGGTTGAGAATTGGTCGGAAGCTGTTGCAACGTTGAAAATTCGTTGGTTTGACTTTTTGCCGACTTGTGTTTTCTTTTTTGGGATAATCTAATCTGGCCTACTACTAGCTAGCTCTGATCAAGGCCTAAGTGCTGAGCGTTCTGCAAACAGCTGTCACGACAATTAATACTTGGGCATGACGCCGCGGATAGTTGGCATGATGCACGTAAAATTCCTGCCGTGGCGAGTTCGTGATGAACATCAGCGAAGCTTTGAACACTGCATACGCGAGTGTAAAAGTCACGTACAGTGATTTTATGTACCCAATGTACTTTATTCAAGTCGCCACGTCGCGAACTCGAAGTTTAAATTCAAGCTCTGCAGGTACAAGTGAATTGAGTCACTTGGCTCACCAATCAGGCAGAGCATTACAAAGTCCAATGAAGCTTACAGTCCGTCGACAGCTGTATCATACATCTCTATTGTACATGACTCGAGTGTCTCTTAAAAGATCAATACAAATACCTAAAGCCCTTCCTTCTTTTCACAGCCTCCTCGAATGTAATCCCTTCCAATCTAGCAGCTTCTTCAATACGTTCGCGGCCAGGGCCTTCCATTAATTCTTTCTCCACCATATCCATGTGTTTATTCTCTTTGATTAACATCCACCGTATTACTATCAATATATGAGTACATCAGAGTAGTCAAGTTGTGATTTTACTCACAGACGCTCAGGGCTGTGGACAAAACGAGACTGCACAATGCTATAATCATGGATTGATGGTATTGAGGACCCCATGAAGCTTTCCAGACATACGAGCCCATCCTATGAAAAATTATAAGCAATCCGACATTAAGCTGACCATAGAGGCCTCACAAATTACCGAGGTTTCCAAACCCATTGACAAGACCCATGGCTACAGAGCGTTTTGCTGGTGGACGAGGAATAGCGTTTGCAACCCAGGTCAATGTCAAGGCAAATCCTTTCGAAAATGTGTCAAGCTTGCGTTCAGCGTTCTAATCAGAACATACCACAATATCCGGTGGTCATGAGGAACAAGGAGAAGTACCGCCCGCCCGTAGCCATGGTGGATAGAGAGATGATATATCCAAGGATGACCACCCACCACCAGCCAGCAATATGGAAGAATCGTTCTCCAGACCTATCTATCCATTCTGTCAAAATGACTGTGGTGCATTACCAGGAATCAGACATACCTGCGTGCCATGCGCCGAGTACGCAGCAGATCGACGCGAATATCCATGGAGGGCTAGTGATCAGATGATGATGAGCCATAACTGTGAATGTAACGAAATATCATGCTTACGCCGCCATCAAAAACGTAGCAGTAGTACCGAAACCAAGCGTGGAAGTCAGGCTATCCCGCTCGATGTTAGCGCAATAATTGCAAGACTGTTCATATACTTACGTGGGGAAAAAGTTGATGTAACTCAGGCCCAGAAGTTGCGAGCAGCTCATAAACATGAAAATGATGGTCTTTGGATCCTTGATAGCCAGGAACAAGCCATCGAAAATGCTGTGACATTTTGAATGATGTGCCAATTAAAAAGTGATATGGAGTAGCACCCTGTCAGTAATAGGAAATGATGGAACTCGAGCTGAACTTACGTGAGGTTGTCGGAATCCTTGTCGGCCTCCCCTGCATCTTCTGCAAGGCGAACTTGAGCCAAGCGGCGTTCCGCTGCGTTAAGCCATCGAGTGTTATGGGGCTATGTGATGCCATGTCAGACCCGCCGAAATTCGTTTAAAAAATGTCTGCTTACAAAATCTGGAAGAAGCCACCTGGACATAACCGCGGCCGTTAGCTTTGAGTAAGAATAAAACACGCAAAAACGCACATTGTCAAGAAGCCAAAGAACATGGTGATGGCACCCTATTCCGAGAAAGTGGCCGATCAGCACAGAAAATTCAGGGATGGTGTAACATATACCTCTATGTAAAACAACCTGCGGTACGGAGCTCCAGTCAGGGTACTGCTCCTGGAATAGGGATTTGTCTTACCATCTCCAGGCCGAAAGTCCCAGTACACCTTGCATTCTTGCGAGAATTCCAGCTGCAATTAACTGACAAAGGATCGTTATCAGGCGTCATAGTCCACTGTGACGACAGCAAGCTCACGCTTCCAAATGCATTCGAGATTAAAAGACCACAATAGAACCAGGCTGACCGCACAGCGAGCTCCTGAATGTGTTGCATGAGTAGCGACTCACGGTCCTAAAAACGCGATATTCACCTTCCTGGTATACCATCGCGAAAGCAGATACATGATACCGGGATAGAATGCAGCCTGTGCACTCGCTCAGCCCGCACGTGGTTATCGAAATGATTTTTTTTACCTCAGGAAGACCAATGAATATACGACAACCCATGATTCCCGCAAAATTAGTTGTGACCTGCGCAGCGATTAGCAAGCACGAGTTGCAACTTCCAACAAAGCTTACCCCAGTCATAGCACTTGTAAGGCCCCATGCAACAACGCAAGCCCCAATGTAAAGTGACGGTCTGAGTCACGTCCCCCTTAGTATTGACTAGATCGAGATATTTGCAGTCATAACCAACCGTGAAATATAGCTCAAAATCTGTTGACAATCAGAATCAGTCTTGTATTCATAAACAATAGCACAAAACAAACCATGTTCGAGGGTATCTGGTCGTAGATGATATGTGAGTAAGATCGCATGGGTTTGTGTAGAAAATTTGCTCACTTGTGCCGGGCAATAAGAGGCATAAAGAATAGCCAGAATGGTGTCATACTGGATGTCTAGTGGATGGATTAAGCATGGATACTACGGCAGTCCGCTTCACTCACCTGTCATTCCGAGATCTTGCTCTAAACCTTGCAGGCGCGCAGCAGTAACAGCGACACGCTATGCATTGTACACGTGAGCACGCCGAGGTTCATATATGCATAAATGGTTGTTTGCATACGTCAATGTAGTTCAAGATGTATATGACCACAGCAGTGGGCATCAGCCGGCTGTCCAATTTGCGCACCAGTGCCCGTTCTCCCGCCTTCCTGGCGTCTGCAGTTAATAGCCTGAAGTCGTCATCGACCACATTTTCTGCAAAGGATTCAGTCTTCTTCTCTTCCTCGATGGACATGTGGGGCAAGGAAGAACCGCAAAACGCTACGCCAACTTAGCGCGGTAATCCAGTCACCCAAACGGATGCCTTTTATACTAGGGACCAGATTCACTGGGGACCTTATCGCGATGCCCACAATGAACTCAGTAAGCCCGCTGCTCAAGTCCAAAATTGGAAGGCCCAGAATACCATCATGATCACCTGGTATTAATGTGGCGAACGCCGGTGGATCATCTCTGTAGCCCAATATCACTTTCTATTGATATGCACAAGAGTTGTCGCCGGCGTCGTGTCTAATTATACCATACCGGGGAAGGGAACCAGAGCGGCATGGTGAACAGTTTGGAGAGGATCGAGCCGCCCGTGGGGCACGTCGGCAATCACGTCGCCTTGAATACTAATGAAATGACACTTGTGGAGTAAATATTCCGTCAGATGATCTATGTGTGTGCATGACGATATGATGACCGAGCTCCATCGATTTCAAGGTGGAAAGTACGTTTCCCCACACGGAGGTAGGAACACCTCGGATCTACGGGGAAAATATTCTTTCCAAGAGTTACTTCGAAATGACCGGGCTTGAATGCATGCACATCCCAGATTCTTACTGTTGTAAGAAACATTCCCCCAGGAACGTGTAATCGAGCGTGCAGGTAGGTTCCAGCGTACCTTGTGAGAAGATTGATGCATGATGTCGCGTAGTTTGTGTTTCGCATAATTTTATGCATGTCACATTACACGGATCTCACAGGTGTGCCACAGATGACAATGTGTGCCCCGTCAGATGGGCACAGTACGTAGACCTGAGTGTCAATACGTGCCTGCCCTTTCAGGCTCAATGCTTCAAGATCTTTGAGGAAACGGGCGGAACGAGGATCAGACTCTTGCAGCCACCAATGATCAGGAGGGTATGTTCACCTGGACAGGAGCTTCGGCCTGGCCAATCAGGGACTGGGATCCTCGAATGTCAGCACTAGAAGTGGTCAGAATCGTACGATATGATTTTAAGTCGGAGTCAGGCGTGCTGATCCGGTTTGACCTGAAAGCCGCGGCTTGGCTCGAGCTCATCACGGCTTTTGAAACGGAAAATTAAGATTGAATATACTATCGCGTTGACCGACGGGGCGTGAAACAAGCTCACTTTCGTATGGCTCAAATCTCCAGCGAACAGAGTCCACGTTTCATCTGTGGCAATGGTATAGTGTCTGCATATGATATGAGTACGAATAACAAGGACAAATTCCAGCCCATCCATGGGAACGAGTCTCTCGCTAGGGCTCTACAGCTCAAAGTCGTGTCCAGGAGCACACTACTCACATTGTTACGCGTGAGAGACGGATGGTGATCACGATCAAAACTAAGTCACCGAATTTTGACATATGCAGACTAGCGCGCGGGAATCCAGGTCAACCTAATCATCATGAGTTAGTAAGTCACAATGTAAACATAAGTCGCACCTTGAGCTTCATCGATGGTCATCAAGTCACCTTCGACAACACATAGTTGTAGTAAGTGTTGTAAAGACCATCTGGCACAAAGTTCGAGGCAGTCACCGTCGTTGTGCTCGGTGTGCCATAAGTGGTACTCCCTCGAATACCCTAGAGGATGTTTAGCAACATTCCACGAGTTGCGCTGAGGGGTGCATACGAAGCTTCAGCAGAATCTTGATCGGCTTCGCTGGCATCCCCTGCAAGACGCGCCTGTGCCAATAGGCGCTCTCCTGGCATCAACCATCGAGTGTTGTTCAGCTGAAAAGTGATATTAATATCCAACTATCGAGGTTGACGATACGTCCGTACGTAGTCGGAGAGCAGCCACCTGCATCATAAGTGAGATAAGTACCCGCGGCTTTGCAATGGCGAGGTCACGTACATAGCTTGGAATCCCACACATATTGTAATGACGCAACGTCACTGTCAACGGCGGGGTGGAATTAGCAAACGGATGCAGGACATCGGATTACACGCAATGTCAGCTGGCTCGCTTTCTATTCTTGCGAAATATTGGAAACGGAGGGCCGTACGAACAAAAAAAAGTGGAGGATGTAATCGGCAACACATGTACACACCGTGCTATAATGATCCGTGATTGTGTGTTACTCCACAGATTTGAACAGCGTATCAACTCACACAACACTTCTCGACCCGCTTGAACGGAACCGTAGCAAATTATGTATAAAAAAAATCGAGCCGTAAACTAGAGCTCAACGTGTTCAATGACCGTTGCAATACGATGTATGGGAGCCACTCCTGTAGGATTCTCTTGAGACGTCTTGAGCGACAGGCATCTTCGTACCTGAGTTCTGTCCGGGCAGGTCAGATGATCCAGGGGCCCTCACTTTTGGCGTCTCGCGACAAACTGTTTGTAGACAGGGTATGAGAAGATGTTAAGATTGATCCGAGAGGGGCCCAGACGAGTAGAGGTAAAGGCAGGCTATGAAAAAGCTGGGCCAAGGAGAATGCGTCGTCGTGGCTTGAGAATGGCAGCCACGCTCCTTTCATTGTTTGGTATGAGTGAGGATCGAAGGAAGCGTAATTAAATCTCACTTGTTACAACTGGATCTGTGCTATGTATTACATTCTTGAATCGTTGCAGGTCGCTCTATGTTTGTGAGGCTGATCATGGAACGATCTTCATCCCGGACGAAGGAGCCTGAGGGTGCGAGACTTTGCCGAGTATGACCACTGTATGATCTATTAGTATGACGAGTCACGAAAGCGACGAGTGTCATTTGAAATCACTCACTGAATACCACGGCGGGACCAATTTTATCGACGCCGCCAGTTATATCAGGTCTGCTCAAATTAATATTGGCGCTTTGAAGAGCTCGAAAAGCTCATATGTGAAACTTCTCAGGAGTACGCTTCTTCGTCTTCTAGAACGTGCTACTGCGTGAGCTTCGTAATGGAGCGGTGCGCACTCCTTCACAAAGGTCACGCGCATCAGAGGAGTGGCAAGCACTGGCATGCAACGCAGTGGGACTAAGCAGCAGGAAATTGGGCTACTAAGCCAGTAAGCGGCGTTGATTCTGAATCATGAGTCTGACCATGACCCAGCTTGATCAATAAGGTTGAAATTAGGAAAACCAGGAAGCTGCTGGTGATAAGGCCAAAGTCCTTGAGTACAACCACTGTGGAGGGCGGCCCTGGACCCCCGAGTCACCAAAAACATGAAGTGGAAGAAAGATAACAAACAGGTACAAACATTGGTTATCACCAGCGAGACCGACACTTGAACCTTTCTACCTACAACCACCAAGTACAACGATCGAACAGCACCAAGAAACTTATTCGCAGATCTATGGCTCGTCGGGCTAATCGCAAGCTGGCAGCATCGAAGACTCGATCAAGCACTCCGATGCGTTCTGTCGCCACCATCAAGCAATCCGCAGGCTCATCGTTGAGCCACAAACGCCGGCGCTTTAAGCAAGAACATTTCAAACGGCAGCAGAGGCAGGTCGCTTTCGAGGTCCAAAAGGCAAGGCGTGAACGCTGGGCTGAAGCTGCTCGAGAAACACAACGGATTGTTCTTGGGGATGGCAAGTATGTCGAAGAGAAACTTTCTTCTACTTCTGTTTCATGCATCATGCCCTCTGCCCATATCTCTCCGCTTGTCTCTTGCCTTGATAACGCCTCGCCACAAGTAAACACTTCTCACTCTCAAGGACATACCATGACCACAACGCATGTCACACACGACATATCATCACAAATCATTTTAAGCAAGCAGGGAACAACGTTCTTCCCTCATTATTTGCCACCCTTGGCTGGCTGGAGCAAGCCTCGCACAGTCTCCCTTTCCCGAACCAAGCCAACTAGTTTTCTGTTTGTTGCTAGCTCCACGCTCACGGCTGCTCGGCAACTGCACGAGCGGCGACCAGATCTTACTCGTAGTTCGCCATATTCGCTCTCTACTACGTCAATTGGAGTCCTTTCCTTTGCATCACCCAAACGTCCCGGCGGAGGCTATCTACGCGGAGGTAATGAGCAAGAAGAGACCCTTGCTAGGTCTTCGTCGCTTGTAGCTGGTCTGCAGGCCGACCAAGGCAAGGAGTTCTACGCCACCCACAAGAAATTTGTTAGCGTCGACGGAGCTGGTCTCAATGATCACTCCATGGTATACAGCCCAGGTGTTGTCGCCTTTCGCCAAGACGATGGCGATGACACATCTCCACTGACAACTCCGTCGTCAAATAACTTCATCCCCCCTTACCTTATTAATGTTCTCTCGGCTGTGCCTGTCAATGCAGCTGCAATCCGTCAGAACTACTCCATCACTCCATCAAACACTCATATCTTTGTGGACGGCATACATGACAAGATGCGGGATCGCATGGCAAGAGCACTTCGCATCTTTGAGTCACGTGGTGACCGAGCTCTCGTCCTCGGTGCGTTTGGGTGCGGTTCCTGCGAGAACAAAGTTGACATGATCGCGGAGATCTGGGCAGACCTCCTAGTATGCGGGGAAGGCGAAGAGAACCGTGAAGATAGAAAGACGAGTGTCCCACGCGCGGCGTTCAAAGACTCATTCGAAGAAATCGTGTTTGCTGTTCCCGGTAAATTATATGAACCATTCAAGAAGGCGTTTGATATGAGAGTTTTCGAACTGGAGGTGTCTCGGGCAGCTAGTGAGTAATTTTCGAAGCCGTTCTTGATATTTTGACAGGTTTTCCAGCCTAGTATATGGTTTACATATCATTACGCCTCATGAGTTTGATAGTCCTGTACTAATCTTTGTTACCTGTATCGTTTTATATCCTCTTCCTTCTGTGTGTTGTCTGCGTGTATCATTAGCACTCTTACAAATATGTTGGATGTTTGCCTCATTTGAGTTTCCCATGATGGGCGGGCGCATGCAATGGAGTTGAGTAGCAGTTGAATAGCAGCGTAATAAAAATCGAGAGTGCTCAAAGAATGCTTGTCATCTAATGACTCGGACCGTCTGACTCGCTTTTCCGATGTCTGCTAGTAACATACAGTTGAAGTATCCAACGAGATTACCACGAAATTCGAATCGTGATATGTGGTATGATCCTGAGGTTGCATATACAAGCGCAACCTTATGATATCCCGGATCGGCATGATGACGTTGATCTTCAATTGAGCAACTTTCATCCAGCGACCGTCCACAACGGATCCGGCTGTGATCTTGTTGATGCAAGAGTCTGCAAAGGTAAATTAACGTCCCACCTTCAAAAACTTTGTACTGACTGGTACTAGTTCCACTTCGCTCAACTTTTCTTCTCTATCTGATTCAGGAATCCGTGTGTCGAACACGCCCGGCGGGTTGTGATTGATGATCCAAATGCGACAACAACATTCTATTTGGTGATCTCATGCGTGGGGGACCTCCTCCCTGCCCAGCGGTGTTTGCTACGGGCTGAGGATTGGAAAACGCTGATTTCGTCGGGCGCTGCTCGTGTCCTTACAGGCTATACACATCGGTATTCTTGGCCTTGGTGGAATTTGGCCTTCGCCTCGCACATCTCGTGATTCTTGTCCATGCATTTCCCATGCGAGTGCTGTACTGTTCGCGCTCCAGGAACCCAGATGCCCCATAGTGGTGTGAGTATGTTGACAGGCTGACAGCCGCATGTCAACTTGAATATGCGCGGGTAGATGTGCTGAGCGTGCAAGTTCCTTTTGTGTCGGAGACAGTCAACCTCGTTTGGTGAGCAACAGATTCATGCTATGAAGCACGGTAGCACTCTGGCGAATAGGGCGCGGAGAAAGGTGGTCGATGAAGAGGTGCTGCTGTCAGAGGACACTAGATGATGTGCCGCGGCACGTACAAGTTGCTTTAGCGATTATCATGATTTTGCTGGGTGCTGATTTTCTTCTAGCTTTCGTCTGCCGTCTGTCGGGTTGGTGTTCCGTGACGAACCGAATGCGAACCCGAGTTTATTTGATTTCCCTCAAGGCTCAGAACACCTGGTGACCTTACTGCCACACGTGGGCACCTGAACACGCGCACGGGAGACACCGAGATGAAAATGGAGGTTCGCCTAAATTCTCGTAGTATTTTATATGAACTTAACCTAAGGTTAGCTTTGAGCTAGCCTGCCATGCCTTAGTCTCCCTTAGTGAGCTAGTCAGACCTTTAATAAATGAAGACAGTCGTTTCACTGCTGTCGTAAGTTTGCAGCCTGAGACTAGGCCCGCTGCCAACCTTGGTCAAGATAAGACGCCAAACGTCGGGCATCCGGTCCGCTGCTCCGTATCCTTCTCCTTCATTGACTGATCAGTTGACCCCATTCAATTTCGTTATGATGAAAGGTTTAAAGTTCGAATCTATCCTCAAACAAGTACCAATCATTCTTTGGCACCCTCTCCCTCGTCTCCCCCACTCCGGCTAGATTCCCACGATGTCGTCTCGCCAACCTCGTATATTGATTTGTGGTGAGTCCTGATCCGTCGCGGCTACATGTTATATACTTACAGGATCGATACTCGCAGGAAACCTTGTTTGGGCTCATGAAGAGGCCCGACAGCTTTTTAACGGGCTCGCAGATATTGTCGTACGTTTATTTTTCGATGGAGAGTTATTCACATTTAAGACATGTCCCACTGGCAGGTTATGGATTCTCCAAATCGGGCTGATTTCCTTGCCGGGCTGAAAACAGGAAAGAGGTACGATGGAATTGTGGGCATCTACCGGCACAACACCTCCGCAGACCGCATCGGCGTTTTTGACGAAGAGATCATTGATGCTCTGGCTGAAACGGGCACTGTCAAGTGGATCGCGCATAACGGTGCAGGTTACGATCAGATTGATGTCCTTCGATGCGCGAAAAAAGGTAACTGCACTATATTTTCATGACCTGCATTTGTTGGGGTCTTCTACCAAGGAGCTTACATCCGATTTAGGCATAAGCGTGTCTAATACTCCTGGCGCTGTCGATGATGCAACTGCCACTACGGCGTTGTACCTTATCATTTCTTGTCTCAGAAATTACGCTTGGGCCGAACAAACCCTTCGGCAGGGGGTGTTCAAAAAGGGCCTCAATCCTGGCGGGCTCATGATGTTACGGGACGCACGCTAGGTATCTTGGGCCTCGGCGGTATTGGCCTTAGGCTTGCTCATCTAGTACATGCATTCCCTATGCGCGTTGTCTATTACTCGAGGAACAAATCTGCCAATGCACCAGAGTGGTGCGAGTACGTTGACAGTATGGAAAGGCTCTGTCGAGAGAGCGATGTTTTGAGCTTGCATGTTCCTTTACGCGATGAGACAGTTCATCTGGTGGGCGAGAAAGAGATTCGGGCGATGAAGAAGGGCAGTATCATCGTGAATACCGCGCGTGGAAAGGTCGTTGACGAGGAAGCGATGATTCGTGCTCTCGCAGATGGCCATGTACGTCAGATTGTTTCTTTGTTCTCTTCGCCTCTTCTAAATTTACAACCGGAACAGCTCTGGTCTGTTGGCCTAGACGTATACCCTAACGAGCCTCTCGTGAATCCGCGTTTACTCGAATTCCCGCAAAACGTACTCCTACCCCACATGGGGACAGAGAACCAGGATTCCCAACGCTGCATGGAGGTTCGTGCGCTAACTAACTTGAGAGACTTCCTTCGCGATGGCCAAGGGAAAGATTTGGTTCCCGAGTCGCGGAGTAAATTGTGATGGTCAATTCTGGAATATTACAATAAAATAGTGCATGTATATTCAACTCCTTAACGACTCATTGTGGCTTACCATATGGGCGGCATTGGGACAATTCCATCAGACTGGTGGATCTGTTCTTTTGAGGAATCTTGCTGGATATATACATCTGGGCGGCAAATTGAATTATCGGGCGTCAATTGGTCGTTGGACAACAGAGTGATGAGAGAGAATGAGATCAACGAAGTGATTTAGGTGCACACTAGAGCTGAGCACTGCATGATTCCTCTTTGAAGGAGTCGTTGGCTGCGTGTCGGGGTAACCGACAATGACGGATGCCACCCGACGTGCGTCGATCAATGATACATAATCATTACGAGACAAGATGGCTCTAAGGCCAAGATTAGCTAGAATATAAACAAAGGAAGACGCTGGCTTCTGAGGAATACCTAGACGCCCGTCGCTGAGCGCTGAATCCCTGTGATCCGATGACGGTCTTATGGCATACTCCTAGACTACCATCTGGTTGATCATGGTCCAAGAGCTGCCGTGACACGAGTCACCGAGCAGTCGAGACTCAAGATCATCCAAACCTTTCGATGATTGTCTGACAGTGCTGTTCATGTAGGAGTCTAATAAAACCACACAACCGAAGCTCGGACGTACATATGAAGGACGTCGACTGCCGGTTTGGCAACTGGACTAAATGAATAAACCTCACGGTTGGCAGCGCTTGCCTGACGCCGTTCCCTATAGTCATAGGAATGATGATCAATGAAGTTGACAGATACCGTAAAAGCTTGGTGAAAGCCGTGGTCTTTATCCGTTCTGCCGCTGTTAATCGCGATTTGTTACAGTGACAAAAAACTTTGCACTATCCCAAAGAGGAATCCTTTATTAACGGAGCTTTGATCACTGCGGTAAAGCAGTTCCAGTTTCACTCCCACCTTGAGCACAACGAGCAACACGATGACGGACACTATTTACACGTCGTCCTACCCGTCTGTCCCTATTTGTCGTCGTTCTATCTTCACTCATCTCCTTGGTGTCTCTCCATCTTCCCCAGGCACAGTCGGTGGCTTCCCCGCTTCATCACCCGCATTCATAGATGCTCTTTCCGGTACAACTATTTCTCGTGGAACATCTCGCTCATATGCTCTTCAGTTAGCATTCTCTCTTCACAATCTTCCATCGCCTTTAGAGAACCGCACCAAGACAGTGCTCATTCTCTCTCCCAATTCTATCACGTGGCCCGTCATGATATTTGGTGTAGTGGCCGCTGGCTTCCGCGCGACGCTTGCAAACAGCGCATATACGCCAAATGAACTAAAGTATCAATACATTGATGCAGGAGCTCATCTTGTATTCGTCCACCCTTCGCTGGTTGGACAGCCCGGACTATGCTAAGGTCCCTTGGATGCTCCGAGCAGGAAATACGGAGTCGTGTCATCGTAGCTGGGGTTCAGTGGATCACGGGTACCGAAGACGTATCTGTTCCAGATCTGAAAGACCTTGTGGCTATAACTCAACTACTTGGTCGCGGCGAGCTCAGAGAAGAAGTTAGCTTCAACGGCGAACGGTCAAACGAAACTGTATATCTCTGCTACTCCTCTGGCACAACAGGTCAACCAAAGGGTGTCGAGACCACACATTACAATCTCATCTCAGTCCTCGAGATGCTCAAACCTGTTTGGCCTAATTCCAAGCCATGCCTTACCCCGTCCATCCCTGCACAAGGCGGTGTAGATGTGCTCTTTGGGTGTCTGCCCTATTATCACATCTATGGCGGAGTCAAACTTCTCTATTTGCCGTTATTCTTAGGTACACCTGCGGTTGTCATGGCAGGGTTCGACCCCGATGGCTTCTGCGCCGCTATCGCAAGATATCGCGTGACAGTCAGGCTTCGTTGTCCCTCCGATGCTAGTAGTATTTGCGAGACACCCAGGCAGGTCTTCCTCATCATCTTTTCTCACTTCACCACTCCGGTCTAATTGCGTGTGGTACGCATATATCAACCTATCTCGCATCATTATATAAGTGCTAATGCTCCCCGTAGATCTAACTCCCTTTGGGGTCTGTTGTGTGCCCATACACCCACCTGTCTTTTTCTGCTGTCATTTATCTCAGTTCTAACTTCTGACGCAATCCTATACTCAGCTATTCAGAAACATGACCTCACCTCCCTCAAGATTCTCTTCTCAGGCGCCGCACCCCTCGGCGCTGAGCTTGTCTTGACCGTGATGAAGCGCATGAAAGGCATTGGCGCAGATGTAAATATCCTACAAGGTGTGTTTTCGTCTCTCGACTCACTTCCTGAGAGTGCTGAGTCTCATATTTTTGCATAGGCTATGGCCTCACAGAAACCTCACCAACGGTATTCCTCCTTCCTGTTCCTCATGCCGGCAGTCATATTGGGGCGGCAGGAGTACTGCTTCCAAACTTGGAGGTCAGACTTGTTGGCGAAGCTGCAGGCGAAGTTCGTACTTGTTCTCCAACGCTTGTCTAGGTCAGGTCATTATACATGATGGACTCTACAGGCACACACAGACATCCCAGGCGCTGGTGAGGTATGGGTGAGAGGGCCGACGATCATGAAGGTATTCTGCCTGTCAATATCCTTCAAATCAGTTTGATCACGCATTTCACTTCAGGGATACCTAAACAACCCCACTGCAACTGCTGAAGCCATCACGCCTGATGGGTGGTTCAAGACTGGTGATATCGGCGTGCGGGACAATGATGGGTTCTTCACAATTGTAGACCGGAAAAAGGAATTGATCAAATATAAGGCAAGTTAGTTGCTGCAATGTATCCGGTTGTCAATTCTCATTTAGTCACGCACGTAGGGCTTCCAAGGTGGGCCTGTATTCAAATTTCTTCAGTGCGACCGCTCAACTGATAGCTAATGTGTCAGTTCCTCCCGCTGAGCTGGAGTCAGTGCTGTTACAGCACCCCGAGGTCGCAGACGCGGCCGTCATTGGGATTGAGAGTAAGGAGGAAGCAACGGAATTGCCTCGGTGAGTCCATGAATATATTTTAGTGAATAAAACTGACAGCTTCTCACTCTACAGCGCATATATAACGCCTTCTCGCCCACTTTCCTCCCAAGAAGTGCCTTCATTCGCACTAGGTATCCAAAACTGGGTTTCACAGCGTGTGGCGCCACACAAACGACTAAGAGGAGGAGTTGTCATCATCGACAAGGTTCCGAAAAGGTCCGGTTACACTGCTGCCTCTTTGCTCTGTCGTTTGGCTGATGAGGTGAAATGATAGTGCTGCTGGAAAAATTCTCCGTCGTGAACTTCGCGAGCGCGCGAAGACGGATGTTGCGGAGGGACAATTGAAACCTCGCGCGAAGCTCTAGTTCTAGAATAGGGTAACCTCTGCTTGCAAGATAAGGCGAATCTTTGATACCCAAAGACTTCCCATCTATCACTGCTGCCTATCAACTTACGGAATCCATCGAATATCTATTATGTCTTTCATTGGTATTCACTAGTACTGCTGGCGCTCGAATACCTTATAAGACTTCGTATGTAAACTTTCGGCTTGCCATGCTAATGACTGGAAACACTTACGATTATTTCTTCTGCCTGAGATCCCCAGATCGGTTGACCTACATCTCGTCTCTGATGCCACACCCTCACTCTCGTGGTGTTTGATTCGAAGGGCAATCATTATCAAACGGAAAGACATGTCACATCCGTAATCACTGAGAAACGGATAGAAACCTGAATATGGCGTCAGACAATTCGTTTTGTAGTCTCAATATGACGGGTTCTGGAAACACATTCTTTATGAACCATGACGGAGACAATGTCACTTCACATGCTCAGCGCTCAACGTCAACGCTAATCGATCAGATCAAACTCCAATGGCACATTTACAAATCGATTCTTACAGTAAAATTAATGAAAATATTCAAGGAAGATCTAGAGGAAAAACAAAACGATCATGCTGTCGGATCCTTGCTGTGACGACTCCGGTAAGTGTGTTACCTACTTCGAGTATGGATTCGAGTCTCATCTAAGGGACGATGCTGCGCGTGACCGATGTTTGTCCTGAGGTGAGGTAGGCGCAGAGGTAGCCACAGGGGTAGTCGTAGCGGAAGCAGTACTGAGACGTCGTTGGAAATAGTGGACAACAGGTAATGACACGAAGTACAAGATGGTGAAGGAAATGGCAACAGGGATAGCGATGAAGCCAATAATATAGGTGGAGTAGTTAGTTGTCGATATGACAGAAGCGAGCGTAGGGCGTGGTTTCAAGTCTCTGGACGTAGGAGGGCTGGCAGTAGCTTTGTCATGAGACGGGACGGTTGCCGAAGAGCGAGTGACAGCTGTCATGGCTGGAGTTTTTCGAGAAATGACCAACTCCGGTAGCTCGCGGACCCCGGCCCTGACGGTTCGGAAAACTTGTTCTGGCAGTACCGGCCCAAAATATCGCTGGTCCTCCGTGCTAAGAAATGTGTACTTGAACAATGCGCACTGAGCCGATGAGAAGCCGCGAAAAGAAAGAAAGGTTCCACGTCTAAGAACAGCATTATAGATAGATGTCCGATCTTCTTTCGCTCCAGGACGCTCAACCACTAGTCTTTCGCATTTGCGAGATCCCAAAAGCACGTGAGGAGCTGAAGAAAAGAGATGCAAGGTGTCCCTATGAGAATCCACGTTGATGTGCATGTGTTTTGCGAAGAGAGCAGGGTGAAAGGTCGATGTGCAGTGTTTAGCAAGCAGGCAGATACCATCCAGATACACGTGCGTAAGACTGTCCCAGCGCTTGATAAGAGCTCGGAAAGCACCATGGAAACTGAGAACACGAATAGGTCGAACCACCGATGCTGCGGTTCCTTCTACACGTAAGCCGAACTTAGATTGACCGGAAGAAACTTCAGAAATCCATTCGAAACGCTGCGGCTTGAGGCTCGATAAGAGATCGAATAATGGCGAATCCACCCTTAGCCAACGAGTGTGTGCGGATGTATCCGCGATAAGTTGCTGATGAAGTTCTGGAGTAGCCAGGTTCGACAACAACGGGACTCCAACGTTGAAGCGAAACCTCAGAGTGTGAAGGTTTGGAAAAGGAGTGGCAGTACTGAGTACGCTAGGTGCCCCAAGGGTCTGTTGCTGAGATGATGGCAAGAAATTAATTTCTATGCACTTGACGTGTTCCCTGTCGGCAGCTGTAAGAACCGCCCGACTCAGAGAGATGCAACGGTGTATGAGGTGTAAGACCGATAGCTCCGAGTGTAAGACGATCGTGGACAAGAATATAGGTTTTGCCAATGACAAAACACGCCGGTTGATCATGAACACGTTAGTAGTGCATTGGTTCGTATCGTCAAAAACGAAACAGAGAATATGGCTCAGAATAGTGTCTGGGAGAGTAGTCAGGAGATCAAAGTGCCTAGGAAAAAGCGAGATTAGACTATTGTTTTCATAATAATTTGGCTTGCAAACCTCCCAACGTTGTTTGGACCCCCAGCAGTCACCATCATCGAGGAAGCAAGTATAATTTGATGAAGGAATCTGGCAAGAATCAACGCTAACGTCGTCACGGAAAGTTCAACGAGTTTAATGTCACGTGATGGGCAGGTACAATACCATCTCAAGTTTCAATATTTTCATCGATGCATCAATCATGACATGATATATATCATGTTCCACCTCGGACTGGCCAGTGGCAAACGTTCAAACATTTAGGTTCTCCGAGCATAAAACTGGAGGGGACCAAACTGTCCTAAATTCGCCACACCACAAACGAGTGCCACTTATTGATTCAAGGGCGGCCAACATTAGAACTTTTTGAAAACACGGATCCGTTCGGAACGTACGGAGCACCTGTTCCATCCTAGACCTTGATGGCATCCATTCCGCAAGTGGTGCTTAGGCTGATTCATCAATCGCATCGAGCATCTGCACCGGTCACACGCGAGCTTGTGGACACCCCCATCCCGAATTAGCTGCCCACAAAATTAGGAGTCAGTGATCTATCATTATACACCTACGAGTTCAGCTGACGGCCCCGCATATAAAGGCGTCATTCTCCTCGTAGATCGTCTGAATACTCTGAGCTCCATCCTACATCTTCTAGAATCTTGTCTGATATCCTCTCCACTGTAATATGCGTGCTTACTACTTTGACAACCTCGAGGGTGATCAACGTCTCCCGCATGACTCTGGAATGGATGTTTCAGATGAGATCTTGAAGTCCATTGGCGTCTTGCATTGGCGCATTCCTATTGATGCCGAGGGCAAGTACGAGCAGGAGATTGCTGTTATTGCGAAAGAAAGGAATTACAAGAACCACGATATTGTCGCTATCAGCAAAGAGGGCCTCGGTGATGAATTTGAAACAAAGATCAAGAGCTTCTACCACGAGTAAGACCTAATTTCTTCGTCCGTCTGAAGTGTACTCACTACTATATATCTGATAACCTCAGGCACATGCATGATGATGAAGAAATCCGATACCTTCTTGAAGGCACCGGCTTCTTTGACGTTCGTGGTATGTAACAACTTAAACCCTGAAGCTTTTGATGAAATTTACGCTATGCAGAACATTCCAGTGAATCCTGGATTCGTTGCCACATGGGTGCCGGTGACCTCTTGGTCCTCCCTGCGGGTATTTACCACCGCTTCTCCCTCGATATGGGTAATCGCGTTCGGACCATGAGATTGTTTAAGGTTTGTTCTTAGTCTGTTTTCGTTTTCGTATGCTGACCGCCCTTGCGTTCCAGGATGAGCCAAAGTGGATTGCGCATAACCGCAGTGACCAAACAGATGCTAACCCCTTCCGCTTGGAGTACTTAAAGAGCATTGAGGTCCAGTAAATCCATGTGTCTATTGTAGAGCATAGTGATATATTTTATGAATGAGATATCTCAGTCGACACTGCAATTTGTAGTATTCAGGCTGGCGACCTCTGCTTCATTTGACGGCGTTGTTAGTCCTCACAATGGAAGCAGGTGTCAGATTGATAAAGAGAATTTTTGGTGACGCGACGGATTCATCGCCACACCGAAAATTGAAGATGTTTGTGTAAGTGTGTTCACATTTGATGCCGCGAAGACAGTTTCCTTTGCGACCCACGTATGCAACTACATTTAATGGTTGTCTATGTCTGGAGCTAGCACGAACCGTGCTCGACCTTTGAACGGATCTCTTAGCTCACGGTCAATTGTACACAGCGTTCTCGAGGGCGAGAACGCGAAGAGACACGATGTGTTTATCTGTAGAGACGAAGGATTGCAAGGCTGCTAATATCGCACTTCCCCAGTTGCTACTGTAAATACAGGATATATATTTTCGAAGAGCCGACCAAAGGGGTGTCCTTGCAATTATTTAAAATTCGATGTTCAATGTTCACTTGTATATCATGTGGTGTGCACCTATCAAAGCTTTCCCTCATAATATTGGGCACCAAGTAGTAGCTCGAAGTAAGTGCCTAAGTACTTTACATAGCAGCTCTGTGTTGAATGTGGATATTCCATAGGTATCAGAAAACATACGAAAGCAAAAGAATAGCGATACAGCATCTATGACTCAAATGATACAGTTACAAAACCCTGCCGATTAACAAAACAAACTCGTAACATGCGTGAGGAAATGGTATCCAGAATATTGTCCGGAATGGTCATCGGAGAAGAACAAATTGCGGCTGGGTATGACAATGGTGGTCCGCATCGAGCTGGACCGCACGATACGTGCAATGGCAGAAAAGACAGTAGGGCGCTGATAAATCGCAATAGCGCGAAAAATGATGTGGGAACAGGGATTCGATCACAGGCAGCCGTAGCGGCAGATCCTGGCCTCGACGTCTTCCTCCTCTTCGGGAGCTGGTTCGCGTTCAGCGAAAGCTTCTGCTACTGGCATAGCTTCACGCTACAAAAACAAGGCATGAGCGACTTGACATTTTGTGTCAGATCCAAAAAGACTCACAGCAAAAATTCCTGTGTTGGCAAGGGCAACAGCTTCAGGAGCCGCAACAGGTACAGGCGATGCAAATGCTACATGTCATAACCGTCAATATGACAAACATGTCAGGACGAGACAATTAAACCCACCTAAAGCAGCAAAGCATGCGATAACGTATACGGAAGTGAACTTGGCAAACATAGTGCTTTTGGAAGTGGTTTTATTGTTATGTTGGCTTTTGGAAGAAGGTTCGAGCAGTCAAATCAAAAGCGCTAGATGGAAGATATATTCTGAGCGCAGAACAATAAGAGTCGAGTGCACAAAAAGCTTGTTGAGTCATGAAGTCCGTTCCATAACGTCTTTATACTACCTTGCGTGAGCCTTCTGTGAGTTTTCAACTCTTTGATACTGCTAAAGGAGGTTGGTCCAAAAGCTAACGACCGCATTTGGGGAGTACCTTCAATCCAAATTAGGGTGTTAGCTTGTTCTGTCAGTTCTTAAATTATCTATTGCGTTTGCACGCACCTGCACACCTCGGCACGCGTGCGGCGAGAACCACGGTGTGAAAACGTTGATTCAACCGGCGGTGCAACGTATTTGGATGTCCCCTTGTTGGGTGTGAGGAGAAATTAGAATTTGTGATCCAGCGCTACTTAATCCACAGCACCTGCCTTTTTTGGATCAAAGGGATAACTTCAAGTTGGCGCTCGAGAGAACCATTGCGATTGTGCGATACTCCGCCTTGCGACGGTTGACTATCAATTAACCAACGTAGCTCACAGAAGGGCACACAATTTTTTGAAGGTACCATCAAAGACGTACTCCACGCGTCGAATGGGTTTATGCATGCTGCTGGCAGATCTGGGCATCTTGGCAGGTTGTGCCCAGTCATTGATTCGCGGACTGCGGACTGGAGAGTCTGCACAATATGATATGATAGAAGCTGGTATATTCAAAGTACACTGGGCTCGATGATACACAAGCTAGCAAGGAAGACAGATATACATGTAATAATATAGCATTTCTCAGTCGCATCGAGCGAGAGTTTGTCAGTATGAAATCAAAGGATAGACTATCAAAAATACATAGCAGAGAGACAAAGAGGAAACTAAGAAACGAGCGGACGGTGAAACGACACCAGCTTTCTAGAGAGTACTGGAATGAACGGATGAATATAGTGGGTACACATCCCATAAGCGCGTGGGATCCTACTAGTACTCCTGAAATAAGTTAGGAAGCTAGCCGCATACAATATACAAACACGCCCACCAGAAACATTCAAAGGCATCCATAACGACAGATGCGTGCTTCCAGATCATCGCCGGGATCATCGACGAGTATGGAGGGTTCCACGATGAGTCCTGCGTCTTCGTCTCGCGTCAAGATACCGGTGACTTCATGCAGTTCCAAAAGCGGAGCAGCCTCGCGTCTTAATATATTGACCTCGAGCAAAGCCTCGCGCTGCACGTCTTCTCGTTCAAGGACTTATAGAGTACGGAAAAGATGGCTTACCGCAACAACATCCTGGAAAAGAGTGATGCCCTCACTGGGTGGAAGGATGATGGGGATGGGACTTGCACATGCAAGAAGGGATACTGAACGAAGTTTAAGTCAAATGGAATTGGTGCGGACAATAATTCAAATACGAACAGCAAGCAAACAGAAAGATGGCGAAGACCGGGAATGAAATGAATTTCGGTGCCATGTTTTCTGGGGGACTTGAATGCCTCGTCCGAAAAATGAATGTACCGGGAGGTTGTTGGAGAAATCCGAGCCACAGAACGCACAAAACAAGAGAGCGGCGCACAGTGATAATATATGCGAGTGAAAGATGATATCAGATATGCGATAGTTTGCTCGCACTTCAAGTTACAATATAAGAAATTACCTACACTTAAAGAGACCTTTATAAGACCTTTTATCTTTGTGTCTGTGATGCGGATGCGGTCGAAGAGACAGCGTTACAATATCTTCCCGGGACCTGAGTAGAGCTTGGGCGACTCGGACATGTGGCTGACACCACAGCTCAATCTGGACCTTCCTTTCAGCATAGAGGCGTAAGCATATGGGCCACTGATCCTGTGGTGAATTTTGTGTCATGCCTTGTACTTCTATAGCAGATTGTCATTCATGTGTATTTCCCAGAGGTGGCCGGCACTGTCAACAGGGAGATTTAAATCAGCCTCGGTATGAGAACTTGGAAGAGATGCGATTGCGGTAAAGTCAAAGAGTCCAAAGCAAACTGAGAAAAACAACACCTGCCGTAAAAGGCTTCTTCATCGACTTAAAACAGAACAAGAGATCATCGTGCCTATAGTGCAAATTTAGCAAGCCTAAGCTCAACCTGAGCTTACAGAGCTGAGAGAACCGGTTGAGTCTTGACCCATTCCCCAAGGGACCCTTTTCGGTCGTTTCCGAACCTCTCCATGCAGAGACGATGCTGGACCAAGTCGCATTTGCTCATCCGGTCAGTAGCATCTTGTTATCAATCGGATCTTACTCGGTTTCTTCGAACAACTTCAAACCGTCTGCATGTCTAGGTGCTGGGTAATGGAGCCTGCCGGAATATCCCGGCACCATGGCATGCGTCCAGCTGAGCGGTTGCGTTGTTCGCTTCCTTCATTCTTTCTACCACGACGTCGAGTTCGTCGTTCGTTACCGTACACTCCTCACTTGCTCGAATAGTTTTTCTTTATACCCGCCCACCACTCCCTTTTGATTTTTTTCGCACAATAGTTTGCACCTAATGCTTTACCAGCCATACGTCTGATAGCTTGCTGCCATATCAATTACATTTTGCTGCCCTTGGCTACTCGATGAGTCATATATGGCATGTTCGAATTCGTAAGCAGGTATCCCGCTGGCTCCACCTGCTTGCGTCCCATCCCGAGCTAACACTCGGTCCAGCCCAACCTAATAGATCGTGTCACCGACTCTCCAGCCCGTTGAAGCTGGAGGACACCCTCCGTGACGGCATTCACAACCTGAGTCTACTTATGTTCGTTTCAATTGAATCCCGATGCACAGACCAACTGATTTTGGTTAGTTGGAACAGGCCCTGGCGCTGACCGATAATTACTACTCGTGTCCTTCCAAAGTGTCATATATCCTCTTACCTGATCCATTTGCTTTATATCCTCGTTTTTGAGTTGCTCATCCACTGCTAGTAGTAGACCATGTTGACAATCACTAACGTTACCTGGCTGGACCTACTATGCCTTACTGGTGTTGGAGTTTATCTGGTAAAGCAGGTGGTCACCAAGAAGAATCCTGCACCATATCCACCTGGTCCCCGGGGGTGGCCTCTCATTGGCAATGTTTTAGATATGCCTCGCGTCAATCCCTGGGTCGCATTTACTGAGTGGGGTCAGCAGTATGGTGAATGCCTACCTTTTTCCAAAATCATGCATTTTCAAAAGTCTTTCCTACAGGTGATATCACGCATATCGAGGTTCTGGGTCGGCACATTATTGTGCTAAACTCTGTCAAGATTGCAATGGAAATGATGGACAGAAAAAGCACCTTGTACTCTGACCGTCCTGTTTTTCCTATGGTTGGTGAACTTGTTGGTTGGAAGGACTCTTTGGCTTTCCTCTCACATGGTGACCAACTTCGCCGACAACGCAGGAACTTACAGCGCGTCATCGGCAGTCGCGCCGCAGTGGACGTATACAACGCGATTGAGGAGGTTGAGACTCTTCGATTCCTGAAGTGTGTGCTTGCGAAACCAGATCGACTGCGGGAGCACATCCGACAGTATGTATTATTTATCCTTGCAAAGACGATATCTTGAATTTTACTATAGCACTACTGGTGCTATCATTCTGCGCATCTCTCACGGTTATGAAGTGAAAGAGAATGATGATCCCTTTGTTGACCTTGCAGACCGCGTTACAACCGAAGTCTCGCAGGGTCAGCTCGGTACCTTTTTGGTTGATATTTTACCATTTCGTGAGTTATATTATTCTGACGTTTGCGTTGGTTTCCGATGACCTGAAAATTTTAGTGGTAAAGGTCCCCGCGTGGTTCCCCGGTGCTGGCTTCAAGCGCATAGCACGTGAATGGCGTGGAGCCCTCGAAGAGATGGTTTCTGCACCCCACGATTTCGTCAAGGACCAGATGGTGACTAACTTGCAGTTTTGTGATCATGCATTGAAGCTTAAATTTTACAGGCTGCTGGCACCGCCCCCACGTCTTTTACCTCGAATCTCTTAGAAGGCAGTAATATATCTGCGGAAGAGGACCACACTGTGAAATGGTCTGCTTTTTCCCTATACGCCGGTGGTTCCGACACGGTTGGTCCCTACATATTTATGTTTCTAATTATCATCTTCTGAAAGTACTACACCTATTTCCTCAGACTGTTTCTGCCCTATACTCGTTTTTTCTAGCTATGACACTTTTCCCTGATGTGCAGAAGAAAGCTCAGGCTGAAATAGATGCGGTTGTCGGTCCTGATCGTCTTCCCTCCTTCGCTGACCGCGACTACCTCCCCTATACTGAGGCGCTTGTCAAAGAAGTTCTGCGTTGGAGCGTTGTCATTCCCACCGGTATGTGGATCTTGTTCATGATACTATTGATTTGCCAACGGGTGTCTCAACAACAGGTATACCCCACTGTGTGACCAAGGACGATATCCATGACGGGTACTACATTCCAAAAGGCTCCTTAGTAATGCCTAACATTTCGTTAGTGCTCCCCTTCGGTCGATGAACAGAATGTAATGCTCTCAATTGCGACAGGTTCATGCTCAACGATCCACGAACATATGCTAACCCTTCGCAGTTCAATCCTGAACGCTTCTTGGCTAAGGATGGAAAGGAGCCTGAGACGGAGCCTCGCACGATTTGCTTTGGCTTTGGTAGACGGTAGGTACAAATTTTGTTCTGAATCTGATCGGGATGGTAATTTTCTGCTCCGCAGTATCTGCCCAGGTGTGTCCGACTCGCATCAATTAACCAACAATATTCTGACGTTTGCTTGCTTTTCATGTACAGGCATCTACCTTGCTGAAGCCTCCATTTGGATATCCACTGCGATGTCACTAGCCGTATTTGATATTTCCAAGGTTATCGAGAATGGTGTCGAGATCACCCCCGAGGTTGAACCCTTACCAGGTGGGATCAGGTATGTCGCATATCTTGTTATGTCTGGCGCTGGTCTGGATTGAAACACTCCAAGCCACCCCAAACCCTTCAAGTGTTCTATTAAGCCTCGATCTGCAACTGCCCTTGGGCTTATTGAACAAGATGCTAACTAATAAGCTCGTGATGGTGAAACCGGAGAAACACGTAGGGATAATACTTAGCATGTGTCGTAATTTACATGTCACACTCAGGAGTTGCGTAATATGATTCTTGGTGTTTGCACAGGGAATCATTTGTTTCTGTGGACATGATGTTAACGAAAGTATATACTCAACTAGCCCACACCCATTGTGCCTGGCGCCTGTTGACGTGAATCCCATTTGAGTATTCTCATTGAATCAAATGTGCATGCTGCATTAGGTGGCATGCATAGTGATCAGTAGATGTACGCTTTGTTCCTGAATGTCTGAACCAATTTCCCGCTTGCGATGCTGAAGACACAGCAAGCATACCAAGGAGTCCCTGAATACAACACTCAAAGTACTTGGTGTACAGCTTCAAATAAGTCGTGAATGAGTCGTGCTGTTGTTAACAACATATATAACGTAATCAATAAGTCGTCAAGGGTATGGACCGTACGTAAGTTCAGTACACCACCGCCCACAAACATGACAACAAACTAGCACCTAGACAGGCTATTGTGAATATCCCAACAACCCGCTGCAGTCCAAACCATGCGTAAGTAGCGATACCAAGAAGTGCCAAGAGAAAGCCGGCACCACTTAGCGCCAAGATCGTAAAATAGCACCGAGTCAGGAGATCGAGTGGGGGAGAGGACGTCCTGGATTGAAGCCGGAACCCCGAGGGTAACTGAAGAAGGGACTGTACAGCATACAAAGGAGGGGTGGCTCTAAGTAAGAGCTGCTTTCCATGAATGTTTTCCTGGCAAGTACTAGAACGTTTTCCCAGCTCGTCGGTTGCCACGGGAGGGGTTTCTGCATCAACGATCTGGTATCGAATGAGAGCAAAAGATGCCGCGTATCCCAGAATTGCTAACGCAAGCTGTAAGTGCCTCACGCTTCCCCGACCATCTCGGTACTCACAAGAACAGACATGGAAAACGAGGGCACCAGTAAAACATGCATACACGAGTTCCACAGATCCCTTGCTTGCATTAAGCGTCACCTGCGACGGTGTGGAGGTAAGGGTGAAGAGCTCTCCGTCGATAGAAGCAAGAAATGTCGTCTGACGGGTGGTTCAAGATTCATGTAACCAGAGTCACTGAGCAATGGCTTACTATAACAGTAAGTGTCTGGAGTCGTTGCATCCATGCTGCCACAAGCGCCGAATCATCTCCTGTAGTTGTTTGTGCATCCTTTTGAGTTTTTCCGCGGACTTGTTCATCACGTTGACCATCTGTGCATTTCTCAAGATTTCTGCTTGATCAACAGAATGTGATCAAATTCATACCGAAACTGGGCCCGGGGTCTGCTCGTTCGAGGTCTCCTCGAGTAGACATGACTTGCAAATTGATTGATGTGCGTGTTCAGGAAAAGAAGGTTGCGTGCTAAGTGTCCTTGCGAGTTGGGCGCCTGCAGCGTCCAGTTAGTCGATGATAGATATAGTAAGCCGGCCACAAGGTGCCTCACGGAGGTCCAACACTGAGTACGTACTGAGTGCCCACTGGACTGGCAAGACTTCATTTGTATGCCTTGCGCCCAGTGGCACCGGATCCAAGGTGATTAATCAATTGTGCCACCGTGGATCTCACCCGTTGATATTACGGAAACGCCACCGGCCATCAGTAGTACCTACCTACTACTTAAGTAGGCTACCAGTCACGAATCACAATGCGTTAAGATTGATAGGGTAAATGATGAAGCGATCATGATCACGTTCGATATAAGAAGGTTGTAATTGATCGCGTGCCCTGCATGAGGTGTGTCGAACTCGCATTCATGTGAAAAATTGACGGTCCTTTGAGTGAGGTCTGCAGTCCAAAGAGGTGACGTAAAAATGTATTTGTCAAGTATCACCTACAAGGAGAAGTATCGGTTGTGGGACGAGGCGAGCACGTTACCAGAACGGTGAGGTAGTGACAAGGCTCTGCTCTGAGATCGTTGCATGAATGGATGGATGATGTGCTACTACAGGAGCCGCGCTTGTGTATGCTATCTGACTAAGCTATGAATGCCTCCGAGAGCCTCATTGGACAACCCAGGTGCACATATCCCACCTGGGTTGCCCAATAAGTAAGGCTTATTATACTGGGTGATCAAGCTCCTCACCCAGACTTTAATAATAATGTAGTCAAATTTATGATATGATATTCTAATCAACATATTTCGAGCCTGCGGGAAGTCATCCACTAATAAGTAATGTGTATGGTGACACACAGGTGTTTGCTTCATCCACTATCATGCCTCGTAGCTCAAAATGCCAATATATCAGGCTTGAAGGTTGGTCACTCCATATCACCTTGGTTGTCTTGTGGCCATCTCACTCTACTTACAGTCATTAGTGGCAAAAATCTCAAAGTCCCTTCTGAGCACATTCCCACAGGGGTTTACATATCCCTCAATGCCAACCCAAAGAGACCCTGGAAATCAACCATTGGAGTTCTATCATCAGATGGATCTACAGCATGGGGTGAGACCGTGACCCTGTAAAGTCCATTGCAACTTTTGAATGTGACTCAATGACTGATCTTCCATGTGTAGATCATTACACAAGTCACCCAAATTATTGGTGGAGATCAGGGCCTTCTTTGAGCTCAATCAGATGCTGGGCAACAGAGAAGTTGTTGGAACACTTGAAATGTCATGGGATGCACTGCTCAATCATGGGAATGAACCTTTTGGTGAGTAACCTTGTTCTCAACTCATGCATATATGCTCACATTTCATAGACATCTCCTTCCCGTCCGTTCATGGTGCTCACCCTTCCCTCACAATAAAGGTCATGGTTCAACATAACTGTGACAATCAGGACAGTGCATGGCTAGACATGAGTGACATCAGCCTCTGTTGCTAGTTTTGTTGATGGAACACTGTTAAGGTTGTACTCAAAGGGTAACTGGATCTGAAGGGCTTTGGCCTCAGCTTGTGTGCTGTGCCCCTTACCCGAGTATTGCCCCTTATTTCAGGAAGGAAAGACTAGCGCGTCCGGAAGGTCGGACAAGTAGCATAGCGGATCTGGATGACTTCCAGATGAGGGATAAGTACCGTATGGCTAATCCGGACGAGTCCAGACTAGAAACTAATGGTAGTGGACTGTCGGGGACAGAGGCGGATACGGATAAACTATAGGAATCAATCCTAAGTCTCAGAGGGTGACGAGAGTAGAGGTACTCAAGTCTGGAGGACAGGAATGAGCAGAACTAAGATGATATTCAAACTGAGGTACTACAGAAAGTTACAGGAGGTTATATACTATAGGTATCTAATGGAATGATCAATCAGCAGAGTCCAAGGCTATGTACGAAGCATGTGGATAGTCTATTGGTAAGTAGAAACAGATCACAAATCATGAAATGGAAATGAAACATAGGTAGCGGATAAGGGAGCAGGACGGATATACAGATAACCGAAATACTGGAGTTAGGGGGTTACTGAAAAGAGATGAGCACTGGTTGTGGATTTGGATGAGTTGTGGACCGGACTGGACGAGTGGACAGATTGAATGACGAGATGTTGGAGGGGGATAAGATGTGGATCTGAGATAAGGGTTGGATCTGAGATCCGGATATGTGGATATGACAGTATCCCCCCTTTAGGGCCGATCCCTAGAGGCACAAGATCTGACAATCCAGACTGGACGATATGAGGGTGAGAATTGATGGAGAAGCTGATGGATGGAGTTTGTGAGTTCTGGTTTCCACAGATATACAGATGTCAAAGCGTCCTGGGTCTTCCTTCCTTCCCTCACTTTACCCACTCATACTAGCTTTTGAATATCATGTCTGGCAACAAATCCAGTGGTCAGAAATCTGCTAGGGAGACCCTTGTGGAGCTTCAGCACCAGATGGCACTTGCGGAGGCTGCAGCTCAGAGAGAGGAAGAGGAAGAGGAGCAGAAACGTCAGGAAGCGGAGCGGATGCATCAGGAAGTGGAATGGAAACATGAGGAGGAGAGGAAGTGGATTGAGCAGTCCAAGCTCTGGGTAGCACAGGAAGAAGAGAGGCAGAGGGCTGAGGTGGCCAGGAGGGTGAGTGATGCTAACTCTATCAGATCCAAAACTGAGGGGTATGCTAGTCCCAGTCTGCTTCTATGTCCGGAGCTCAGGATGCTCCCTGCACTCATTGTGTCAGTAAGAAGAAGATGTGCCCCTGGGAGGATGCCAAGTCCAATGTGCTGGTGAGATATTCCTTGCCACGGACGTCCGGACTGGGTGTACTGATATCCAGATAGATCAAGTCTTGCGATGTCTGCAGGATTGATAGGGTCTCCTGTCCCGGAAGTGCGGACAAGCCCAGGGAACTGAGGCAGAAGAGGCAGCACACTGTGGTGACTCCGTCTCCGAAATCCAAGGGTAAGAGACGTCAGAGGAGCCCTACCCCTGAGGAACCGGAAGTGGAGGAAGCTTCCAATCCGTGGACCGGAATAGAGACGGATGAGGGGAGTATGGAGTATGATGATCAGGCCTGGGTTGCTGCTGCCAACAGCATAGTAGCGGAACTGGCCCAGACCAATGGGCTTCTCCAGGAGTGTATTGGAGCTGCGGAAGGGAGTAGGTTGGTGATGGAGCGGATGAATACTAACATGGAGGACTTCATCCAGCAGCAGAGGGACTTCCAGTCCATCCTCCTGGAGGGGATCCAGAACGGATTCCAGATTGTGGATGCCTCTACTCTGGATGATGTTGACAAGGATGTTGAGGAGGAGGCTGGAGGATCCGGAGGGGACATGGAGACTGATGGGTGAGGAGCTCCAGATTTCCGCTTCTGCCTCTAATGTACTTGTATCTGATTTTGTACTCATTGTAATGCAATTGGACTGGGTTTGTCTGGATACGAAGAGTGAAATACTGAAACTAGGTCCAATGTGTTTCCAAGTTCCGTGGCTAGTAACCAGGACGTCTCTTTGTCCGTCCCTTCATATCCGGACCACTGGACGAGGTAGAGAAGCTGACATTGTCTTCTCCGGTGGTCCAACTTAGAGTCTAGGATTTCGGATATCTCATATTCTGGTTCTCCGTCAACTTCTATTGGAGGTGGGGGTGGTTGGATACGATTGGGGATGGTGTTCAGAACTGCGGGTTCCAGTTGGGAGACATGGAAGACCAGATGTACCGAATGCATGGAATCTGGGAGTCGGATGGTGAAGGAATGCAATCCGGGACAGGATATAATGTCAAAAGGACCTAAGTTCTTTTCCGAGAGCTTCTTGGAAGGGTGAGTGGAATGGAAGTACTTTGCTTTGACGAAGACTTGATCTCCAACCTTGAAGTCTGGGGCTGGTATCCGCCTTGCGTCTGCAGGTCCTTGATAACATTCTTGTGTGTAGGTCATTTCTTCTTGGAGGAATTGGTGAAGCTCATTGAGGTCTATGGCATATTCCTGTGCATGGACAGAGGAAAGGTTGTGTTCCGGGTGGATGGATATGTTTGGATGGTATCCCTTGTTGGCAAAGAAGGGCGAGACTCCAGTGGTAGCACTTGGAGCATTGTTGTATGCAAATTCAGCCAAGGGGAGTAGTTCCGACCAGTTATCCTGCTGATAGTTACAGTAGATCCGGAGGTATTGTTCTAGGGTTTGGTTGGCACACTTGGTTTGTCTGTCCCCTTCCGGATGATATCCGGATGTGAAGTGGAGGATCATATCTAATGCTTTTCCTAAGGACCGGAAGAAGTGGGATATGAACTCTGTTCCCCGGTCTGAGGTTACATGGGATGGAACACCATGCTTGGAGAACACATGGAGTAGGAACAAGCGAGCAAGGTCTGGAGAGGTGATAGTGTCGTGGGTCAGAACAAATATTGCTTGCTTGGATAGACGATCTATGATGATGAGGATGGCTGTGAAGCTGGAGGAGTCTGGAAGTTGCTCAATGAAATCCATGGAGATGGAGTTCCAAGGCTTGTCCGGGACAGGAAGTTGCTTGAGCAATCCATATGGCTTATGTCTTGGAACCTTGGCTCGGGCGCAGGTGGTGCACGATTTAACATAGTCTTTGACATAGGTGCGTATTCTGGGCCAGGTATATTTGTGTCGGATGAGTTCTAGCATCCGGTTCTGGCCAAAGTGTCCAGACAGGGGATGGTCATGGGTGTTCTGGAGGATGCAAAGTCAGAGGTCATTGGAATCTGGGACATATATACGATTGTCACAATGGAGGAAACCACTATCGTCCATGGTCCATCTGGGATCTGGAGGACTGGACATTCGAGCGGACATGATAGGGTCGTTAAGGAGAGTGGATAGGATATCATTTTGGAGTTGGTCAACATCCATGAGTACAGCTGCTCGAAGCACCGGATATGCTAGTGTTGATGCTCGTAGGGACAAAGCTAACTGTTCAGACGTGAACACTGGATGGAAGTTATGAGGGTTAACTTGAGCATAGTCCTTATCCCCCTCTTTGGGGTAGACATCCCAGCGTCTAGTGAGGGAATCTGGTTTTGCTCCAAGTTTTCCAGGATGGAAACGGATGATGAGATTGAATTGGTAGAGGAACTCTGACCAACATGCCTGATGGCGAGAGAGGAGTTTGGTGGTTGTGAAGTACTCAAGGTTCTTGTGGTCCATGACAACATCAATAGGCTCAGACGAGCCTTCTAGGTAGTGTCGCCAGGTCCGGAAAGCTTCGTATATGGCTAGGAGTTCCTTGTCGTGGGTATCATAGTTGAGTTCCGGAGCAGACAGGGTTCTAGAATAGAACGCTACCAGACGAAGCTCTGAGTCCGGACATACGATGGACAGTATTCCAGCGATAGCATAATCAGAGGCATCGGTTTCAATGACAATAGGAACGTTCGGAATCCAGTGCATAAGCACTGGAGCGGAAGTGAAGGCTTTCTTGAGTGCAGCAAATGATTTCTGGCAATCCTCCGAAAAATCCCAGTTAACATTCTTGCGTGTAAGCCGGGTGAGTGGGGTGATGATGTCCGAGTAGTTGAAGATGAAACGACAATAGAAATTTGTGAATCTGAGGAAGGATTGAACATCCTTGACCTTCCGTGGCTCTGGCCAGTCAATGATAGCTTTGACTTTATTGGATGACATAGTAAGGCCTTCCAGAGACAGGAGGTAACCAAGGTATTCTATGGAATTGGAGTGGAACTTGCATTTCTCTGGTTTGGCATAGAGTTGATGCTTCCGGAGTCGTCGAAGTACTTCTCAGACGTGTTGCTTATGGGATGCAAGGTCATGGGAATAGATGAGGATGTCATCCAGATACACCACAACGCATATGTCAAGCATATTGGCAAAGATGCTATTGACAAAATGCTGGAAAGCCACTGGAGCATTGGTGAGACCCTTGGGCATAACTAACCACTCATAGGAGCCATTGCATATCCGGAATGCTGTCTTCCACTCATCTCCAGAAGATATCCGGATGAGATGGTAAGTGGACTGGAGGTTGATCTTAGTGTAAACTTTGGCACGGCTCAGAGAGTCTAAGAGGTCAGCAATGAGGGGCAACAGATAGCGGTCTTTCTTGGTGATCTTGTTCAGGCCACGGAAATCCACACAAAGACGCAGGGAGCCATCCTTCTTCTTGACAAACAGGACAGGGGCTCTGTGCGGAGAGGAGGAGGAGAGGAGGAGTCCAGACAAGATATTTTCATCCAGGAACTTCCAGAGAGCTTCAAGCTCAACCGGGGAAAGGGAATATAAGGTGCCTAGGGGCAGAGCAGCACCTTCCTCTAAGTTGATCTTTAGGTCGTAAGGCCTATGAGGAGGAAGTTGGCTAGCTTTTCCCTTGTCAAAGACATCCGCATATTCATGATACTCTGGAGGGATTGCAGATAGATCCAGAGCATCAGATGAAGTGGATACGGAGCAGATCTCAGCACCAGAAGGATGTAGGAAGATGCTAAACTGCTTGGAGCCTTCTAACTTGCAGGCCCAGCAAAAGGCA